TGAGTGCAAGAAAGGGCTTGTCATAACTGGGTTATTTAGGACTGGAGTAGATTCCTTGTTTCGTTGGCTTACAGTTTTATCAACATTGCTATTATTCTCTATTTCTTATTTTTACTTTTATTTCCCCCCCAGCATCTATTTTCTTCCTCCGCTCACCTCCCCCCCCTCCCTTCTCGCTCGATAGTGAAAGTATCTCTTTTCCGTGCGAGCTTGTGCGAGCCGGAGCCAATTCAACATGTCACTTAGAATATGATAGTCTCGTGGTTTAATCAAGTGCAATATTTGGAAAGTGATGAGTTATGATACCAGCATGATACTTCGTTGTTGGCGCGGATTACGTACGGTTAGTTCCAAATATCGGGTACGAGTACGGGCACAAGTACCGTACCGTACTATACCGGGGGGGGGGAGAGGTGAACCTTTTCAATACCATGCACTCGGCGAAAAAACCTTCTGGATACCATTGACCGAGAAATATATGATACCATCGGAAAAGAAAATCCTTTGCAGTGAATCACCTTGCCTTTGGCCCACTGTAAAACTGCAAAGGAGGAATTCAAAAAATTCAAAAAATAAAGCCAAAATAGGAGAAATAAATACAGGTGATTGTTATATATTATTAGAGTTTTTTTACCAATCGAGAGTCCTTCTGTACTTGTATATTGGCCTGCTCTTGCTCAGAAGTGGTATGTTTTGGGTTGTTTGTTGCGCCAGGAGTCCTAAGAAAAATACCAGCAGGCCTCAAGTAATTCCATTTGATTTTTTGCAATATTATAAAGCTGTAAACATATTGTTCGTTACAATGTGAAACCTTATGATGGGTACCATATCTTTTTGCCAAGAACGATATCATACCTCCAGCCCCTATTTTCCATCGGTATTTGAAAGGTTTTCTCTCCCCGCGCAGGCGTTGGTTATATATGATACCACAGCTGCATCACTCTCCTTTTCCCATTCAGAATGCCTAAGAAATACCCCAGTGATGTAGGGAGGCACACTACCGGTACCGCGCAATACTAGAGTATCTCTGAACTACCCGAATATTGAGGCTCTATGGTACCAGGTACGCCACCGATACCCGGACCTCTGGTGCAAGCTTGATTGCGACATGCGGTACCGGTACTGTACTCGAGTAGAGTACTGTACAAGTACGATACGTTAGGAGAACGGTATGATTGATTGATCCTTAAACCGAGGGCAGGATGCCAGCGTTTTAGCCCTTTAAGTCAGCCCTTGATCCCAGGACGCGAAGGCGTCCCCCCGGACGGGCACAATACATACTACCGGTACTATCATAGTATTGTATCATAACGTATTTATGGCCCTTTTAAGCACTGTTGCTTTGATGGTGGATGTCGACAATCGACGCCATACCAGTACAGTATTTACCTATAACTACCGGTCTACTGTATTGCACCTGCACCCGCGCACCAGCACCAGTACAGTACATTACTTGTACCACTAACTCTCTGAGATCTAGGCTGCCATGTAATGCAATACCGATTTTTCTTTCCACCCATAGTACTTGTACTCGTACTGTACATCTTACCAGCACCCGACTTTTACACGTGTCGGGATATACCGCAAGTTGTCGGTTGGCTCTCACGATACGACGCAGTGGAAGAACACCGGAGCATTGTGGGGGAGTGGGGAGGATAGGCATTTTTTCCTTTTTCTCTGGACTTAATAATTTGGGCTAGCCTGTCTAACCACCTGCCACCGGTGGGATGAGACGGTACTGTGCGTGCCAATACCGGTACTGTACAGTACTTTATGGCGTTTGTCCAACCGTTGATCCGGCATTCCATTGGAAAGAAAAAGGGAAGAAAGGAAACAAACCCCTAACCCTGGTTGATTGGGTTACGGTAATCCTAGGGTCGTGGATAAGTTACAGTTTTGATGCCAACCGGTACTGGACCCTCTTGCCCATTACTGGTATGACACTTACGGGTACCAGTGGAATGTTCGTATCCCTCTCTCTTCTTCCTCCAATAAATTTCGCTTTTTATCAGAAGTCCGGGGTCATCGAACGATGAACAGCAATGCTGTGAAATGCCGGTAAGATAGAAATAAAGAATATTTCCCCAATGTACTCGTACGAGTACGAGTACAGTGCGACATTATAATGTATCATACTCCCTCAGGTATCATACTACAAGTAGTACATAACCTACTCGTATGCTATGCTATCATATCATACTGAGCACTTTTGGGGGTGAGCCGCACATGATAAACCCTCGCCTTGTCCACCCTCGACGAAATAAAAAACACAACTCACTAGCCCTCTTTTTCCCCCCACAACTCCTCGGTAGCGAATCTTCTTTCGGAGAATTAAACTCGAAGTCATCACGGGGTTCTCAGAGAGTACGAGTACTGTGCGAGTACTGTACTCCGACATCCGACCAGGCCTTAGGATACAAGTACCGGTACGGGTCTGATATCGAAAACTGGGGGAGCATCGTCCTCTTGGAGAAAAAAATAAAAACCCCCAAGAGGAAGCACTCCTCCTCCCACTTCAGGCTTCTCCTCTGTGCATTAGGTTCGATTCGCCTCTTTACGGGGAGAGAGAGAGAGAGAGAGAGAGAGAGAGGGCGAGAGAGAGAGGGCGAGAGAGAGGGAAAAAATTACGCGTAACTCATAGGGCCCTCACTTCTTTCCCCCCTCCAACCAAGGGCTTGTCACTGTACCCGTACGAGTAGCGTCAGGGAGACCACGCTCAAAGTTACCTTACCCCCCGTACCCATAAGCTTCCTCCTTCACCTAGACTCACTACAACCCGGCGTTTCGACTAGGCCAGCCAGGCCTCTAACTCTATCCTCCTTTCTCTCTCACTCTTATCCACCACCAACATCCCTCCTTCCTTATCGCCTGTGGAAGGCTCAATCCTCAACCAACTAAACATATATTACTTGGCTTGCATCGCGTCTCGCTTAGACCCGCGAAGCTTCAGCTATTAACTGTTACTTGGTTCTACTATTGCATCCGTTCGTTTCCCATTCCACCCAATTTCTGATTCCGATCTCTAACTGCTCCTCCTGCCGCCAGCTTTTTTTTTTTTTTTTTTTTTCTCCCCTTCCTTTCCCCCCCCCCAGCCAATAGCATCGTCGTCTCCCCGCTCGCTTTCTGCTCTTCCACATCCATCCCACAGGGCTCTCTGTCATTCGCGACAAACCTCTTCCCGCTGCTTGTTCCCCCACCCGTATTATCTACCCTACCCCATCCTCAGAGATATAGTCCTGATCCTGTCACGCCTTCCGTCTTGTCAGGTTTCACGGACCATGACAACCTTCCCCCCCACCCCCGATGCGTCCCCCAAGGTCAAGAACAGCTTGCTGTTGAATTCTGTCCCGTCCCCTGCAAGCTCAACGAGCTCCGTCACCCTAGCGGACGAACCATCTGCCTGTGTTTCGGCTGAGGACGACAACTCCTCCTCGCCTTCGGCCGCATCCCCTTCCTCTCGTGCCCACAGTAACTCATCCCCTACCACTCCTCAGTCAATAGCCAAGTCACCGAAATGCACGGAATCAGAGACAGCTCCGCCCATACCACCGCCGCCGTCATCTACGCCCATCGGAGATTCCCAGCCCGTTTCATCACCGACCCACCACCATACAGCAGCTGGTTTCCATTCACTCCCGCTCACAGCCCTGATGGAAATCTTCAAGCATGCGCTTCGCGGCGATTGCGGCGAGATCTCATACAATCTTATCGAATATACAGACCCCCGATTTCTGAATCACAATTTTTGCGCGCTGCTTGAGCATAGGAGATCACTCTCTCGTCTTTCTCGCATTAACAAATTCGCCCGCGCCTATCTTCAGCCGCACTTGTACACGCCTGCTGTGGTTACCAGCATGGCCGAGCTAAATTCGTTAAGTGGGTATTATTATCCGGAGGTTGATTGGAAAAAGAAGGGGAAGCAATCCCTGCTGGAAACAGATGGCAACGTCAAGCCGCGGCTCCCAGCGAAGAGGTGTAAAACGGTTAAAGGACTTGGTCGGAAGATCAAGGAATTGGTTGTCATAATTGCTGGCTTACCTGGGGGCATGTTGGAGGATAATCCCTCTGTGAGATGGCCCGGTTGGTATATCGAGGACTGGATGAGATACGATTTGGAGGCACTGGCAGTGGAGCGGCTTACTGTTCTAGCTCCTTCGCAGGGTAAAACCCCCCCAATTAGCAATCGGATGTGAGCCGTGTGGAACAAAAAAAGAAAGAGAAAAAAAACTAACCATCCCTAGTTACCGCTGCTACCGTGCTATGCACTACAATTCCAAACTATCAAACAATAAAGCACCTTCACATAGAAGTGAATATCGGTGAACCTGCCTTCGCCCCCGAAACTCGTTTCTACAACCTAGCAGCGCACGACAGTACAAGAGACCACCTCTGTCCCCGCCTCGTCCTCCACCACGACACCCTCGAATCCCTGACGCTCCGCAACATTCACATCTGCCGACACCTCTTTGACCAGACCAACACCTGGCAGCACCTCCGACACCTGAACGTCACATTCCACAACGGCCTTCGCGGCCTCTGCTGCGCCGATACCACCGCCACCAACGTACCCACAACCCCAGAACTAGAAGTCAACGAGACCAACCGCAAGATCTGGGAATTCTGCCAGCAACGCCAGCAACTCACCATCGAGATGTTCGCCTGGTACGACCTCTGGTCCGCCATGCCCGGCGAATCCATCTGCTCGTGGCGCACCATCACCGGGCTGTTATACCGTCGCGCGACACCTGGCGGACAACTTATTTTCTCGTCGTACGAGTGGTGGAAAGCGCTATCTGATGGCACGAGCTGCTACGCTGCGACCGGCCCTTCTCCGACCGGCACTCGTATTGTTAACGATAGTGCCGGGGAGGAAGTAGAGGAAGAGGAAGTAGAAGAGTGCTCCGAAGACCAGGAGGAGGAGGAGGAGGACTCTATCCTGCTGCTCGATACGCGGTTCTCTGATGATCTGGATGGCTGTCTGGACGAGAGTGATGGTGGCGTGGCTGTTAGTCAGGAGGAGGATATTGCCATTCTATGCGCTGCTACAAGACCGCGGCAGATGAGGATTTTGTGATAGTCTCTTATCCTCTTTCACTGTCTCTTTCCGTACCTTTTCTTCTCCATCTTTACCTTCCTCTCCCTCTCCCCCTCCCCCTCCCTCTCCCTCTCCCTCTCCCCCTTCTTTCTACTTCTCTTTGATACTCTAGGGTTCTTTCCTACACCTTCTTCAAGTTAGGGTCAAAATGGATATGGCGTTTGTTTATGTTCCAGTTTAGTTCATTTTCTACACAATTTCTTTCCTCCTCTCCCTTTTCAAGTCTTTCTTCTCATCGGTGCTCAGAATCTCGTCCATTCCACTTTTTTTTTTTTTTTTTATATATACTTTTTTTATTCCTATCTATCTTGCATACGGATGGGCTATGCAGTGGCTACCTCAAAATGACAGTCAGGAAAGAAAAAAAAAAGGGGACAAAAACACGGGGACCTCCGGGTTCATATGTTCTTCGTTCATAGTTTTAGTAGAGTGGGGGTTACTTTTCTTTCTTTCTCTTCCCCTTTCAAAGTCATTTCAAACTCACAAAATTCACGAATAGGAATGGGGGGTAACCACAAATGGATAACTGCCTGGCTAGGCATGGTATGGGTAGGAGTTTCGATTTTGCCTTTTTTTGTTTCTTGTTCCACTCTTCTCTTCTGCTTCCTCCCGGCTACTGGGACAATAGGTATGTCACACTGGCTGGCTGTTGAGTCGAGGTTATGAAAGGAGTATTTTAATTTATCATACAAAAGTAGGAGAGCAAGCAGAAAGGAACAGAAAGAAAGACTGCCAGAGTTCATAGCTTGTCACTCGATTTTTGGGAATCAATTGATGATATCAATTATTTCATCCATGCCATGGCATGAATGGAACTTTGTGAGCACGAGCAAAAAGAGAAATAAGAACTGCAGCGCAAACAGGGTCCCAAAACGAAATAAAATGCTGAACCATGAGTTTATTTTTGTATTTTTTTTCTTTCTCTCCTTATGTACCTCCTCTTCCCATGATCACCACCGCTATTGTGGAAGAAAAGGCAAGCCTAGTGGAAAGAGTAGCGAGAGGGAAAGAAAGAAATCAATCACGTTACGAACACCTACTTGACCTCATCAAAATTAACTCCATACTTCTCCGTCAATCTCGCTCTCCTACGTTCCTCCCATCCGGGTCCGTAAATACCTATCCCCCCACCGCACCACGCAGAGAAAAAGTCAGCCCCCCTCCATTCCGAATAACCAAAAACCCAAGAAGCAAAAAAAAAAAAAAAAAAAAAAAGCAATTTCAATCAAGAAAGAACCCCACCTCTCCCTTCCCCCAGCACTCCGATAGTCTCCTTGATGTCCCGTCTCGTGCGCGCCCTGACACCCTCCTTCCTCTCAACCTCATCCCTCGCCCACCCCCCACCGTCACCACTAAACCGCCTGCCTAGCGCCCCACCCGTGTACTCAAATATCCCCATAGCGACGCCCAACCCGATCCCGCACCCGACAACTCCCGGCATCGTCCGGACCCGGATCCCCAGCAAGGCACCCGCGACGGCGCCCCCGACGGTGGGGTTGATGCTGTCGTCCACGCCGCGCAGGTTAGCGCTCGCAGCGCGGAAGAACATGTAGGAGCCGCCCATGGCCGCCCCGAGGCCGATCACGCCGCCGGTGCGGGTGATGAAGGAGGCTGCGCCGACGGGCGATTTCGTGAGCGTGTTCTGCATCGCCGAGATAAAGGCCCCCGCACCGCTGCCGTAGAGTATGCCCCTCACGCCGAGGGATATGGCGTCTTGACGGTGGAAGGTGGGGGTGGAGGAGGTTTCCATTTTTTGGCGGGGTCTGATATTTGTGATTTGGTTTTTTGCTTTTGCTTTCTTGCTTTCCCCCTGGTTTTTGTGATGCTAGTGTTTGTGAGAGGGTTTTTTTTTTTTTCTTTTCGGAATTGGTGTAGGGGGGGGGAGGTACTATTGAGATTGATGGTGATGGAGGTGATAGCTCAGATGTTTGGTGAAGTTGCGGGAATGGAAGTCTTGATAATCTATCTAATATGTACTGAGCAGTTGCGCCAAGGAGTGATATCTCATCTCATCAAAGTTTCCGATCTGATAACAATGATGGTAGATGCATAGGCGGGAATTTCTGAGCATGCACGTAATTTATGATGAGATGTGCAGTTGGGTGTATATCTTCTCCCTCAGACTTTCAACATTCACAACGCGCTCGAGCGTAGATCGAGGGGATACTAAGTTAGTTGTTTGGTAGTGGGGGGTTTATTAGTCAGCAAGCTTGTGGGTAACTTTGGATACCGGTATGATACCGTATGGCAGGTGGGGAGGGTTGCGGATCCTACGTGACCCTCACGACAGAATTTAGATCGGTGTGACAGAAGGGTCACAGCGACCCAGTATCATATACGATAGGTATGGCAGAAGTTTAGGGAGGAATTATTAGGACCTCACTCTCCAGGAAATACTAACAGACTGAGGAAAATCAAGCAAAGGAAACGAGAAGAGAAAATATATTGATAGTTCTCGTCCATCGTTTGCCCTCTCCCCAATAGGCCCCTAGAGCTCTCTAGCTATCATACTCCCCCACAAAATTCCAACTATGATAGAATAGGCGATTTTGGAACCGAATTTGGCTTACATCCAGTCTGTTCGTGCAGAGTCCCTGCCGGTACTCTAGTACGGTATTGTTAGTGAAGCCGGAACGAGTGTGCAACACGGGTCGATGGTAAATGTCAGCGTTGGTCACCCGAGTTCATCTGCCGTGCATGTTTCGTGGTAGCAGGGCGATTTCCCGTATTGTACGGCAAGGCAAATGACTTGAAGGTAGTAAGTAGTGCTCGGTCCGGAGAGAGCGTCGATTTTTTTCTTCTTTCCCTTCGACCAAACGAATTCGTCAACCCTCCCCCCCTTTGTATACCGGTCTATCATGCCAATACCGGTACTCGCCTTCCCAGATAAAAAGCGAAAAAAAGGAAAAGAAAAAAAATATCTACAATTAAGGTACACCGCCCCTGCATTGAAGCGGATTGGAGAAGCGCCCAGGAGGGGTGTAGATAAAGGAGCAAAGGGAAAAAAATCAAACAGATGCCCAATTTTTTCCTGCCCCCTTCACAGAGTATACATGAATGGGGAATGCAACAGACTCGATTCAATCCTATCCGCTAAACTGGGAAACTCACTTAACACCACGTTCATACCTCCCTTACTCAATTTTAATACTACCGTAGATCTTCCTAACAAACAGCCAACAAGAGAAAAACCCAATGGTACCTGTCAAAACAAAGAACAAGAAACCAATGAGAGCGCTGTAACCTAAATAGAGCACATTGCTGGTAAGGCCTCCAAGACTGAGTTTAGAGACCCAGTAAATGATAGCGTTGAGGAAGACGTAAATAGCACTTGCTCCAGCAGTGAAGAAGGATCGCCATTGCCAATGATAGTTTTCTGAGCAGAGAAGGAAATAAATCATCAAAACCGTAACGGTAGAGCAGGTCATAATCTAAGCCGTATTAGTATGCTGCCGGCATTGCAATTAGGAATGCAACCCACCATGATACCATAGCAAACAAATAAGAACCCAAACATGTAGTAGACCTTGTGGAACCAGATCGAGTTCATGATAAAGTAGAGCTCGACAAAGATCGCACCGAATGGCAAGATACCAACAAGGAGCATGCTTGGTACCGGCTTTAGATACATTACTTGATCGGGGATTTGGCGAGGAATCTGATTTGTGCGCACAGGCGAGGGGAATGGCTTTCCGTATCGTATAAGCCAGATTCGGTCTATGTCATAGGAAAAGAGAACTTACAGGGGATTTAAATCCTAGCCAACTACCCCCAAAGCTCAATGGCACACTAATAACAAACCAGATCCCAACAAGGGCCAACATTGTGGTGAGCGGAACCGCTCCTGACGAGTGCTCGTATATGAGGAAAAAGTTAAGAAGGAAAAACCCCCCAAAAACAATTCCGGGAACAAAGAGTGGGGTCAATATGATATTTCGCTTCCATGCCTCTCCTCCGAAGGACTTGTAGCTTCTTGCGGAAACATATCCGCCAATGAATCCGAACAGAGTATACAAAAGTATCATAACTGTCCCCAGGGACCCACGGTTGGAAGGTGACAGGAAGCCGAGGAGAGCAAAGACGATAGTAGCACCCGTCATGAAAAAAAGCTGTGTCCCTGACCCCAAGAAGACTGAAAGTAGCATGGGATTGGTAGGGGAGCGGAAAACGTCGCCGTGTACTAGCTTCCAGCCAGAGTCGTCCTGGACATCCTCGTTAAGATCCAATTGATTATAGCGGGCGATATCCTTGCGGAGCGCCCGCAAAAGCACCATTGCGACCATCCCAGTCAGGAATACAACGATAATCGCCGAATTAACAAGAGAAAACCAATGAATCCGTGGCTCAACTACACGCAGGTATTTATCCCATCTCGTTGCCCAGACAGTACTTGAGGGTATCCAGAAGACTGAGTAGGTGAAAAGAACATCTGTTTGGCCGTTTTCATTAAGAGTGACAGCTGTCTCGTCGTCGCAGTTGGCATTTCCCTCTTCATCCACCACCCTTGATGAACGGGATTCCGGTTTAACAACCACTCCAACTACACGGAACTGGTTGTTTTTACGACCCGGGATCTCGTGGTAGTCGATCAATATGTTGTAATGGTTGTTGAGGTGGGGAACTGGTTCCTGCTCACTTCCTTCCTGGGCAACTGCTCCGAGAGGAAATCCTTGGGAATAGTATTCTTCACCCTCATCCCCTCCATCATCGTCTAATGTTGCTGCCGGAAGCCCATCCACTAACCAATTGATATTGTAATTCTGCCTGATCCGCCGGTTGACAAACTTTGACTTCATCTCTTCGTACTTCTTTACACCACAGAGGTTCTTGCAGGTCTCATTTTTGGTCATATAGAGGTCAAAGGGCGAGTCAAGGATACGGTCCCCAAACAGAATGGATCCCAGGGACTCGGACACCTTCTTAGGTCCGTCCTTGGGACGGCAGAAATTGAAAGCCGTGTGGTAATAGTCGAATGAAACAATCGAACTCAACGGTCGCCCTCCTGATACAAATGCTGGCGTAAGGCTATTTACGTGCAGAGCGACCTTATCACCGGAATTGTAGTCTGTTGGGGCAACTCCCGGAAGGTAGAAGGCGGATGTGATTTGAAGCAGTGAAAGGGTCCCAACTATTGGGGCTAAGGAAGTGGAAAAGTGCATGACTGCGGGGAGCATCCTAAATTCCGCCCAGCTCTGGAAGCGCGAGGGCTTAACCAACTAGATGGATTTCAGGGGAAAGAGTGTAAGGTATTTGGCGATATAGACGCGGGTTTTGGATTAGCGATGGGAGGAAGGCGTGAGCGGTAGATGGATCTAGAGGGTCAAGATAATGATGGGTGGAGGATGGCAAAAGCTGAAGAGGATAAAGGGGTTCGTAAATATGGTTTCGGCAGAGCTCAGCTCAGCACAAAGGAGCTCTTCAAGGATGCTGATGACGCGGTAGCCAAGTATACTATGGCACTGTGCCGAAGACAGTTTTTATGTGAGGAGTATGACGGCTCGTTAAAGATCTGTATTGTGTGATCAGGGACGAGGGGGATCGGGGGCGGGTCTATCTGCTTCCATCAGATAAAAATGATTTCAGAGCTGGCATCTCGCGGGTGATTTCTTGCCTGGTCTGGTCTGAAATGAACTTTTGTGCCAAGATGACTATGTTGAACCCCCGATTACTCAGCAACCTTCAGCCTCAAGAGGGTCAACCTGTACGAGTATACCGGTAGTAAGTCTTACTCGAGCCATCCCGAGGGTCTGAATGGGAATGGTAAATTATCAACCCCTTTCGCTTATAGCAAGTTACTCCGCAATTCCCAAACTCGCTTGCCCATAGCCTGTTCTGGTCTGTCGTGATGCCACAGATGCTCCAGAGCCTCAAGATACTGCTACCGTTATTGAGGCCTGGGACCCGACCGATTTATCTTACGGCTTATGCCTTGTGATTAGAGGACACCAAGTCATTCCTGCGATGATAAGTGAACATAACAAAGATTGCGGGCCCCCTATGACATAAATTTTGGCCCTCAGATATACGGTATCACCGTATCATAGATTATTTCCCATCGCCGAAAGTATCGTACTAGTACGATACTCGCATTGGTCACCCGAATCAAGCTTCACTGCCACCATCCCAGTACTGTACCGGTACTCGAGTCTGATAGGTTACCAGTACTCAAGTACGATATGTAGATATCATACCTTTCTGCAATCTTTCCCTGGTGGCCACCTTGACGTCTTGGCATACCCGAGGATATGTCACTACGAGCAGGCATTCATCTTCCTCCCACACCCTTCGTGCTCTCCTTTCCTCTTATCAATCCAGTCCTCCACAATACCGCCCCTTACGAGCACCATCTTTTTTGCCATTTCACCCGGGATGCCTCGTTCCGCCACTTCTCCGCTTCTGGCACAATTCCTGCATACCGTTTCCAACGCCCGAAACCATGAAAATAATGAGCATCTTAGTCGTTGTCTATCACTCTCGCCAGCCTCGCTCTTGAATAACCCGCCGATGAGGACTCTGATGGCAGAGCTTCGGGACTACGATCACAAGGATTCGGTTGCAAGAGCGCTTGGTCAGGATTGGCCCGGGTTCGTCGACGTTATCGTAGCTTACTTGGAGTATGTTAAGTCCGTACATTCTGAGATACACTCAAGCATCGAGTGTATGCTTGCCTGGTTCTTCAATCTCAAGGAATTCATCGGGTACAGCAATTCTTCTCTCCACTGGGCGAACCTAATTCTCACATGTTTGGAAGGGTGCTCAATCCGGTCTTCAACTCTGTCCAGGGGACCATCTTTGCCTCCGTGATTAAGGCCGCGTCTGCGCTGTTCGCCTCCTCTGCACTTCGAATTGATGCTCTGTCCGGGGACCCTCGCTGCCCGTGCTCGGAGGCTGCGATGAACGTACTCCTACGTTCCTTCAACTCCACACTTGGCGAACGTATGATTGCCGCAGCAACAGCGCCGACATTGCAAACTTTAGGAAAGAAAGCTGCAACAATACGACTCGCCAATGACCTTTTTAAGCTTTACTTCAAGGCAATACCCCTCTTACCCTAAGCGGTTCTCTCCCTGTGCTGCGGTCATCTCGCTGACTCGTTTCAAGATGAACCAAATTCGTCTCTGCGCCACTATCCATTCAAACATCAAAACTGCCTCGATCCCATCCTATTTAGACCTATATCCGAAGTCTGAGCAGTGTGCATACAACTACTACCATGGCCGCCATTATTTCTACGCGGATCAGTTCGTGAGCGCTCTCAGCACTCTCGAACACGCCTATGCGCTTGCTCGACCACGAGATCAAAAACAACGAAAAATGATCGCACGCTACATGATTGCAGCCGCCGTAATACTTGGCAAATTTCCATCAGACTCACTGCTGGCAAGACCTGAATGTGCCGGTTTAGGGGCTATGTTTCTCCCCATCTGTCATGCGATACGTCTAGGAGATTTCCGAGGGTTCAGGTGTGCGTTAGGTGACGAGGGCCCCGATTCCGGCAGAAAGCAGTTTTGGATTCGGACAGAGTTGTACCTGACACTCAAACTCAGATGTCAGATACTGTTATGGAGAGGCCTTGTGCGGCGCGCCTTTTTGCTCACTCGTCCCGAGCAAACTGGGATGAGAAAGAAAGGGCCTCCCACACTCGACATGAGACATATTCTGACACTGGCAAGATTTCTGCATGGCCCAGAGCGGGTTGACAACCCTCTTTTCCTAGGAGAGGGTTTCCATCGTGATGAGGATTCAGACACGGACTCGGACCTCGGGGACGACGAAACAAGTTATTATGGACTGCGGTTAGAAATGGTGGATGTGGAATGCGCCATTATAAGTTTGTTGGATCAAGGATTTATCAGAGGATACATTGCGCGTCAATCGTCCGGGCCTGTACTTGTTCTGGGCAAGTCTGATGCGTTCCCACCTGTTGCAGAGCTCTATCGAGAGGAAAGATTTCCTGAGGAGGATGTGATGGAATCAGACTATGAAGGAGGCCCTTTTAGTGCCCACGTGGCCCCGGCCGGTGGTAGTGGCGGTGGTAACGTGATCCGTCTTAGTGGAGTCAAACCCATTGGGTTCAAAGGTTGAAGGGGTTGTCTTGTACACTTTTGTTCTAAGGGACATTTGGAGATTTGGCGTTTTTTTATCCACTCCATTCTAGGCTATGTACCCGGAAAATATATCACCACCCACTCCCACCTTCCCTCTTTCTTTCTGCCACTTTATGTCTTCTATTATATCCGTATCACAGTAAGCTTCTAGAACCTTGATGCCCTGAATATAGGGGTTTCTATAATACTGAGGATACACAATATTCCAATCGAATACCGTTTCAAGCTAGTATTTCAACCTCATGGAGATGGCAAGGTCAGCGTTATCTACTGTTTTATTACCGGTACCTGATACTGTTCCCTTAGAATCACCTGACCCAACCAACATTCTCACGTAGGTCCTACTGGCACTTGAGAACCGGCTGGTCGCCACCAATGATCCTCAAATATACAAGTATTGGGCCTGCGCAAGCCCCTATATACGGTGCTTTCCTGGTCCACCAAACAAAGATCCACACAAGAAAGCAATAGTATATTAAGCGGACAGTAAGCACAAGTAGAGTCGGTGCCAGACCTTGAGCCGCCCGTCTCCCATGCTGGTGTGACGACCTCCCCCAGCCCTTCATCCTAAGAAAATGCACAATACCACCCACCACAAAATCTATCACAGGAGATAATATAACGATTCCACAGCTATCCATTACCTCATGCCAGAGGTGAACGCCGGAAAGTTACCAGAAATCTCGCACCCCATGCAATAGAGCCCCGTCGGTTATATTGAGCGACACACTGGGACATCTACAGTCCCGATTGAAGAAATAATAACGCCGACATTTTGGCTGCATTCGAACTTGGGGGCTGTTGGGTGTATTATAACGCCCGGAGTCAGGGATTTACCCCAAGGTTTTGTTCGTCTCCTATGAAATATCGGACAACCCGTAATTTTGAAAAGTTGGCCTCATCGTCCGTGGTAGCTACTAAATTTACCCCACTCGACACTCGCGCTGCAACACTAATAAAGTTTATTTTGGTCTAGTGCTCGGTTACCGTATGTACTAGTACTCGAGTACAGTACATGTCTATTCCGGGACTCCCCTACAACAACACATAATACAATACTTATAAGCCTTATCATGTTGTATCAGTAGGATACAGTATCATACAAACCGTGGGGTCCCCAGATACCCTACCCCAATGCACCGAAACCTAAACCAACATTCACTAAACTATATACATACTATCGGAGAAATGGGGCTCGCTCGCCCGTCTTTGAAACCTTCCCCCATGCATGGGGATTCTGGAAATATTCGGGGTTAAAATGTTTGATTGTATTTCATAAACCATGCTGAGATCTCGGCCCTATGTGTAGGCCCCTGCGAGTGAATGAGCGGAAGGGAGAGAAATAACTCGGCCACTCGTCGATCTAGCAAGTAAGTGCAACTATTAAGTGTTACAAGAAAGTGCAAGAGGGTCCCCCACGAGTATAAACACTATCTTCCCACCCCCCATTCCCTGCGTCTGCATGTAAATTGGGTACCTAAAGAACCCTCTCTCTCTCATTTCCTATATAGTTTATTTTTTTCGATTTAAACATATCTGTTTTTCTTTTCTTTTTCTCTTTTCGGCTCTTTCTCAAGTTGATGAGAATGACCGTCGAAAAGGACCTCGAGCATGTCCAATTTGCAAGCGTCGATAGCTCACGGTCTCAACTCCAGGCCCCAGAGGAATCGGAGGAGGTTTCGCAGGGTAATTTCAGGAATGGACTTCATGAGATTATATTTGTTTGGGTGGTCACTTCGGCTCATTGGATAACGGTACTCTTCTTCCCTTCTTTCGTTGATTTTATTATTATTTACATGTTAAGTGCTATAGCAAGCCAATTTGGGGAACACGATCGTGCCAATACGACACATTGCGGAAGGGTTAGGAGTTCCTCCGGATGCGAGTGCGAGACAAAGTTGGTTTGCTGCTAGTTATTCGTGGGTTCCGACCCTCCCATAATGACATGTATACATTGTAGTTTGCTAATTTCTTAGATGCACTGTCGGCGGCTTTGTCCTGATCACCGGTCGACTGGGAGACATATACGGCCACAAGAACATGTTCCTGATTGGCTGGCTATGGACAACAATCTGGTCGATTGCCTGCGGGTTTGCGGAGGACGAGATACAATTCGACATTTTCCGTGCAATGGTTGGCATCGGGCCGTCCATAATGATGCCCAACGCGGCCGCCCTCCTAGCCCGAGCCTGGAGCCAACAATGGAAGAAGAACCTCGCATTTGTGGTTTTCGGAGCAACCGCGCCAGCGGGTTTCGTCATTGGTGCAGGGTGGGGCGCGGGCATTACGGAAACGGGCGTGCGATGGGAATGGATTTACTGGAGTATGGCTATCGTCACGGCGTTTTATGCTGCCACCAGCTGGTGGGTGATCCCCGAGACGGGTGGGATGAACGACTTTCATAGTATGGGGTTCGACGTTCCTGGAAGTGTTACTGGGGTCGCCGGATTGGCATTGATTTTTATAGCATTGAGGTGAGTTTCATTCGCCAAGGGCTCGGAAGTGCTGGGTAAGTTGGTAGCTGACTCTGGTTAAGTGGTGGGCCAACTTTTGGATGGGATCAACCAAAGTGTGGGATCATGCTTGGTGTCGGAGTACTCTCACTTGCACTCTTCTGCTGGATCGAGACGGAAGTTACAGAGCCTATCCTTCCCATGAGCCTGTTCAAGAGTCCGACTTTTGTGGCTGTAGCGGTCAGTCTCTGTCTGGGCTGGATGAGTTTTGGCATGTTTCAGTTCTACTTCCCGCATTTGTTAGTCTCTCCTGCCCCTCCCTATTTCCCTTTTCTCTCATATTAATCCACCCCAGTGTAATGGAGTTCCGCGGGGAGTCTGGTCTTCACGCAGCTCTACAAGTCCTTCCAACATTCCTAACCGGTATCATTGCTACGTTCTCTGCCGTCTACCTTCTCTCCAGAGTCCCCGGTTACATAATCTTCGGTCTTTCTATGCTAAGCTTCTTCCTGGGTCAACTCCTGTGTGCCCTCACCCCCGTCGACCAATCCTACTGGCAAATGTCATTTCCAGCGGTAGTCATCATTACCTTTGGGCCGGATCTATCATTTGCCTGTGGGTCGCTCATAGCCTCTGATACACTCAAACCGGAGCAGCAGGGTGTTGCCGGTTCGTTTGTTAGCACTATTATTAATTATAGTATTGCCTTGGGGTTGTCTCTCGCTGTGAATATCGAGAAGGGGGTTAATCCAGATGGGACGAAGATGTTGGAAGGCTTTAGGGCTGCATGGTTCTTTGGAGCTGGGTGTGCGGCGTTGGGGATGATTATGACTGCGATATTTTATAAGGGGATGTCGAAAAAGCATGTGCATTAGACGGTTTTATTTTTTATTATTATTATGATTGATTTGCCCCGCTATAAAAGGCACTACTTGGAGTATTTTTTTTTTTTAAAAAAAAAACCATGCTTACTTTCCCACCGAGTTTTTAGACTTTCTGGAGGGGCACCCGTGGGTATAGATAGTTAGGGGTCGCTAACTTGTCGGCAAGAGTTCCCGGAGCGAGTTGACCGTATGCCTCCCTCCGGCCCACAAATAGCCCTTGTGAAATTCCGCTGGCTACGGCAGAACCTTTTAAAGGTCTCACTGAACTAGCTTTTACAACATAGCCTTGTTTTGCTTCTACAAGGGCCTGGTTTTATAGTGCTTCTGGCCAGTTCAAAACGTGAGCGCATTATCCGAACGACCTAGCCCTCGTGGGGGAAACATTGAGAAAATTGCCGTCATGGGAAAAGTACTCGTAACGAAATCTCCCCTCGCATATACCTTTTCATGCCATGCCTTCTGTACTATAACCCACCAAGGATTGGTGCTCCCCTCGATACTGTTGACTATTGCTCCTCGCCGCACTGCGCTTCGCGCTATTATTATGATAGAAACCTTTTTTCTTCCCCAAAGATATGTGCGAAGTTTGCGCCGGTATTTAGGTCACATGTAGATTTGTGCAACTTTCAATGTCAGAGTTACTAGAATCTTTGATATTTTTAATTCGGTTTTCACAAAAATTGGGCTTCATTGATATCAAGTCGGGTTCAACATCCAGTACATCGCTAGTAATGGAACTATGGATATCAATATGCCGCTGGGAATAAAGGATGGCTAACGAATGACAAGAGCGAACTACCTCATTTTATTTAGTATCATATACAAAAGTAGGTGACAAAACAACCCTCATGCCTCATTCATCATCAGGGTTGAATAAATCCAATTCCACCTTCTGAGCCGGCCGGTGATTCTGCGCAGCAGCAACCTGCACCGGTGCCACTATGGCAGTCTCCATCGAGGTCTCCACCGGCCCCCGATTATCCCCCAGTCCCTGGCCATTCGCAACAGGAGCCATAACCGGCAACGGCAGCCCCTTAGCCTTCAACTCCTCCTCGTACCCCATCTGCGAGAGCGCCCCACGCTTCATGACCTCCTCACTCGGCCATGGCGTGAACTGCAGCTGCGACGACGGGTCAAGCGCTGAAACATCCTCTTCCGAAAGTCCTAGCGGGAGCGATCTCTGCGATTGTTGGGAGGCCTCGCCATTATCATGCTCTGTCTTATCGTTACCACTGCCGCCGGCAGTGTCGGCTTGTGTGAACTTTGACGATTGCGGGGGGCGAGTGTATTTAGAGATTTTGCGAGCATAGGTTAGAAGTTCGTCGTATGGAACCTCTAATGATAACATCAGAGAGGAGAACTCAGTTAGCATAGAAATGAAGCGAGGGGAAGATTTATAGCACCATGCGATTCCTCAAACACAGTCCCCGGAATGCTCGATAGCTCCTTCCTGGCCTCGGACAGTCCCTCCAGCAATTCTGTTAATTGCCTATCTAGTGCTTCGGACACCTCGCGCAGGGCTAGAATCTTTTGGTAGCCATGCTGGTGCTCGCCAACTTTCTCCCTGCCCTGTCAGTTTTGCCTTCTTATTCTCAAAGGGATGATGTTAGATACGGACGTTGGTTGAGGCTCTCTACCAGGCCGTCGTCTGCTGCAATTACAGCGCGGGCAGCGACTGGGGAGGGATTGTAGGATGCGACTGATTCTATAAGAGTTGCTAGTGAAGCTTCGAGATTATCGAAGGATTTTTGGACAACGGCGTTCATGGTTGGTATTGCGGTATCATAGACCAAACACACGATAGGTTGCTTTGTGAGGTTTCGTGGTTGGATGTGTAATCAGGCGGTGTTTGAGGCTACCATGGGTTAGGGTTGGGTGTGCTCGAGCTAGAATCACATGTCCAGGGTCAGCCCGCACACGCAGCGTGAGAAACTCCCCCCTTCTCCCCAATTGAACTAAATCATTGCATCTCACTCGTTGAAACCCTACTGCCACTGATAAGATAACGATTAGAGGCCCTTAAGATGGTATTGCAATACGATACCGACAATCTGTTGTTAACCTCGGACGAATGAACTTGTCCGGGATTTCAAGCCTCACCGAGCGCCCACATAAATACCAACGCCCTAATACTTCTATGTATCATACCAGTACTCGTGTTTCTCCGTAGAATGAGAACCTGTCGTACAAAACGGCTGTTTAAGTCCGATTTTGTGACGTAGGCTAGGGTCTCAATAAATTGTAAAGAAACAGGCATTCGGAAATCCCTCCCATCGAAGAAGCCAAACTTTCTACGGATATACTGGATATAATTACCACTAGGCTCACTTCAGGATATTGGACTAAGCCCTGCTACGAGTATGATAATGGTTAAACATTTTCGTTTGAAAAATTTGAAACGGAAACTATTTCTAAGCCACAATAACTGCTGCGCCGTGCTGGGGTAAAAAGAGCTGTGGTACAGTACCGGTACTGTACCGATGTGATACTTTATCGTGATACCGGTATCTCTGTATCGCCTTGAGCATAATTTCTGATGGCAGCAGAGGAAATTTCGGAGTTATGCGAAACCCGCTCGGGCTTCGTACCAGTATCCGGCTATGACGGAAAACTTCGATACAAGTCGTGCGGCGGATGAAGGGAGCAACATAGCGAGCAGGATAGCCCGCAGCGTCCAGTGCCTACATGTACCATAATGTTATCGTATGTATGATATGGTATCGTACCATCAGACGAACGTCTGATTCCACAGGGCTAGGGCTGTCCCACGGAAAATTGAGCCCTGCACACTCTTGTCCATACGATGACGGCTGCAAGTGTTGTGTGTGGGGGGATACGAGGGTAAGGCGGTGGTGACAGAGATATGATACTAACGGGAATAGGGACGGTGGTAGATATAAGGGGTACCGTGTTGTAGGCTGCCATCACTCGTACCGTAGCCTTCTTGATAAAAAGACGGCCTAGACGAGACAAAGAGGGTGAAAACGGCAAAGAGAAGGCAGGGAGGCAAATATCATAGCAACCTGATTATTCTGATTTTTTTGTCGTGTACTGTACTGTACAGTACCCGCACAGCCTAGGGTTGCAACGCGGACGGAAGGCGAATAAGGAAGGCCATTTACCCCTCCCCCTCCTCTCCTTCCCTCGTCTCTCTCCCCGTACCTACATTCCTACCGCGCCCATTACCATAATCTATCCATATTAGCTCAAACTCACTTGCACCACTACTACCTACCTGCTACCGTTCCATACCACCACCGCCAACCCCCCGGTTCCCACCCTCTACTCTACCTAACCCTCCACTATTACCAGACCTCCATCTTCCCCAGACTTCATAATATTATCACACAAACAGCTTTGTCTCTTGAGCCTTTCTCTACTGTAAGTACCTCTGCTTCCCCTCTCCCTTACATCACCTCTACTCCCTCCACCCCGCCCTCTTTCCTCCCTTTCGCCGTCCGGCGACCGGCCCCCCCACATTTATTTACACAAGACCCCGCTTACTACCCCCATCACCGGTATGATACTTTTCCGCGAAGTGACTACCCGGAGAGCAAACATCGAATACTTCCTGCCTCACCCATCCCCTCTCCATCCCACCATTGACACCCTCCTCTTAAAATCAAGGAACAGTGGTATACTGCCCCAGGCGCTAATACCTCGCTGATTAGATTACCAATCGACAACAGCTTCAGTCAGCTGTTAGAACCATCCCCCCTTGCGATAGACACCCTCTAGTAACGGTATTTCGTGATGGGTAAAACGTGAGTTTTTGCTCTCCGCCTTGTCTGCTTTTGCGTGTGCGGCATGGGTTCTTGCTATGGTTGTTACGAATCCACTCGCCCCGCAATATTGGTCATGTGATGGACTCATTTTGTCCATATTACATGTTTGTTCATCTACTAATTTTGGTGCTCTAGTCAGTCTAAGCTCACTCAGGATCAGTTGCAGGAGTTGCAGAAGGCTACGCTTTTCGAACGCAAGGAACTTCAGCAATGGTACAAAGGTTTGTCAAAACATCTCAGTTCTTCCATCCTACCGTAGCTATAGTAGTTAGTGTGGCAAACATCAGTCTCCTTTACCATAAATTGCCATCCCACTGGAGCTCGGATTGATGGATTTTTTTTTTTTTTAGGTTTCCTCAAGGACTGTCCTTCTGGGTCTCTTGGAAAGGTCGAATTTCAGAAAATATACAAGCAGTTTTTTCCGTTTGGCGACCCCACCACTTTCGCAGACTATGTCTTCAAGGTGTTCGACGCGGATAATTCCGGTCAAATTGATTTCAAGGAGTTTATCGTCGCTTTGAGCGTCACCTCACGCGGATCCTTAGAGGACAAGCTCAATTGGGCGTTTCAACTCTACGATATTGATGGTGATGGAGAGATTAGTTACGATGAGATGTTGATGATTGTGGAGGCTATCTACAAAATGGTAGGTTGCTAGTGCGGCGCGTTAACCCATTGCTCTGCCAAGATCCACATTGGCTCCCGATACCCTAACCACAACCGATTTTCCTCTCTGAATTTGCAACTAACGCTACCAATGATCTCATAGGTCGGATCCATGGTAAAACTTCCTGAGGACGAGGACACACCCCAGAAGCGGGTTACAAAGATCTTTAAAATGATGGATAAGGACGAGGTATACCTCCATGAATTCGAGGGCTATGTAATATATTGACCCAAAACTTAGAACGGAAGCTTGACCTTGGCTGAATTCCGTGAAGGAAGCCAAAAGGACGCAACCATCGTCTCTGCCCTATCCCTCTACGATGGGCTCGTCTAATGCCTGGCGTTATTTTCTACTTTTTCTTTCTCTTTTTTCCTACCTGTCTCTCTTCACTGTTCCTATTCCTTTTTCTTTTACATTTCTTTGCTCGTCCACAAGCGCTTCCTGCGACATCAAAATCGTGATATCTCGCGTTCGCATTCCTCTTACCTCCCCCTAACCTAAAGTTCGAATAACTAGTATCTAGTCATGCCTCGAAACCTTTATATGGTTACATGATGGGTTTCAGTCTACCGGTAGTTCAGAGGGGGACTGCCGAATACATGTCACTGCTTGTTTCAAGTTAGTGTAAAGTTCGACGAGCACGGGTTTCTCTTGGCTTCTTCTTCTCCTTTCATTTCTCTGTCTTTTCAAGTCCATGGAAGTTCAAAGAACGGAGTCCGTGTTGGAATTGTCTTCTCATTGCTTTCACCCGGTTTTGTTTGTGAGGGGAAAAGAGTTCAATGTAGCCATCCGGTCTTGTTAATTGCCCAACTAGCCATTTCCGGGGCCAAGTTCTTCTTTATCCCCCACTGTTACGTTCCAATTCATGAGTGAGAAAGTTGCACCAGGCCCTTGCGCGTCACGGATGCTTTCGCCAGTGATTTGTATGTTTCTATATCCAAAGGTATTTATGTCTCGCCCGGCCCCCCCACGAAAAGGATGTCTAAGACCTGCCCAGGTCACAGTGAGAGGGCCATTACCACGGTAGCGGATGCCGGATGGGTACAGCGTTAGATAAATTAAGTGGGCTAACTCATGCAACCCCAGCGCTCACGTTAAAGAAGCCTTTCCAGCGAAAGGAACTTTTCCCTAGGCCCATGGAAATGGGCGGGCGACGACATTTCACCCACCCACCCATCTGCCATCCACCGATTCACCCAGTCTCCGAACATGTTTCACAGCAAGTACGGTACAGTACACACACCTACGATATTCCGGTATTCACCACCGCTCCAGTTTATTAGAGTCAAGTGCCATATTATCCAGCATTGCCAAGACCTGCTCTCTTGCAAAAACAGGTTGGATTTTCATATCTCACCATGCATCATGTAATGGAGGGCGAGAGATAGGCGTTGATAAGGTGATGGGGAAGGGAAGAGGGCGCACCCCGGTCTTGGCGATCTTATCTTTTAGTCTCCCTTTGATCCATCATACCTTGGTGGGTTGGTTGCCCGGGTTAGGGAAATGGGGGACGATTGGTGGGGTAAGAAATGGGAAGCACGGTATCATACTCAAATCCCCAGATTACTTGTACTTAAAGAGCTACCCTGCGTTTCTGTGATGGTAACGTATCATATTATTGAAAAAAAGGGCGGCTCCGGTTCTGGGGCGACTTGAGTACCGGTATGGTATGTTTGGTGGGGGGGGATTGGGTTTTTTCCTTTTTTTTCCCCTCTCTCTCCCACAGCGCATGACATGAGGGAGGGGAGGGGATGCGCAGTCTTCACAATTGCATTATAATGTGTCGGTCAGTCGATGGATTGTACCACTCAATAGACTGCTTGTACTGTACTCAGCACCATTTGATGTATGATACCCCGTGGGTGGAGGGCAGAGGCGAAAACGGCTTTATTTCACGCTAGCACACCCTGGGAGGGAAGAAATGATCAGATTGTGGGGTGGGGCGTGAGAAGAATCGACACCCTTTTTGTAATAGCGGTATTTCTAGCTTACCACAGGCCCATAGAAAGGGTCAGTGGGATGGCTGGGAGACAGGAGTAAAAGAGTAACTCTCCCTTGATAATTGCCTAATCGGATTGAAGCTCAGATTGGTGGTACTCATACTCGAGAAGCGCAGAGTACGTATGGTACGGCACTTTCCCCACGGCCATGGAATGTTCTGCTTCTTAGGTTCCGAGGCACCCCCCCCACCACCAGTTGCGCTCGCCATTGGCGAGGAGGAGAACTTGTATTGTATCCGACACTAGAGCGATCTATACCTATTCAACTTGTAGTAGGTGGGTGTACGCGGTTTTACCATTATCACGTTCGGTAACAATTTGGTGGGAGGAACAACAGCAAACATGGGTGAATGTGTTGTTCGAAATTGTACTGTAGTTAGTATGAGGTGAGTTGAGATGGTTCTGAAGAGAATGGAATAGGAAGGCTGAAGAGGGGAAAAGGAAAAAAAGGGGGTGGGAACAGGATTGATGACGATGATGGTGGTGGTGGTGGTGGAGGTGGAGGTGAAGTGTTGTTCTATCCGTTGTCATTGTTGTCGTCGACGTTGTCATTGTCGTTGTTCCTTTTGGTTTTTCGGGGGGCATATTGCCTGCAGCAGGGCAGGAGGGGGAGGAAAGGGGAAGGGAAGTTCTAGGGCTGGTTTGCTTCCTTAAGCAGCGATGTTTTCACAACGGATGCAGATGCAAGGGTTCAGCAGAGGGTGCCGGTAGTGCATAGATAACTCGAGTAGAGTAGGAAGAGCTAGGTTTGGCTCTGTTATGCTGCTGTGCTCGCACAGTAGTCGTACTGGTAGAAAGAGAAGAAACTTTCTTTCTTTCCTTCCAAGTTTCCTTCCCTGCGAGGCATTGATTGACTACTCTAGTGCATGCCCAGCAGCAGCACCCTCGAATGGTTCGGAGGTTGGGGGTGAGAGGTTTACCCATCCGCAGCCGCAGGGCTGACGGCAACCTACAGCTTGCCGCAAACAGTGGATCGGGATGCATAGGCAAGTAAAATATGATACAAGTAGGTTAAGTGAGAATTGTGTCTGGACTCCCTCTCCATATACAAGCAGAACTGCCGTATATGATACCATCAATTAATCTCTCGTCTTGGTTCCTGGCGAGTCGGAGCTACTCGTGCCTCTTAATATGATTTGATTATGTTTCTCTATACTCGAATACACCGTAGGTTGGGCGGCGAGCAAACAAACGGCACGACAGATTCGTCAATTGTGTGTGATGTCAACTCATTGCTGCGCAGGGCAATGTCAATCCCAGGGTGAAATAAGGATTTGGAGTGAGTTGTTGAAGTGGGGAAGGGAAATTTGAATTATCTTTGGGATAAGGGAGCTTGCTGTGGGGGGGAATGGAAAGGGAAAAGCAAGCATGAGAGAGAGGCGCCAGAAACCTTACCATCCGGCCAGGTTAAGCTGTAAATTACAGTATCATATCATACCGTGCTCGCACAATACCGGCACTCGTATGTACTGCACACTTCTTGTTGAACAAGTTTGTCGTCAGTCAACCCTGCTGAGCGGAGCATCCAGAGAAGAAAGAGCAAGCAGGCAAACAATGATTGCCAACTCATAGGGAAAATTTTTTTCTCACGGATGATTGTAACGAACAGCAAAGACAGACGGGCAAGCAAGCAAAGAGCAAATCAGGTAAGCATAGCAAGCAAACCCCCACCATCATCACCTCTTCCACCACCACCACCACCACCACCACCACCATCCAGCTCCACACTTCCCCCTTCCCTCCTTTTACCTTTCCCTCCCCCCCTTCTCTATCCAGCGCTATGATGACCCTTCGGAGCACGGACTAGGGGCGCAGACGTCAGTCCGGATAAAAAAAAAATGATAAATGAGTGAAGTGCGCTGTTCACTGATCAAACTCTCACGAACCAACAAACGCCGGAATATCAATTTCACAAGGTTCATTTCTTCCTTCCCCTTCCATACTCTCTTCCCATACCCGCTTTGTTAGTGGCAGCTCCGTTTTGCTTTGGTTTGCGGTCGAGTTAGGTTTCAAGGGATAATTACGCACTACGGTACCAAAGCACCACACTACCAGACAATTACTCTACCACCAGAGGAAGGAGAGGAATAAGTAGGAGAAACAGCTCCGGGTCCGACCGTTCGTTCACTTACACCCGAACAACCAAAAATTCTGAGAGACAAGCTTTCCCCATTCGCCTGCAGGAAACGGGTTTTCTTTCTTTCTTTCTTTCCTTATTACGCCCTATTGCATTATTATTTTCAACCTCTAAGCTTCTTTTTTTGGGGCCCACATTTATACTTGGGGGGAGGGTTTTCTTTTAAACCATACGTACACATGCGTTACGGCGCTCCGAACGAACCCATACCCTTAAGGCTGTAACTTTACCTAGCCCGAATCCACCATTCCCTGCCGCACGTTGGGCAAAGCAAGTTGCCATGAACGACCGCTACACAAACTACCCACAAGACCGCGACCTTCATCATCACCACCACGCCCCTACCTCCCGAGCCCCTAGCTACTCACTACCCTCCTACCCCAGCATTCCCCCGAAACAGATTCCGCACCACCCCCACCACCATCACCACCCATCGTCCTCGTCAAGCACGTCGCCTGGCATCACCGACGCAACCCCAATTCGCTACTCCGGGTACGCGCAGGGCCCGCCGTCGCTGAGCACGTCGAGCATCAGCAGCAGCTCGTATGCCGGCAGCGCAGACGGGGAGAATGGAGATGGGGATGTGGATCTCGTTGCGCTGCTGACAGAGAGGCTGGCTGGTGCATTTGATCCGCTGCAGTTGGATCGGAGTTTGGCGGTGCAGGCTCAGACGTATGTCACCTTCCGCTCACAGGCTTGTCCACTCCGGGGAGAAGGAGGGGAAAGTGCTGACAAAGTCTCCATAGCTCTGGCATGTTAAACTCCAAAACCCGCGAACTAATCGCCCTACAGGAGGAAGCCCAAGCGCGGCTGGCAGAAACAAGACGATGCTTCTTGGAAGGAATGAAGGTCGCCAAAGAGGTAAAGTCGGATCTGGACTATGTGCATCGGAAAGTCAAGTGCGCTCACCCCAATTCTTTAACCAATGGACCCAACAAGAACAGAAAAAGCTAATGTTCCACCAATTGCAGAGTGCTTAAACAGAAAACCCAGAGAAAGTACGTTTCCTGCCTCCCCCCAATCCAATCCCATAGAAGCTCGTACCCGTCTCCCATGTCTCACTCGGTCGATCCGACACAAAACCTGATGGATACTGCCCTCACGTGGTCTTCTTAGCACCTACGAGCTAACGTAACTTACTGTAACTTAGATATCCAGTGGAATACGATATGGCACGTGATCGGATTCCTCCCGCTACTCAGTAGTAGACTCTCTATTCCTCTTGTTATTCGAACCGTTGACCGTTGGTGATGCCTTAACCTACCTTACCCTTTTGATTGTAATTTGTATAATTGGACTTTGTCGCTGTCGTATTACTACTTTTCTTCTTTTTCTTTCTATTCATCTCATAATTTTCTTACCTGTATTTCAGATTCTTTTATTCTACCTTAACTAACGAACTATCTACCTCTCTCTCGTCTCACTCTGACATTGGAATGAACAGGACGGAATGGGATGGGTGGTGCGGGATGATATGCAATAGCACATGAGTTCTGGTGTAGACGTAAGGTCTGCCCTTTTGTTCTTGTTATATCATGAGCTCCATTTATCCCCCCGTCCCTTCTACTTTGTGGTGTGAAGTTACGTGACATTTTGCTTTCCGCCTCCTCGACCCTAGCGGTACCGGTATCCTCTTTCAAACTTAGCTGTGGGGGCCTCTGTCTTATTTTGCGATTCGCTCCTCATCTGGGCATTCTTGCCACGCCTTACCTGCTGCCTGAGAGCAGGGGGGGGGAAGGAACTCAGTCTTTCGTTTATAGATGGTTTTGTTAGTTGGGTTGTTAGGGGTTACTGCCATTTTAATCTTGGAATCTTTGAATCTGAAGTTTGGTTTTTTGGTGGGTATTATTTTGTTAGCATAATATCATCTCGTACCAGATCTTCTCGTACCGGTATAGTATCATAAACAATAGCACAATGAGCGAAGCACAAGGGAAAGCTTCTCCATCTCCCTCACCGTTCAAGGTAACCCAGAAAGTTTACAAACTCAGGAGCCCATTCAAAACTCAATTACAGTGAGCAGCCTACAGTAAGTTAACCGCACTCAACCCAGCTCTCAAACTCAACATAACTAAACTACAAATAACTTAACCTAACCCACAAAATAAGCTACAATACACCAAATTTCAACGCAAAAGGGAAAAAAGGGCTGCAAACAAAAGTCCTAACTCTACAATACCATAGCGTCCAATCCAATCCAATCCGAATCCAGGTCCATGCCCAACCCAAATAAAACTATGAAAGAAAAAAGACAAACAAAAAGAGAAAATCCCCCTTTAAAGCCATTATTTCCCTTGCTCCCTATCTGAAATAAATAAATAAAAAAAGAATAAATGGCACACAACGGGCCTCGGACCTTGGTGTGTTTTTTCTTCGTTCAACACCATAACTTAATTTGCGCACAAGTATTATAGAAACTTTGCCAAAAAAATAAAAATAACCGCCGATAACCAACTTCAATAGTGGAGAAAAGAGAAAAAAGTGGGAGGGAAGAAAAGGAAAAAAAGTCTATAACCATAAAGAAGTAGGACGAGATATGTGCTGTACTAAATCGGGATATAAATGTTTGTGTTTAGACCAGACAGACAGAGGACCTTCAAAAGCGCTTTCCAGTGGGGGAGAAGAGGCAAAAGGGAGAGAGGCTGCGATAATAATTTTTTTAAAAAAGACGCTGGGTGCAGAACGAGACACAACAGAAAAATTAGGGTACTAGGAGAAGCGGTAAGAGAAGAAGGGGAGAGTGGCCCGGGTCTGAGAGTAGGAATAGAAAAGGTATCATACTGTAATGTAAGTAGGATAAAGCTGGGAAAAGTAGTACAAAGAAAAAAGAGAAGAAAGAGAGCCCGAACATCTCTCCTGCTTGCTCCAATTATTAAGCCTTCCTAACCTCAGCTAATAATGAAATTCGTGTCAGGCGTCGTGAAGTCGTGACTATGGTATCGATGGGAGGAGGAGGAAGCGGGAAGAAAAAGGGAAGAAAGTCCATCATTGCAAGCTCTTGCTCAGGTCTCTAATCTCTTCATCCATAAGTGATGCGATCCATAGACATCTCTCGCAGACGCCATCTACGGCTTTAAAGTCGTATTTGTGTGAGGCTTCGATAAGACGAAGGAGGCGCTTCACGATGGATGCGGTAGTGCGGTGGCGTTCAAAGTTGATGAGGGGTTCTGAGTCCGGGGATGTGCTAATTGTCAGAGGTCTCTGGGCATTCTGGATGAGGTCGTGGGTGAAGATTCCTAGAGCAATGTTAGTGATTAGTTAGGATAGTGACGGGCGAAAGCGAAAGAGGTGAAATACCAACGAATGGGATACACCCAGACTCTCCAGTGACTTTATCCATTTCTGCTCTTAAATTATGGAAATTACGTATTGGCTGCACGAGAGCTTCCATCTCCTTGAAGGTGCTCAGGTCCGCAGGTGAGATTAAGGACCATGTCTGTCGAAGTCGGGTCACATCGGCTGTGAGGAGGGCGATCGTGATCTGGTACATAGTTGCAAAGTTCTGTAGCCTTCTTGCATGGGCGGCGATGTGAATGAACTTGACTACGGTCTTAGCCCGTTCGTTAATATCTTTGGTCATGACGATTTCGGATCTAGCCCATTTGCACATCTATATATTTGTCAATAAGGCTTCCTTAAGTTATAGCTTGGGGTGACAAACCAAGTTGAACCTAGCAATCACCACTTCGACACCCCTCGTACCCTCAGAGCTCAGGAATTCAACCCAGTCTCTCACGGCCGGGCTTGTCTGGCTCCATTTAAGTTCGACAAGTTCTTTCCAGTCCACCTCCATTAATGCATCCTTTTCGATTAAAGTAAACTGCTTCGCGAGCAACTCCGAGTCGTAAGCAAGGATAAATGGCAAGTGAATTGAAGTGGGCCGAAGGGTTGGCTTCGTATCATTATAGTGAGGACCGTTACCGCCAAGAAGGGCATCTTGCGACGCTCTCCCTGGAGCTCTTGATCCCGGAAACGTTTCCGCTTGAGGAGGGCTGACGGGAGAACGAGGTCGACGAACAGCCGAGGGACTTGCATTATTTGGTGATGTGGACAATGTTTTCTCGAGAGTGAGAGGTGGTGATGGAGGATGCCGTAAAGGATGTGAAGGAATTCCAAGCTCCGCAATAATAGTCCCAGGTTGCATTGGAGGAAACTTTGTTGCACTCTTATTGGCTGACTGAACCATTTCAAACGATATCTCGGATGAGAGCTCACTTATATCATCCCTGAGTTGCTCCGAACTAGAATCCTTGTCTAGATACTTTGCCAACCCGGTGTCAATCTTGCGTAGATCACTTCCGTTTGGCGACGGGCGTGGTGACAAGCCTCGGTGTATCGGGGAAGAGCCAGACGACATTCCGCGTTCCAGTGGAGGGAGTGATAGGTTTGAGGAAGTCACCGTCTCACGGAAGTTCCAATGGTTGACCGAAAGACCCCTCTCCAGATTGGGCCCTGAGGCTTCAGATTCGTCCCTAAACACAGCGCCATTTGTTGAAAGATTCGTAGAGGAATTTCCAGCTGAGCCTCCTTCCAGGATAGGAGGCGTATCAAGTGGAACATGATCAAACACCTGTTTATGTCTGCGCTTCATCCGCCTCATATATTCGTCATCGTCGACGGAGGCATCCATTCCAAAGGTTCTCTCCGAGTGCGCATCCCCAACTATCACTAACGAGTCTTGAGAGATAAAGGATCGACCGGATGCAAAGCTCATAGTAGGATTCCTCTCCTTCCCAGGCGATATGTCGGATGCCCTCTTCTGATAGGTACCCTCGAGCTTCATCAATGCAACCTCAATACCACCATCATCACTTTCAAAATCCGGAAGGTCTCTCAGCTTTTGAACTCCGGCTTCAAATGAAGCTTTCGCATCAGCTTCCGAACAGCCAGCTCTCCTGTCAGCTGGCGTGTTACCCATAGGGACACTTGCACCCTTGGCGACTGCTCCTAACGAAATTATTCCCGACGGCACTCGTTGCTGCGGATGTATACTCTCAGTTACACAAATTGAGTTAGGTCTTTGTTGTAAGGGTGTTCCATTAGCACCCATATCAGAAAAATTACCAGTCCATATAGACCCAGCAGATCTCGGTCGCCCATCTAAGTCACCTACAGTTGCTGCAAGTCTCAAGTCCCCACCGGGCCTACGTCTCAGCATACGAGCAGGCTGGAGGTTTCCTCGCTTGCTCTCTGGTGAGCTAATGTAACTGAACGTTTCTGAGTTATCATCTAGATTGCTGCTAAATTGACTAACGCCGGACTGGACACGCCGGACAGAGAAAGAGCGAGCCGGACGCAGAGATTTCCCTCCAGGTCCAGGACGTGGAGACACACTCAGTTTCCTACACATACCCTCGTAGTGCTGGCTGAGCAAATGTGGTGTTGTTTCAAATGAAAAAGATTTACTCCTCCGAGCTTGCTGAGATTCTCCCGGAAATATAGATGACTTGGGACCTCTATCTGGCAGATTTTTCCGATCAGAGATACTCCCAGCTTCACCCATATTGGCAATTTCGGAGATGACCGACTCAGCTAGTCCAAAATTCGGAATCTGCTCAAAAGTCTCTCGTAAACCTGGTTGCCTTGCAGTTGAGGGAGGTGGGTTTTCCGAAGGCTCTGGGGCATTGCTTTCATCCTCGCTTAAAGCATTTTCGCGTCCGACCTCCAATGGTAGCCCACCATCGCCGGTCCTATCCAACTGAAATTGATTCTTATGCCATGGCCCCCCTTCCTCTCCCTCACCTTGCGTGACGTTGTAGGATATCCACTCGCCATCGTCACTGGACAATTCCTCTTGCATTGCGCGTTGGAATGCCTCAACTACTCCTGCTCCTAGTAGATCAACCCTCGCCGCCTTGCCATTTTCAAGGATAGCAACCTTGTTTCCTGATGAACTTGCGGCCATAAATTTAGATAGCGATAAGTTGTCGGGCGTTGGGCCGAGAGATCTGCTACGAGTTGGTCTGGCTGTTGGAAGTGGCGAACGTGTACTACCACCGCCACCACTACCATGAGGCCCGGCGCCATTCCCCACCTTTCCGCTTAACGCTCTGCGCACGCTGCCCAGAAATCTTTTCATACCAGGGCCATTTAGAGTTTTGTTTCCCTGATTTGGGTCAAAAGTTCTCCTCGCAAATTGCGTGGCCACAGAACCACCTGCCGCGTCTGAAGGAGCGAGGAATCCATAGCTAGATAGTTCACTGACAGGTGTAGAAGGTGCCACAACCTGTACGTACGCTGGCGTTGGGGGAAATAGGTTTCCTCTGACCAATGAGCCAGCATAGGGCAAAGCCATTAGAAGATGCGTCGAACGTGCGATTGATTTTGGGAGTGGAAGAGGTTGCCGGGTGTCCCTTAATGCGTCTGAAAATGAACCTGACCTTTTGTGAGGAGTAGGACGATATTTCTTACCACCCTCCTCTGTTGATCCGGCTTCATCCGACGATATAGTGGCTTGAGATGGCTTTGGCTTCAAAGGCGAGCTCGTAGATGGCGCAGGAGTCGATTTGCTCCTGTTCTCCAGAGAAAAGTATGAGAGCGATGGGGTTTTCGCTGAGTCATTGCTAAAGTTACTGACAGGTCTTGAGAAACTACGAAGCGGAGTCCCACCAGTAGCCCTCGCAGCCACAGATGCCCCAACCACTTCCTGAACAAATGCCTCCGTACCAGTGTCGCGATCAGGGAACAACGCTCCAAGTCTAGGCGCTGATTTCTTGGGGTGTAGCAGTGTTGACAGGGGCCTGTAGGAGTCGAATCTACTCCCTGGCGGGCCACCTGGCAGAATGTCTTGATCGATGCTCACATCAGGCCCAGTAGGCGTGTCCCAGTATAGAGCACATGTCCTTCTCCAACACCTCTTCAACTCGCGAATTATCTTCATATTCGAAGGTTGACCATTTTCGCGAACCGCATTTGACAGGTTATTTAGAGTTTTTGCAAAATCCTCTCTTAAGGGTAGTGATGGAATGAAATCATCGGCAAAATAGTTGAGAAGCCAGTGCCTAATTGCAACAAACGTCCGAACCCGGACCACCCTCCCAATATCGTCTTCGCGATCGATGGCCCACCGCAGCCGAGCAACAAGATATGCAACAAGATCGGGTGGTTGCATGAACAGACGGAAAGTAAGAAAAAAGTCGGAAAGAAGGTGGTAATCTACAAATTCTGCCGATGTGATCTGGGATATTATCCTCGCCGGCACAGCAGCCGTGATTTCTTGGGTGCGTTTATCGTATCGAACAATCGAAGGATCTTCAGAACTCGGTGGAAAAGACAAGATATCGTACATTTCCGGAGATATTCTAAGACGAGACATTCCTGCTAAAGACAGTGACGATGCGGCATGTTGTATTTGGCCACCCGGTAACTGCTCGGATGGCAACGGAGAAGCTTCTCGATTTGGAACTAGAGAAGGTGTAGACGACCTTGCGTCCGCCCCAGGCCAGAGCCACCTTAAATCAGCTTGGAGAGAAAGACTAGGGGAAGATCCCCGCTCCACCTGTATCGATGGCACATGAAGACTTGAGGCGCCGTAAAGGAAGGGTGTCCCATTTGGGGAAAAGTGAGGAGATCCAAGACTGTAATCGGGAATTTGTACATCAAGTGCCCGACATGTCTCCTGGTGGCCAGATGTTCGTGGTCGAGGGCGCTCCTGGCTTGGTCCATCAACTTGCTCAACTTTCATTCGGAAGGCGCCATGATCTGGTGGTTTGTAAGGCGTTACATTTTCGCCAACAGTACTGCAGGAGCATGCGCGTCGATGCCTTGTTCGTGGTATAGGAGGTGATGATTTCATATAAAAATCCAGTGCGTCCCCGTCTGACAATACAGAACGTTTACGAGGCGGTGTCTTTGGAGGTGGTGTTAGGGGTAATTGTTTCCCGGATGGTCGGCCCCCGCTTTCCCTGCGATCCTGTTGCCAGGGTTTCCCCTCCGGCTCCTCCGCTGAACTTGGTGGAGTTGTAGGTGGTAACGTAAACTGTTGTATATCGCGCGCCGATCGGACAACAGGTCTGTAAAGAGAGAGGGTTTCAGCAAACATTCAACATGTTCCTACTCAGACCCAGGAACAGCAGCGACCCGCAACCCGCAATTCGAAACCTAAGGGTGTTTTCATCCCACGCCGAGGAGGAATGCCATCGTGCGGTCTCCAGCACTCTGCCGCGAATCTGGTCCATGCCGCCTCTCGTGGCAAAATGGACGAATGGAGATTTACCTTAGATATATCAAACCATTGCTAATGTTTCCCACCGTAAATTGATGCCCGCAACGGAGTGTCTGAGCACTAGACGATTTGCTCATGAGGTCCTTTTCCTTCAATATGGGTCTATCAATGCCCGTTTTTACACCCTCAGGAAATTTGCCTTTTCTCCTACGTTCCGGACTCTCAGTGGGTGTAGTAGTTGGTGTCACGAATGCTTCGTCATGTCGCCGCCGCCGCAGGCTGTGGTGCTGGTGTGCCAATGAGTCAGGGCGAGGACCACTCTCAGAGGAAGGGTCGTCCATCGCAAACATCGGGGCGAAGACAAAACCCGAGAAACGTAAATAACGGAACGAAACGTGGTGATGGCGAGACGGAGGATAAGGCCCCAGTGAGGCCGCCTCTCCGAACCCCAGAAACTCAAACGAGGGGAGCGAGAAGAAAACAGTTAAGGTGAATCCCGACAAAATTGCATAGAGAGTAGGATAACGAAAGCGGAGACCGGCTTCTGTTTTTTTTTTCTGGGGGGGGGTGAGTAGAGACAAAAGGGTAGAATTGAGGTAACAGGCTCGTTAAGCAAACTGTAATTATTCGATTTATTCGTGTGCCGTGTTGTTTGTCTGTTTCGTTTCGAGAATTTATATTATTTGCTTTTAGCGGGTTCTAGAAGTTGGTAGGGGATGAAGTTATAGGGTACCAGTATATCATTTGTGTTCCTGCGTTGCGTGGACTGTACTGGTTTGATGGTCGATGGGGGTTGGTGGAGGTGGAAAGGGTTGCAGCGAGTGAGAGGATTCCCGGGCGACTGGGAATGGGGGGAGTAAGTTGTGGTGGAGGTGGGAGTGATGGTAGGAGTGGTGGAAGCCTGAGGCGCGGTGAATCCTCAGGCACCCAGGGACGAGAGCAAGGTAGCAGAAAGCAGAGAGCGGTTGAGGAAAAGGTGAGAAAGATGAATGGAAGAGGTTACCAGATCCGATTATCTTCTAGCCTATATCCGTACAAGCTCCACTCCCAGGTCTTTGGAAACCAACCTTGTCCAACCCCTTATAGCCAATGAGAAACAACCTCATCCACCGAGCAGCCCCAAATCTGTCGGGGTCGCCATCGCCTGTTACTTGTATAATTGACTTATGATAGGAGGTTGTTTGCACGACTACCGGTACGATTTGTGCGTTAAGAGACCAAAATCAAACAATGCTTATTGTCATGGGAATAGCGTGGTTCTGCTCACACGTGTGCATTATCTCTTGGCATATTTGCCGAGAGATTGTCAGACTTTCAGGTTCCGCAAGAACGAGTAGGTGGGAGAATCCTTTAACAGGAGCACTTTTATTCAACAGAGAAGAAGCAGGGGATTCAGCTAATAGAAAGTTATTTTAAAAATATTAACCCCTAGGTGAGCTATAGGGGTTTGAAGTTGGGTGTACTCAACCCTAAATTTCACATCCAGTTATTAGCTGATGAGATTGCTACTCGAGTACGGTAGACTAAGATATGTACAGTACAAGTAAAAATTTCAAACTAATCATTACAGGCCCAATATTGCTCCAAATTTAAATTTAAATATATTTCAAGAAGGTCGGAGGCAACTCCGTCGGAGACTGAATGCTTGGAATTATATGACTTGATTTGTGGTAACTGGAAAGTTTACTGCTTTTTGCAAAAATGGGCCCATATTCTCTTTCCCCAAAAGATAGACTATCATAAAACTTGGCTATTGTTATTTTTACGAATTTATGGAGCAGAGAGAGCACAAAATCAAGCAGAAATAGCTGAATTTTGGTTGCTATGGGCAGTACTCTACAGTGCTGTACGAGTACGGCACTAGGACATATTAGACACGGAATGCTCGCTACTCGTACATTCTTCCACAGGTGCGGTTACATACCGGTACTCCTATAAAATATGTTCTTCTTAGATACTCCTAAAGAAGGGCGGGGAAAACGAAAAGAAAAGAAAAAATGGAAAGCCAGAGGAAAAGAGACTTACAGTAACTCCAACGGAAAGGAAAACAAGATCACGACCCTTTAGTACGGTACCGTACGATACTGGTGCTAGCACAATATGATGCAGCACTGGTCACTCATGATGACTGATATCGTCGGCGATGCGGGACACTCCGCTCATGTGAAACCTTCGATGCCAAGACAACCGTCCCCGGCCCGGTGACACTCTCCCATCACAGGAAACCGCTCTGGGCACCGTACCAGAGAGGTAAACACTCTAAAAACAACTACCCTCTAGAACGCCAGCCCCCGCTCAACTTTGCCTAATACATCCTGTCATCTTCCCTTCCCATACCAGTGCCAATCACTGAGTGCTCAACGCCATCAACCTTTTCATCACGGAAACGCAGCTCCCTTCCCTCTAATCCTCTCCAGCCAGCTATCAACTCTCCTCCTCTCCACCTTTTCCATTCACCTCTTATTTGCTATAGCACCGGCTCTACACTTCCAGAAGGGCCTCCACCATGTCTTTTCTCTTCGGCAGAAACCGTCAAAAGACTCCCCAGGACCTTGTGCGGGCCGTTCGGGAGTCTATCTCACGAATGGATGTCCACTTAGAGAGACGCCGTGTAAGTTTGCTCCTTCCGCCGCCTAGTAATATTATCATTACATCCATAATGTGGTGCTATTTGCTAAATGTTGTGGTTTTGATGGTCTTTTGCAGGCATCCGAAGACGTCTCGCGGCTACTTGCTCAGATGAAGGTTGTCCTACAAGGGAATGCAGGTCCGTTCATGCAGTTCCCTCCTTGTTTAGTTTCGAATTAGGTCGCCCTGTTCTCTGCAAAATTCCGTTATTAACACGCATGAAATAGAAACGGATCCAATTCCAGATCAGGTTCAGATGTTAGCCCTGGAAGTCTACGCAATAGATTTACTCCCATTGCTTGCGAATAACATGGCTCGATTGGACTTTGAGGTTAGAACCCTTATTCAATGCTTCCCTCTGTTTGGGAACACGGACCTTCATCTGCCTGGGATATGTTGAATTTTTTCCTCAGCTAACCACCTGCACACCTACGTTCGCTATATATAGGCCAAGAAGGATGTGACTGCACTATTCAATGGCCTCCTTCGATACTGCCCACAGCCTATTAGTCGCTTTCCCACCGTTGACTACCTCCATACCAACCGTCCGGACACCTTAATCACCTTGGTCAAGGGGTACGAAAACAAAGATGTGGCCAACAATTGTGGGACAATTCTTCGAGAAAGCTTTAAGCATCAGGCTTTGGCACACGTTGTACTTTATGACGAGATATTCTGGAGGTTCTTTGATTATGTTCAGGGTGGCAGCTTTGACATCGCGAGCGACGCTTTTGCCACTTTCAGAGTGAGCACCATTCATGTCTCTTGAGAAGACCTTCGCCTCCTTACTAACAAGCGCTATAGGAGCTATTGACCAAGCATAAGCCACTAGTAGCTCAGTTTCTCGGCCAGAACTACGTTAGAGTACGTATTTCCTATTATTTTGAACCGGTTGGTATACTGATTCCGTTTATAGTTCTTTTTGAAATACAATACACTTTTAGTGTCGCCGAACTATGTTACCAAACGGCAGTCGATTAAGCTTCTTGGGGAGATTCTTCTAGATAGGGCGAACTACAACATAATGCTTGCTTACGTGGATTCTCCGGATCACTTGAAGTTGACGATGAATTTATTACGTGATAAGAGTAAGAACATTCAGTATGAAGCGTTCCACGTTTTCAAGGTTCGTTTTTACTAGCGCATCACCTGACTTGCTTTTCCAAATTAATCATAATTTAGGTCTTTGTGGCGAACCCAAAGAAGTCCAAGCCTGTGCAAGAAATTCTGTTGAAGAATCGAGAGAAACTTCTAGCTTTCCTGCCCAAATTTCACGACGATCGCCGAGGTAAGACAAATCTCATATCTTAAGACTAAAACCCAGTCTAAAATTCTTATCCCCGATTAGAGGACGAACAATTCATCGATGAAAAGGGTTTCCTGATGAAGCAGATAATTGAGTTGGGAAATCAACCGCAACAGCCCCAAGGCGCAGTTTTCGCATGATACAGTAGCTTGATGAATTTTCGGCCATGATTGTGACTATCGTTTGGGGTTGATTGCTATTTTTTCTTTCTTCCTTCCCCTTTCTTTTTTCTCTATTTGAACGGCTGTCACTATGTGGGATACGGGGCGAAATATTATACGACAGTGACGAGAGTGATGATGGCCATGACCAACGTAATGGCGTGTAAGGTCAGGAAACGGCGTTCGTTGTTTTTCCTTTTTTTCCTTTTTATGTCCGACATGATGGATTCCCCGTGGCTTGTACCACTCTGATGTTCTTTTAGAAATGATCTTACCAGTCACGATAACTCGGCTTGGGGTTGCAATGGTATTTTATACCAGAGGCGGAACTTAGCGCAATTACAACATGTCAGTCACTATGCTGCTTCTGGATATCGACACTTTTGGTTTTTCTTTCTCCTTCTGTTCCCTCTTTTTCTTTCTTCTGTTTTCGCCTTACTAGCTTAGGTACGGCATTATCTTGGATAACCGCGTCCGCAAAGCTCCCATACCGAAACTTTTTTCGTATGGTAATGTCCAAGCGTTTTTTAAACGAACTGCTATTGCATGCCCCCAGAAAGGCCGGATTTTGGTGGTATGCAATAGCAGGGAGTCCTTTTTAAAAAACTCTTCGACGTTATGAACTCTATCATAATATTATCATATATGCTGCAAACTATTATGTGGAAGAGGCCTCAATATAAATAGATGGAGTGGAGGGTTGTGCCGAGAGAGCGAGGAGATGTCAACATAGGTTAATGGCGAGGCTTGGCGGCCCGGTTCCTTGATCCCACCCGGTTGAGGTGAGAAAGCATGAAACTGGACTTGGAATTGAGTGCCCTAAATACCGTACCGGTACCAACTTCAGCCGCACCTCTACGCCTTCGTGGGGGTATGACTTTACAGTGGATGCTCCTCAAGTATAATTTCCCCAAGAGTGGTTTCGAGATACTTGTGCATTAGCCACTGTATGGCCACTCAAAAGGGCCAGATTTGAGAGCGACGCTTACTCGTACCGGTGTTCCATGAGCTTGCCAACCTGTGGCAACACTATTGATAAACCGGATGGGTTTAGCTAAGATACTGTAAATATATGATATTAATATTGATAACTCCCACCTCACTGCATGACAGACTGAGCAAACCCTCCAATGAAATATCATAGCATCGGTGCACCATACCCACCGGTTGCAGACCGCTCGAGCCTTATATTAGGTATCGTGCATGGGCACCTGCAACGCCCCGGGGACCCCCTCAGTGAACCTCACAAGACTTCGACTTGAGATGAATTCGTATGATACCCCCTCTGTCAATTTCCGACCGAAATATAGTTACGATAACCAATAGATCAGCCCTGATTGGGCATTTCTCTCAATCCGCTTCTATCCCCCCGCCTTTCCTTCTAAAACTAACCAACATGCATATACTGGTACTCGCGAGTAAGCATGCGCCGCCTTCCCCTCAAGTTTTTCAGCTGGTTATGAGATGTTCTCTGCCATAGAGTCTGATCGGTAACTTACTTTAATGCACTTTGCGCATCGCAATGTATGGATGGATGGTTACAGGATCTATTTCTTCACCTCTTATATGCGTCTAATAGTTTGCCGGCATAGTATTGTACGTACCGGTATGCTGCTCGCAGCTCATTCCGTCGAGTCGGGGCCTCTTTTTTTTTTTTCAATTCGTGATTTTTCCCCGCTATCTGGCAGGTTGTTGATAAGATAAAAGGGGGGTCAATTGCCACCCCCCCTCCGCTCTTTCACTCTTTTGCCCTCTAGAGCGAGGGGAAATTTGACGAACTTGAGATTCTCTTGCCGTTATCATTGACTAAAACATCCACTTTCCAACTACTATTTACTACCTTGCTATTTCCCCCCACCATGGCTGACACCGCTACCTCAAGCATTACTTACTCCTCTGGAGCGACTGGTGAACCGGATTTGCGTTTTTTACATTATAATGATGTGAGTCTCGATCGCTAGCACCAACAATTTCTTGGGGATCCCTGTAATTGCTAATGGGGATAATTGCCATAGGTCTACCACATCGATGCTAGGTATTCTCCTTTCATCCTACCTCTACTCCCCAATTCTCCCCTGTCATAAAGAGCTACAGACAACAGCAGTGCGACTAACGCTATCAAACCGCAGCTCCCGTGACCCTGTCGGCGGTGCCTCCCGCTTCGTAGCCTTAGTAAACCACTACCGTTCCTCCAGTGAGTACGACGGTCAGCCCTCCCTCTTAACCTTCTTCTCGGGCGATGCCTTCAACCCCTCTCTGGAATCCTCCGTGACCAAGGGCCGGCACATGGTGCCCATCCTGAACCAAATCAAGACCAGCGTGGCCGGTCTCGGGAACCATGATCTTGACTTTGGTGTCGACCAATTTACCTACTTGGCAAAGCAGTGCGAGTTTCCCTGGCTTTGTGCAAACGTTGAGGATCCTGCACTCGGCGAGGGCGTGAGCATCGGCGGCTTGCCAAAGACGGTTATTTTAGAGAGTAGTAATGGATTGAAAGTTGGAGTTATTGGGCTTGTTGAGAGGGAGTGGCTGGACACGATTAATTCTCTGCCACCTAATTTGAAGTATACCTCTGCGTCTGCTATAGCGAAGGAGCTGGTGCCGAAACTGAGGGAGCAAGGAGCGGATATCATTGTTGCTGTTTCGCATCAGAGGGAGCCGAATGATGTAAGCTTTTGGCGGTTTTGTGGTTGGAGAGTCCCTGCTGACGAGCAGTAGATTAAAGTGGCGGATAATATACCGGAGGGCCTTATCGATATCATCCTTGGGGGGTAGGTGATCGGTCCCCCCGAACACCCCAACCCCAAAACTGCCCCAACGCTAAGCTAATACAAGTTTTCAGCCACGACCACCACTATGCTCATGTGATCGTCAATGGGTGTCATGTCATTAGATCTGGTTGTGATTTCAAACAGCTCTCTTACATCGAGGCTCGAAGGAAGAGTAAGGATGGGTCGGTCCCTGGCTGGAATTTTGATATTATCCGGAGAAATGTTCTTAAAGAGTTGTGAGTTTTCCGATTGCCCCCATAATTAACGCAGTTTCTAACACCTCTTCAGACCTGAGGACCCTCCAACAGTCCAACTTGTAGATAAATTGACTTCTGGATTGAAGGCCAAACTGGAAAAGCCAATTGGATACACAGCCGTGCCACTAGATGCAAGGTTCAGTACTATCCGAGCAAAGGAGTCGAACGTTGCAAACTTTGTGTGGGTCTCTAACTTTCCGGTAACTCGACGGAAGCTAATGTTAGTGAAGAGGTGACTTGATGCGGTTTTATTACTCGGCAGATTGTGCACTGATAGCCGCCGGAACTATCCGTGGAGACCAAATATATCCTCCCGGAGTCCTTAAGCTCTGTGATATCGTCACTTGCTTCCCATTTGAAGACCCCGTCGTAGTCATCAAGGTTTCCGGTGCCAATATCCTCAAAGCCATCGAAAATGGTCTCTCCAAACTTCCTGCATTCGAAGGTCGTTTCACACACGTCAGTAATATATTCTACACCTATGACGCCTCACTCCCTGCTGGCTCTCGTATCATCAGTTGTAAGGTCGGCCAAGACGACATTGTCCCTGACAGGGCCTACAGCGTTGCTACCAGGAAATATATGGCAAACGGCAAGGACGGCTATAGTTCCCTAACCGAAGAGGCGGGTGCAGAGGATATCGTAGACGAAGAAAACGGTGTCCTCATTTCCATGATCCTCCGCCAGTATTTCCTCTCTCTAAAAGTCATGGGTAAATGGCGACGTGGTGGCGCGTTCAGACAGTTTTTCGGCGGTCTCAAGTCCGAAAAGGTTGAACAGGGAGAATTGCTACAGCCTGAAAAAGCCACCCAGAAGGAGCTTGACAACGATTGCGACTCCGACAGTGATGACGGTGACGATGAAATGCATGATGATGAGGTTCACGAAAGCGACCTGCCAAAGGAAGAGAAGATCGGAAAGCTGGTCTCGAAAGCCGGATTGAAGTGGGCGAGACTCGCGGGAGTTCGCGAGAGCAAAGGCGAAGACTCGGAATTCGTGGTTGACTGGACAAGAAGTATCGCACCGAGGGTGGAAGGGAGAATCAAAGAGGTGTAGGCGTAGATATATATCCCGCTATCATATCAGACGCCAGATTAGTTAGATGAGGTATAATATCCGAAATTTCGATCAACTCCTGTGCTGTTCAAATAAAAAATGAGCAACACTCAGAACAATAGTATCTGAGCATAAACCTTCTAGCATCATTCTTTTGAAGCTTAAAAATCTACCCGTACTGTATAGTATATACCGGTAACCTACCGTTATCGATAACAACAATCAAACCCAGCCCGAACTTGGCGCCAAGCTCCCTCTCCTTCCCCCAAACCAAAACTTTACCCCCTCCCGTGACCATCCAAAACAAACCAACATCCCACATCAACCATGTCCACCCCCTCACGCCCAACCCGCCAAATCCAAAAATTCGCAAACGCGGTCGCGAAGTGCCCTGTGGAGGTAAGCTCCCTCCTTCCCTCCCACTTGCGAGGAATGATGTTGTAATAGCAAGGGAGGCGTAGATATCCGCCTATGGGAGATGCGTGGTTGCGGATTACAACAACGTTCATAAGGATAAGTGCCTTGAGGAGTTTTTGAGGTTGAGGGAGTGTGTCAGGGTGAGTCATTCCGCTCTGGTGGGGTCCTTGGGGGTTGGTGCTGATCTGGGGTAGAGGGGGGGGTAGGCGGAGATATTTTATAGGTTGAGGTTCCTGCTAAATTGTGGTATTTTTTGGTGTATATACCTTGTGTCGTTATGCTATGTTTCATGGAGATGCAATAGTACCCAACCAAACTGGCCTGGGCCTTGGACGTCAGACGAAAAAGGTATATACACAAAAACTTCAAATCCCCACCTTCCCTCCCTCTTCCCATTATATCATATTATCTACCCCCTCCTCGAGAGATAAACTTCCCTCTCCCTCTCCCCCCTCCTCACCCCGCCACCCCCACTACCACCACTACCCCTCGTCCATCCCACGAGCCCATAAAAATAATCCAATACATCAGGATACCTCTCCACAGCAGCCCTCCAATCTTCATTGATGCCCCTGTGCAACTCAAACTCCACCTCTTCCAGCTCTGTGCGTGTAACCCTGCGGACGTTATCCCGTCGCCAGCGCTCGTAGTCCGCTCGTCGGCGAGCCTCGCGCGTGCGGAAGTCTTGGTGGATTGAGGCTCGGGCCTGGGTTGTCACCCATAGACTATTCCAACAAGTCGAGAGCGTTAGTGGGGAGGGGATTTGGGGTGCGGGAGGGGAGGGGAAAAACCGTATGTCAGCTATTAGTGGTGAGAGAACACGTCTCTCGGATTCTTCCACGGCATGGATTAGGCTTCGGCGTTCGCAATCACACGGGTATTTAGGGGGGTTGTTGCAGATTGCGCAGTTGGGGTCCATTTCGCTTTGGGCTAGGTTCACTTGGTGCCCTGGTGGTGGAATGGTGGGGCCGGTAAGAGAAAGTGAGGTACCGTGCGGTACTATACTGTGCTTTCTGATGCTTGACTATTCGTTGTGAGTGAATAGTGAATGAATGTATGAATGGATGGTATCTCCGAATAGTTGTAATTCCCGAGTGATTTCCCAAGTGAACGTAGACTGAATCGAGCCGAAGCTAGGGCAAGGTAGTGTTATGTGATTAACGAACAAAAAACTCCCCCAGTTAACCAGTGAAACACACACAGAGAGAGATAGACAAAAAAAAAAGAGATGACAAGTAGAACCTCAAGAGACTTTTTATGAAGAATATAGCAAATACCCACACAGCAAAGCACAATTGATCAATTCACAAGAAAGGACGAAGACCAGGAGCGATTAAGCTTAAATATCGCTCCCACACCCACCCACACCCACCCACCCCCAGCCCAGAAAAAAAAAAGCAACCACGGTAACCTCCATTTCTGGATTGAACCATTTCTGCCTCGCCGCTCGTCTCACGCACACATATCATCCATCCAACCAACCAGCACAGTAGGGTACTTCTGCCATCGCACCGCACTGGTAAATTTTTGTTGCAATGTCCAGAATCGCACTAGAGTATCAGAGGGGAAGGGAGGGCGGCAGAATACTATGCAATTCGACTGGTGGAGGCTTGGGGCTGACTCTTCCGAGCTTGCTTTGCCCATCGTGGAAAGGAGGAGCACACCGACAAGCGCTCGAGCACGTGCCAATGATGGCGGTGGTTTGAGGGGGGGAAGAGGAGGGGCTCTACGGATACCGGTAAATAGACGGGATTGAATTGGTGGAATTGAGGCTATGAACCTGGTGCTTGTGGTACCGGGAGTACTGATGGGTTTGTAGTTCTTGTACTGCTCCTGTGCGATAGCGGTGTAGGCTTATTCCACTCGTACGAGTACGAGGACCGGTAGTGACTGGATGGATGGGTGGAGGGAGAGCTGTGGTGGTTGCGGTGGTACAATCGGCATGTCCCGGGGTTGTGCAGGATTCGGTGTATATAAAGGCTAACGCTGGGGTTTCTCGGTGGGCAAGGCCTACTCGCACTTACTTTCTCGAATTACATTCCTGAACCATCTCACCTTACCTTATCTTGCCTTCGTCTGTAAGTTTTTTTTTTTTTTTTCCTTTTCTTTCTTTTTTTTCCTTTTTCCTCTTACTCCTTCGTTTTAACGAATCGTGTTTGGAGGTATCATACCATACAGTAGAGGCGCCTTTTCGTGGGGAGGTATCATAAAAGGCAGAAGAGGAAGGCATCATAAGGCTTGCGGTTTTCAGTGCCGGGGAAACTATACGCCGCTGTAGGGATATATCATATTATAGAGCTAGTAACATAATATCAATATCATACCTGGGATGATTTGATATTATCGACTCTCACTTTCACTACCCCGTCCCGTACCCGTATTGAAAATACACATCACATTTACAATACGATGAACACGTCTTTGAGGAACACTTGCTTGCTTGCTACGAGCCTTGTGTCGTCTGAATTGTCCTCTTCAGGTACGCTGCTGCACTTCACCCATTGTGCTTTTACAATTACCCCCCCCCTCCTCCTCCCCCATTCACACTCCCCCATAACTCCCCCACAACTCCGCCTTAAACCCTTATTCCCCTGCTAACTTAAAAACTAGGAGATCTCTACCCCTGCGGCGCCCCAACTCTCCAGCTCCTAAAGACACTAACTACGACCCCGCACCTCCTCCAATCAACCGTCGCCCGCTGTACTGACGTCCTCCGCCTCGCAACGAGCAAGTTGCATGCGTTCCCCTATCGCGAGGTTCCGCTGTGCTGGTTAAGGCTGTACACGGACGTGAGCATCCTGAAAGGGGTGTATCTGATACAGAAGCTGTTTTCCATCAGGGATGTGGAGGGTGTTAGGCGTGCAGATGAGGATATTGTCAGAACGCTAGATATGGCCTTGATTATGGCGGGGGCACCCGGGAATGGGCGGCGGGAGGTTGTTGAGAAGATATTGGCGGAGTTGGAAGGGTATGTTGGGACTTTCCTGGCGGTGCATGGAGGGGAGATGATGGAGGGGGTTGAGATGAGCGGCATTGGGGGGAAGGGGAAAGGGAAGGGAGAGAAGGCGGAAGCAAATGTAGATAGAGGGGGCGAGGAGGGGGGCGAGGAGGGGGGTGGGGAATCATCAAGGAGAAAGCGAAGGAGACTAACCACCCCACCCCCCTCCGTCCTCCCCCAAGAATTCCGCGCTGCTTCCACTCCATCACCAGAAATCACCCACCAGATCCCGATCCGACCAACCCCCCCATCCCTCGGCTTCTTCCAGAACCACCTCGACACGGCAAATACCCCACTGCAGATCCAAAACCTATTAACAGCCTGGCCAGCAGTGACCACAAACCCTTGGTCCTCGCCCTCCTACCTCCTCTCAAAAACCCACTTCGGTACCCGCCTCGTGCCCATCGAACTGGGCAAGTCCTACACCATGGAGAACTGGTCGCAGAAGATCATGCCATTCCGCGACTTCTTAAAGACCTACATCCTCTCCCCGGAGGCCGACAGCTCGTCGTATCCGGGGTATCTAGCCCAGCACAGCCTATTCTCCCAAATCCCTTCATTAAGGGAGGATATTTTAACGCCGGATTATTGCTATAGCACGCCACCACCTGCACCTCCTGGTGCACGTACGCATCCGCTTGAAGTCCCAATCGTCAATGCTTGGTTCGGCCCCGCGGGGACGGTCTCGCCGTTGCATACGGACCCCTACGCCAACATTCTATGCCAAGTTCTCGGACGGAAGTACGTAAGGCTCTACCCGCCCTCCGAGAGTGAGAGGCTGTTCCCCAGGGGTGTCGAGGGGGGCGGAGTGGATATGTCGAATACTAGTAGGGTGGATATGGACGCTGAGGGCGGTGGAGTGGAGGTGGAGGAGTGGGAGAGGTTTCAGGAAGCGAGGTATTTGGAATGTGTGTTAAAGGCTGGTGAGGGATTGTTCATTCCGGTGGGTTCTCCTTTTATTCTTTGCTCGGGTAAGTGCATAGGGACTAATTATGGATGAACTGGTAGGTTGGGTGGTGGCATTATGTCCGCTCGTTGGATACAAGCTTTAGCGTGAGCTTTTGGTGGAATTAGGGGTGGAGCATGCACGGAAAAAGGGCGTGGGTCAAAAAGTTGTGATTTCCGTTCCTGTAGAAGACGGTGCACGAAGAAAAAAGTAGACTGGACGGTAGAATAATACAAATTTGTATTACCATATTTTTTTCCCTAGGAGTTGAAGCCAACTTAAGCTTTATGATCTGCACCACACTCCGAGTCGCCGAACACAAGCACTATATGGTAATAAACAAAAGCCTTATCAGTAACTTCGTACTTACAGGGCAAATATATATACAGAGTCCCAACAACCCATGTTCCTCTCATTACGATAATTGCAGCCTAAAAACTTTTGTAATCCACCATCTCAGTCCTTTGACCAATACCGGTATCCCTGTAAATCGCGACATCAGTCCAGATAGGTTTAGCTTGGCAAGTTAACGGAACTGCGAAAGCCAGTTAATGGGATCTAACACGGCCAAATGACTCAGGCTATACCGTGTCAGGAAAATACTAACCCTTCTTATTAAGCCCCTTTGACTCAGAAGCCTGAGATCACAGGGCTGACGAAGATGGATTGAATCATGAATGGACCGGAGGAAGGAAGGAAGGAAGGAAGGAAAAGATGTTATCAGGGTATTTCGGTACCGTACCGTAAACCGTTCCCCGATAATCTTTATATGGGGTAAATACCATAGGTAGGGATCATATTATGGGTATGTACAAGTACAGTACAGTATGATAGCTCGAACCCGAACCCGCCGAGCATATTTCACTTCTTTCTTCCCGATTCCAGGAAAGTGCTATGCAATAGCCGGTTGTGCAGTTGTTATTGTTATAACTTGTACCACTGGGCCAATAATAATGCCCACCAGGTTACAACTTGTTCACCCCTAACCGGTCACTCGATAGATCGATAGATAGATCGATCCAACCAAACCGAGCCCCAACCACCACCACTCACAACTTGAAACAATAATTACTGTACCGGTTATGCCAAAACCCCAGTGACGTCGAATACTATAAACCTCATCCAACCCCGTGCCCGGTAAATTATGGGGGCACCGGGTGCCTCAGAGTGAGCACAAGAATTGGTTATTATAGCTCTTCGAAACGGCTAATTATTTAATTTAACCACTTGAAGTAATTTACTGTCCGAGTACAGATTTGTCAGTCGGCTCGGAGACGGTAATACCAAGGACAGTTTTTCAAGCATGGATTAACTTCAACTAACTCGCGATGCTTCGTTGGTAAAATTAGGGTTGGCGGCAGACTGCGGTATCATAGTTCTGGTTGACCTCCCTCGAGCTTCTTCCTTCCTTCCTTCCTTTCTACATTAACTTCCCTTCGTCGTTCTATCATTACTACAGTATTCGCGCCGGGTCCGCCTCGCCTGTGCACCACCGTATGGTACAGTGGCGCCCCGGTATGTAATAACGAACGGCAAGTATCGAGTCTTTTTGCTTTTTTGTTCGTGATGCGGTAGCGGGTAACATGTCGCCCAGGTATCGTACAGCCATTGGTAAATGAATTTTGAGCAGTGGCAGTAGAGAGCGGGGCGGTGGGAAAAATTAATAGAAGCATTATCATATCATATTACCTCCTATATCATTCGCTGTAAGTTGAACCGTATGAAAAAGCACCAACTACATAATGTATGGCAGGCCGGAAAGGTTCAACTTAAACTTGAAAAATGTGAGTGTACCGGTATGCCTCCTTTGACCCCGTTATCGTGATAGGAAGGTTGTGAAAAAATTTGTCGAGTTGCCAGAGGGTCCGGATGGACACCCACTGGCAATGTCGAGCTACTTGAAGGGCTAGAGGGATCGAGTTCAAAAGGGAAGGGCGAATAGTTATCAGTTGTTCGTTATGCTACAGCAGACTAGTCTAAAACAAGGCAGATCATTACCCTGTTCCAACCCCCCCCCCCACTTATACTTGTACAACACGTAACCTCACAGTTGCACAATAACGGACCAGAACAAAAAGTAAGCACCCATCTAACCCAATTATCTACCACCCAACCAATCAGCCAAAAAAAACACAAGAGCGAATTAACAGGAAAACAAACTAGACTAATTACATTATTCGACTAACCAAAAGGTGCCTTCAGTGTCAATGGAATCTAGCTTGTAGCTTTATCTCTTTCCTTCTACCTGTACGATACCCGTACGATGCTTTCCTGTATGTATGTATCCCGCCTGTATGTAAGATGCCACCTCTACCAACCAACCATGCACCAATAAGGATTATCCAAAGCCAGATAATCCCAAGAAAAAAACGCAGTGAAAAGCCCCCGAGGACGAAAGGAAAGAAGAAAATTAGAAAAAAATGTTGAAAATAAATGGCTAAAAAAAACACCTCTAAACACAAAAGCCGCCCAACCGACCCAGACAAAGGAAATATATTTAGTCAAGTGTGGGTATCCTCCACTATTCCCTTCAAACAACAATAAAATAAGAAGAAAGAAAAGACCAGCTCTCGTTGGTCATACCAAGGCCATGACAGGCTTAAATGAAGCCATAGGCTTCTGCATGGTCGTCCGGGCTTTTGGAGCAACAGGGATTTCCACCGGCTGAGTTGCTGGAATGACAGTTGTCTGAGCTGCCTGGTTGAGGTATGAGAGGTATCCGTTCCAGCCGACGGCAACGACACCTATTTCACAACCATTAGCACCAAAGCACAAAGTGAAAGGGTAATTATTGAAACAAACCTCCGAATAAAGCCCTGTATTCAAACGGGACGATCCAGAAGTTGACTGCTGTTACGGCAGGCCACAGTTTGCAACTATTGCCGTAAGCTGCTGGAATCGTCTTCCTGAGCCTTTCGACCGTTTCCTTGGGGGACACGAAGCGGCCGGCTTGGAATGTGTTTTGCAGGGTGAAAAATGCAGAAAGGAACAGTGGTGTGAAGAATATTTGGTTGACGAGTACGCGTGTTGAGATTGCGAGGACCTTGGAACGGAAGTTGAAGGATTGGCCAAGTTTGGTGAACCTGCGCGATGCTTAATTAGCGTTCTACCCTATCCAGACGAGCTAACTAGCTAGAGCTAGAATAAGGGAGGTTGTACCAAAGGTAACTAGGAATCGAAAACACCGATCCAATCATTACCATCCTTCCGGTCCTCAAAGGATCGTACTTCTCATCGCCACCGAACAGTAGCTGAGCATTCAAGTCCCCCAAGGCGTATATCGCGACTGAAGTCAGCAGCTGCGTGATATACGGCCTCTTCCTCTGCGCGTTCCCATAGGACCTGAAGGCACGAATGATGGGGCTAAATCCATACTGCGAGTAGTAGGGGATAGCAGCTAAACCGTTGATGGAAGCTGGACCGGGGATAAGACTCGTGTGGTTGTGAGCCGGTGTAGGTGTAGTGGTAATTGGGCGTCCTGCGCGGGGGAAACGAATACCACCTGGTGGAACTGGAAGCTTACGAGGAGCCGTAGCCAGACGCCTGAAGATTGAGCGGGAAGCGGCGTTGAACAAGATGGTCGACATCTCGATGGACTATGAGTCAGGACTGTTGGCTCGATTGTACACTGGTATCAGAAGGAAACGAAATAAAATGAATGAATGTTCGATGTTTTGTAGGGGAGTTATAGAGTAGCTGGTGAACGGACGGCAGGTAGAAATCGAGAGCCGTAGAGGAGAGGTAACGAGGGTATAAATACTATCGAGCCGTGCCCTTCAGAGCATTGGGGGGGAGGAGTGACAGCTGGTCAAGGATGGTCTTGAGCTTGAATAGGAAAGTTATTAAGGCAAACTTGAAGCTATGATAACGGTGGTTGGTAGAAGTACAATAGGAGTAAAGGATCATGGGGAAGGGGGACTGCGGCAGGTGGGGAAATAAAGAAAGGGCAATACCGGTACAGTAGCAAGGGGAGGAGGAGGAAAGAAGAATGAATGGTGGAACCGACCAAAGAAATTCCGAACTCGGCGTTTCGTGACCAAAGTTACCCAACCAGCTTACCGCAGTTCCCACCCAAGACTTGCGACATCTGCGCCTGCGCCTAACGTGGCACCCGACGGAGAAAAGTTCTCTTCGGCACTAATGCAGGGCAGTGAAAATCTCAGGCTGAGAGCCTCCTCCATCAGAGGGAAACTGTGGCTCCACTCGATAGCTTGAAGTGGTATTCGAGCAGTCCAGATCCCGATACTCGGAAAAACACCTCAGAATGTGGTCCGTCTGTTGGCCAACAAGTTTGCAGATAAACCGCATCTCATCCAGTTAAAAAATTCATCTACCACAATACATACACAATACAGCGAGCGCAATCTTCTCCACCCCAAGCTCTGTCCGTACCAGAGGTGATAAGAAGAATAGTCTATACACACCGCCCGAGTAGACGATGGTTTCCCCCCTTTCCCCGCTCCTTATATGTCGCAACTCGATCGTCATCACGGGTTGGTCGGGTTTCTGCCTCCGTAACTCTCGTTGGTGGGAACCGCAAGGTCGGTGTCGTCAGTGGTATATTTATTCCGTTGATCGTTGGACCATAACAATCTCTCTCCTTTTCAACTGGTCGACATCGACATCGACATCGCTTACGACAAGTCAAATAGAAATAATATAAAACTGACCTCTCTAATCATATCACTGGACGTTTCAAATGTTTCATCGGACTTCAATCATTCGATAATGCGAAGATCACGCGGTAAGGACAACGGTCGCGATGGCTCTCTCCACACTGTAGGAGTAGAAGCACTGCATAGCTGACACAACCCTCCTTCAACAAAAGTTAAAAATCACCATTCAAGCAAAAAATCAGACGTAGCTGATAGCGAAAAATATGTCAATAGTGTAATCCTATAAGATATCAGTCTACTAGTTTCCATCGCATTAAGATGTGCCTTTATTTTCCATCAGGCTTTTTAGAAACCCGATCACGGAAGGTACAAAACAGTAGTCATCTGTCATCACAGAAAAAGAACTAAAAAGACAGAACCCTCCGATAGGATGCCTTGAAAACGCTGATATAACTATGTTACACGACCACCGTAAAGTTGACAAGGAAAGAAAGAAAAAGAACCCAGATCCCATGAGAAAGAAAAAACCAGTGACTATCAAACCATTTCATTTTCATTTAAAAGTGACACCAAACCAGCCCCAAACCAGATATCATTGAAAAGAAAACCCCATCTCGCAGACTAGTTCCATCGAAAACCAAGAGAATTAAAGATGAAACAAATTATTGAGACGAAGCATTATTGTAGACGAGGTAAGGGAAAGTTTAAGAGCGCTCGCCACGGAGACGGCGAGCAAGCTGGATGTCCTTGGACTGAATGGTAACACGCTTGGCATGAATAGCTAGCGATAATATTAGTAAACTGCTGAGTCATACAAATGAATATAGTTACATACCACAAAGGTTGGTGTCCTCGAAGAGGGAGACCAAGTAAGCCTCGACGGACTCCTGAAGAGCACCGATGGCAGAGGACTGGAAACGAAGATCGGACTTGAAGTCCTGGGCGATCTCACGAACCAACCTCTGGAAGGGAAGCTTGCGAATCAAAAGCTCGGTGGACTTCTGGTAGCGACGAATCTCACGAAGAGCGACGGTACCAGGCTTATACCTATGAGGCTTCTTGACACCACCTGCATGAACGAATTAGATCTCGATCGATAGAAAAAAAGCAAAACGAGGAAAAGATGGAAGCTTACCAGTAGAGGGGGCAGACTTGCGAGCAACCTTATGGGAGAATTGCTTGCGAGGAGCCTTTCCTCCAGTGGACTTGCGAGCGGTCTAGGTGGGAAAAAGAAAAAAACGTTAGTGACATTCAACCTTAAAATTTAAGCGAGCGAGTGGAAGCTGCGCGAAGCAATCACAGGAAGGATAAAAGGATAAAAAGAACATGATTAGAGGAAGGATTATTTTACCTGTTTAGTGCGAGCCATTGTTATTGAAGTTTGTTGTCGTTGTGTGTAGAGGTGTAAGTTAGAGTGGATGTGTGGAGTTAGAAGTGAGTTGGTTGTTGAGGAGAAGGAGGGAAGGAAGCGAAGAGGAGGGAGACAGCAGCCTTATATACTCCCAGCGGCGAAAAGAGATCACACAGTGATGGTAGGGTTAGGTAAGGAAAAACGGACGGGGCTGGGTAGGAAGAGAGGAAAAGGGTTGCGAAGAAGCACCGTTGCAACCGAGGGCGGAACTTGAAAAAAAAGCGTCTGCTTTCCAGCTGTTTTTCTCGCACAAAATTTGTATGGGAAAATTGCAACGCGAAAGACTCGTAGCAACATGGGATCGCGCTAGCGCCCCACCCAACGACGGCCCCTGCTTACAACCCTGCAACCGATGGCCTGCTGCAACCCATCCATGCATAGCCCAGACACACACACACCCAATTTAATAATGCCATTTTGAGATGTTTTTCTCTTTCAACTAATTCTATGAGCCAATAACCACCCATCCTCCCTACAAATCTCACCCATAATTCCTCCGCCTTCCCCCCGGAATGAACCAGAGACGGGGATCCAGAAACCTTCTTCGGTCAAGCCACGGAAATACTTGTAATTATGATAAGGTACAGTAACCGTATGCGAACTTGGGCCTTACTTTTTTTAATATTCGAATACCGGTACTCGAGTACTGTACCGGTATGGTACTGTAGGATGCTTGTACGAGTAAACTGTCGTATCAAATTATATGGTAGACTACCGGTACGGTACCCGCAGAGATACGAAAGCTACAGTATGACCACAGTATGTATCTCTATGAAGCTTCAATAACATTCTTTGTTGCCTTATCCCCCAAAAAAGTCCTCCAAGAATGACTCTTTTCCCGACCGTAGGCGCCAGAATACCATCCAAAAGTTTTTAGCATCGCCCAGTATTTTCCCCTTGCCTACGTGCCTTCAACGGAAAGGAAAGGGAAAGAAATAAGGCTATTGTGAAAAAAAATTCTTCCGACCATCTCTGAATGACTCCCTTCCTCCCTCATCTAAAGTACCAGTATTCCAGCCTCCATAATAATTCCCCCTTACTAGCGTGAACCTACGTGTTTGAGTTTTGTACTCTACCGTACTCGAGTACGAGGAGATGTGGTCAACTCTGTCATACTACCGTAGCCTGGTTGCACCGCCAAGCAATTCATGGATTTCAGGAATGGGGAAAACAGAACTGCAGTGATTCAGGGTCAGGGTTTTCCCAGCCCAGTGGCAACCAAACAGGAACGCTGTCGCACGCGCCCCTCCCCAGGCACGAATGGCAAAAGAAAAGAAAAAAGAAAAGTCCCAGATTTCGCAAGGGCGGGCGATACGGGTTGATGCAGAGCCTACCGATCGACCGCCGCACTTTCTTCAAATACCGCCTCTCTTCCCCCCCTCTTTGCATCTCTTTCTCTTTCTCCCTTCTCCATCCACAAAACGAACAAACACTTTCCTCTTCAGCCCCCAACACCACTACCAATCAAAAAAAACACTTCTTTTTCTCAAATTACCAAACTTCATCATGACTGGACGCGGAAAAGGTGGTAAGGGACTTGGAAAGGGTGGTGCCAAGCGTCACAGGAAGATTCTTCGTGACAACATTCAGGGTATCACCAAGCCCGCTATTCGTCGTCTCGCACGTCGTGGTGGTGTTAAGCGTATCTCTGCTAGTATGTTCCCTTCATAACTACAACTTATCTCGGACGCAATCATTAACACATCTATCAAACAGTGATCTACGAAGAAACCCGCGGTGTCCTTAAGACCTTCCTCGAAGGCGTTATTCGCGATGCCGTTACCTACACCGAACACGCTAAGCGCAAGACCGTCACCTCACTCGATGTCGTCTATGCCCTCAAGCGTCAAGGACGCACTCTCTACGGTTTCGGTGGTTAAAGGTTGTCTCTCCAAGGTGGAGATACTCCTGTAGTTGTGGCTTTTCTGAATTTTTCTATCTTAAACCAATGGTGTTTGTCGTTTTCTTTTTAAAGGGGTTCTTTCTATATTTTTTAGGGCGGGCTTTCAAACGGTTCCTTTTTGTGTCTTGTTCGTTACCAATTCAGTTTTCTCCTCCCTCTCCGGTCTCGAGGAGGAGGAGTGGCTCTGAGGTTGTACTATATGGTAGTCCTAGTGCTATGATGAAACGAGTGGTTGAGGTTGAATAATCGGGGAATTGAAATATCCCATTCCTCAGTCAAATTCTTATTAGTATTATCGTTTTACCATTGTGAAGTGAGAGGAGAGACGTGTTGTTTTGATGTTGAAACTTGTGCTAAACGCGTCCTTACTGTTTATGGCAATCGTCTCGTCATGATGTTACAGACTTCAATATGCCTAGCACCATGGCATCGGTTGGCTATGGCCCGGGTCTGGCAGCGCGATACTTCCCTCGTTCCCTCGTATAACAGGAACCTTATCCGTAATTCAATCCACCGAATCACATATTTCGAGAGTACGGTAGTACCGTATTCAAATAGTTTCATAGCGAAATAGACTACATTTCTCCGATAGAGATCCCCAACAACATATCCGTGAATCCCACCTCAAATCCCCCCAATGCAGTTATCATACCGTACTCGCAGACGCCCCACAACCCAATCACGAACTCGAACCTCCAAATATAACAATCCCATTCAACTATGCACAAAAGAGAAACGAAAAGGAGAAACGAGAAAGTAAAAAAAACTAGCAATATTATGATACCATCCACTAACACTCAACCCCCATAACACCGACACAATACAACCATCATCTCTCCCCACACTACCCTAGTATCATATGCCACACTACCCCAAACCGACGCAAACCCTACCGAACTCCACACACACCTAGGGGCATCGCCAATATCATACTCCTTAAGTTCAAACCCCCTCGCCTTCCCTCAACCCGCTCACCCCCAAAAAGTCCAATACCGAGTGATACCTCATGACATATATTGGCGCTTACATCATATCTGCCAAGACATTCCTTCCTTCCTTCCTTCCTTCCTTCCTGCCTTGCCGGGAATCGGTTTCGTAGTCTACTCGTAATTTACCGGTTTTCAAGTCAAGATCCCTGCAGCGAAGGCACCAGGTTCGGATGTCGTGCGTAAGCGCCGCTGGCAGTTTGGTCTACGAGCCGCCCAGTTTCTCGCGTGTGAGTCTTACTTAACCCCGGCTTGGCATTTAGGATTAGGGCTTGGTTTCGAGGAAGTGGGAGATAGTGCTGTCGAGGGGATGGAGGTTAGGATTAGGTTTGGGATATGTGTCGTAGGCTGGAACGGTGTATAGCTGCTGTATAGGCACCAGGGAGGGGGGGTTCTAGGTTGTCATTTTTTAAAAACGAGTGATTTTTGATGAAATCTCATGGGCTTTAGTGTGGTACGCGGCATGGGTCAAAAATTTGGGAATTGGGGAATTTGTGGTTTAGGATATTTACGAATCATGGATGGCTTACGATGTGGTTACATTTATTCGACTCATAGCATGGTCTGGTGTGTTCTTTTGGGCATAGTCCTGGTCATTTCTTGATATTTTAGCTAGATATATATATATATACGAGCGCCGCCGATAAATATAACAGTCACGTGTCGTACCTTAAGGGATGACCACCAATTAAGGCTTTTTGAGCTAATCATGCCAACTCATACCCACGAGCGTCCCGCTTTACATCGCTCACAATAACCTTGAACACGCATGATAAGTTCATAGAGGTTGGCCTATTGGTTATGCATCTATCGTACTGTAAAAGCTTTTTATCCATCCATACTTAGCTATAAAGACTCGAGAGACATGTAACTATCGATGATCGATAGATGAAAGTGTGGGGAAAAAACCAGTAAAAGCAAACCTTAAATCAGAAGAAAATAAAGTATAAAAACAGTGCGGCCAATAGAAAGGGGGGACATGAGCTTGAAGGCTTTCACTTGGACAAGTTTTTCAAGATCTCAAGCGACTCCCTAACGGTCCTCGTGGTGGCGGTTTCATGTGCCGAGCCGGGAATTTGCTGGGTGGGTGCTGGGGGGTTGGAGTTAGTGTGAGCTTGGGAGGCCTGGGCCTGGGGAGCTTGGCCTTGTCTGCCCCAGAAGGCCGGATTAATGTATGCCCCCGTTGGGAGATTACGGAATTGCTGTTGTTGGGGGTTTGATTGACCGGCGAAGTGTGATCCCTGCTGCTGCTGAGTTTGATATACCGCTTGCTGCTGCTGGAATTGCTGGTGTTGCGGGTGTGGGGCTAACGAGAATGGCGGGCCCATTGGGAACTGGTGGGTGCTGGGCCATTGGCTAGTCTGCCCTTGCATGAGCCGGATGAACTCAGCTTGCTGCTCCGGGGCTGGCCACCGGGGTGGGAAAGTGTAGGGATAGGGTTGTTGGAAATTTGGAGATGGTTGGTTCGGTTGGGGGCCAAATGTGGGGACCGGGGAGGATGACTGGGGTCTGTCATAGTCGCTTTGGGAGTGACTACCTCTGCGACCGCCTCTTCCAGCAAAAGAATCCTTACTGCGGTGACTGCCTCTACTCCTGCCCTTGTCGCCTCTCTTGCGGTTGCTGCCTCTCTGTCCCCCGCGGGTACTGGGAGGAGGGGGGGGTGGCGACATGTACATTTCTTGTAGATTTGCTGGACGAGCTAGAGGAATGTATGGCTCATCTATGTGGATCGGAACCGGCTCTCTTGACCCCCAACCACGGCCGCCGCCATATCTGCCGCGAGTGCTACCACCACCACTGTCACCGCGGCCGCTGCCACGGTCACCCCGTTTCTCTTGCCGTGCTTCCTTCAAGGATTTCTTATGTTCTGCTTCTGCCTCATCATCTGAAAACTCTTGCTCTGTAATAGGAACCTCCTCATCATAGAGATTGCTTGCATCGCTGCCCTTCATCGCTTTCAATGGCTGTGTGAAGACAAATTCGCTGTGCTGTACCACGCTGAATACCTTGCGCTCCACATTTACACCAAGCTCCTCAATCTCTTCCGGACTCTTGAATCGGACAGTGTATAATGGCATTTCAACACGGCCAAGGACTTCATCGACAACTCCCAAGATAGTACGATCTTCAAGTGCCAGCACAGAACCTTCCCCCAAAACCCGTTGGTGTCCCGGATCAGAAGCCTCGATAAGGACCAACTTTCCCACAACCGATTTGACAAAACCGACAGGTTTGATTGCCATATCTTGCGTAAGTAAAATATTCGGCTTGTCGGGTTCTGCCTCATCCTCTGCAAGCTCATTTTTGGTGCGGTGTGGGGTGCAAACGGAGGGGGAGTTTTCATAACCGCCATCCTCCCGCATTAATAGCTGGGCCATCTCTGCCGCATTCATAGGAGAGTAGCACCCTTCCTCATCGCTATCCTCTTCATCTGCCGATAATACCTCTGATAATGCCTCCTCGTCACTGACTTCGTCGTCTGAGGAGAATTGCCACTCCGAATCTGGATTGCCCTTGTTCTCTTGCGCTGCCTCAAGGAAATCTGGATCGATAGGCTTCTTCACTCTCTCGGCCGGTGCCTTCGTTTGGCTCGTTGCATCTGCGGGAGGTGGATAGTTAAGATCTAACTCGGAGGATGCCTCCTCTTGTTTAATTTTTCTCTGTGGACCCTCCGACCCCTCATCCTCAGCGCCTTTCATAGTGATATCCGTTTCTGGTGCGACTGGTCCGGGTGCTGCGGGATTTACTGCGGTGTCACTGGGAATTGTAGAAGGAAAAGGGTCAGGAAGACGAGGTGAATATTCAATTGAGTCGTGGGATTTCACAGATTCGGCTTCGTTGGTGTCGGTTTCGTTGTTTCTGGTGGGCCCTGCTAATCTCGTATGCATCGCCTCCGAAACGGAGCCATCGAGTTCATTATTGTCTGCACCTGAAATCTCCTGGTCTGAATCGTAAGAAGCATCAATCAGAAATAATCCTGGTATTTTAAACCTAGAGCTAGACCTTGGAAACAAACATGACCTAGGAGAGTAGAGCTCAGGTTGATCTGTGGGCAGTGAAACTGCAGGTTGACCTGCAGGGTGCGCCTGTTGGTCAGGCATCGGGGTAACCGTCTGAATTCAAGATCCCTTGGAAAATCGATGTTCAGATTCTGCGCGCTGGTGGTGATTGTACTGATGAGAGCGCTGCCGAGAGAAGGTTTGCGTGTGGAGAAAATGGTTTCTTGTGGAGGATGGAAGAGAGAATGAGGCTCAACAGGAGAATTTATTGGCATTCGGAAAATCTTACGAGTAGAGTCTCCTTCGTGGCTGGGTGGTGGTACGAGTTAGTGCCAAGGCCCTTGGGATCGAACCTGTGTAGGGTCCTATTGTGATATCGGCGAGTTGACGGGGGAGGAAACTACTCGTACGGACTACAAACGACAGAAAAAACCTGGATTTCTCACACTGAAGCACGGCTTGGGTTTTAGGAGAACCCGGAAACTTCAAGATCTCACAAAGCTCGGGAACGACGGTGTGCATTATGGCAGAAGTGCGCTCCAGGGGCCAAGCTCGAAGGAAAGGGGCCGGAGGAGACGGAGGTGGATATCCAACTCCCAGCTCACCCGAAAGGGTGTCTATCTCGGAAACCAATGCGGAGAAGCTCGTTGGGTAAGCTTAGTTATCCATATAGCTCTATTTGAAGGCTCCTAACCACTGATTTATCCGCCGCCTAGACCACACGTGTCTCATCCGATTATCTCTCCAACATCAGCGTTTTCGATTCTGCTTGTCGTCCGATTGCTTTCTGCAGTGTATGCTACCATCCCAGATTGTGACGAGGGTTGGTATTTATCGGGTGTTCGAAGTGTGAATATGGCTGATTCTTTTTCTAGTCTTCAATTATTGGGAACCTGCTCATTACCTTACACATGGATACGGTCTTCAAACGTGGGAGTATTCGCCGGTATACGCTATTCGTAGTTGGGCCTATGTGGGACTACATGCCATTGCCACTAGAGCGATATCTTTAGTCCCCCAGCTTGAGAAGACCTATGAGTTCTACGGCCTGAGGTGTTTATTTGCTGTGTTTTGTGCTTACTCTGAGAAAAGACTGTACGCAGTGGTATCATCGAGCATCAACCCGAGAGTCGGAATTCTGTATCTTGTACTTACTATCGGAAGCGCTGGCATGTTCCATGCGGCTGCCGCGTTTCTTCCATCTACCTTTGCTATGTACACCACAATGCTCGCAATGGCGTCATTCATGGATCGTCGTTGGGGATCTCGCAGTGTTCAAGGCGTTGTCTGGTTTGCTGTCGGGGGACTACTTGGATGGCCTTTCAGTATGGCCATGTGCATCCCATTTGTGCTTGAAGAAATCTTCGTGGGATGTATAGCCTGGGACCTTGTCCCGACTCTTTTACGGCTGGCCAAAGGCGGAGCTGTGTCACTGATCTTGCTTGTAAGTTACATTTCTATAAATTTAACACGTAAGTTAATTAGTTTGGTAGGCCTCAATCGTTGGTGTGGATTATTTGGCCTATAGGAAACTTGAAATAGTCCCATTGAATATTGTTCTTTATAATGTTTTCAGCGGAGCTGGAAAAGGTCCAAATGTTTATGGCACAGAACCGTGGTGGTTTTATCTAGCCAACTTGACTCTAAATTTCAATATCCTGCTTCCCCTTGCCCTTGCTAGTTATCCGCTTTTGGTAAGTGGCTTTAGCTGAGACTTCGACTAATAATCTAACTTGACTGACTCATGTTTTTGACAGATCTTGTATTATCTTGCTTGTCGAAGTGTAGCAATTGGTGTTACACCCCGGATGGCGTCAATTTCTCTGCCATTCTACCTTTGGCTTGCTGTTTTTACAACCCAACCTCACAAGGAAGAACGGTTCATGTTCGTCGCTTATCCGGCGCTGTGTATCAATGCAGCCGTCTCATACCATATTATTCTCACTGTCTGGGGGGGCCTCTCGGGCCGTCTCACTAACGGAAAAGCTCGAGAGTTCCTCGACCGGACTGTCATAGTTGCACCTTTATCGTTGGCAATGATAGCTTCCATCGGTCGCATACTGGCTGTGACTTCGGGATATTCCGCACCGCTGCATGTTTATTCCGTGTTACCGTCCGATGCGCAGGGATACCTCTGCCTGGCGAAGGAATGGTACCGGTTTCCATCGTCTTACTTCTTACCGGATGGTATAAGAGTAAAGTTTGTCAAGAGTGCTTTTGATGGGCTCCTGCCTGGCGAATTCCCCGAAACCGGCGACCCTTGGTCGCGGCCGGGAACATGGATGATTCCTTCCGGCATGAACGACGAGAACAAAGGGGATCCATCAAAATATGTATTGATCAACCTTTCGCGGAAGCTGTGTTTAAACAGACTAACATTGTTGCAGGTGTCATTAGAATTATGTGATTATATGGTAGAATCCTACTTTAGCCGTCCAGTGGAAGAGTTCGAGGCAGATTACGCCTTAGATCAGGGACAGTGGGAGAGTGTATATTGCGAGAACTTTCTGGACTCTACCCAGACGGGTATGCTAGGAAGGACACTATGGGTGCCAAGCTGGGTACCTGTGAAGAAGAGCTGGGGCAGGTATTGCCTTCTCAAGAGGGCAGCTCGGTAAATAGTGTTGCTGTTGTTCTCTACAACTGGGTTGGGGATTTGGAAAGCTGGTGTAAGCCTCACAGTGTTGCTTTGTTGGTATGGCGAACCACGCAGGTGCTGGTCGACTGGCGGTGCCGCAATAGATATACTTAATGACCAATTGCGGGTAGATAGCTCTCTCGTAACTAGTCTGCATGGGAGGCCGTGCACTTCCGTACCCCATCTGAGCATCCATCCCCTGCCTGGAGGAAAACCTGGCGAGTGAGCAATGGTGATTCACAGTACTTCCGGATGGACTGTGCCATGTGTGGGAAATTCGGTCTACCAACTGCTCTACGAAAAATGTAAGTATCCGTGACATGAGGGGTGGTTCAAAGCACCCCATATTTGTTGGCACAAACTGGCAAGTCGTACACCTGTAGGCATGGGGAGTTTTTTTATCGAGTCCCAGAAATTCAGAGCCCCTTGAAACGAGTGTCATAGTATGAGACTTTTCTAGCCAATCTTGTCCCCAACTCCCATAAATGGCTCACCCCATGGCTGTGTTTCCTGGAGATAGGCGGGGAATGTTGTCCGTGGGGAATGCTGTCGCTGGAACTGGCAGGTTCTATGAATAGGGTTAGGGTTATCCTGACTTGCGGATATTGGATCACTGAGTAGTGTCTGGAATCACCGGTTTCTTGAGTATACTGTGCATAGTATGCTGTAAGTTGCATCTCTTGATACGCAGCGGCACAGATACTATGCGGGGTCATACTCGAGTAAATTTATTCAATGTCTTTAATACGAGTGGGTACGATGTTTTAGCTGCTGTAACCAAGGTTAACTGCGCAGAGCTCGCGCACACGACAAGGTTATGATACGTGCGGATATTTTAACCCTGGTAGGTAAAAGATCCCCTGGCTGCCAACCGTGGTTAAGCGTTGTCCTTATCTATAACTCCTAGCTTTGTTATCACGTGGATTAAGCATTGATACGGAAGTGTATGATACGAGTTCGTTCCCCCGTTCAAGGCTCCTTGATCAATTGTGTACCGATAGGGGTCTTTATAAACTAAGTGGGCTTTCTGTGCGGAAGGAAGAAAGCAAGCAAAGAGAGGAGCACGGTGCACCGGGGATTAAATATGGCACTGCTACCATCGGTTCAAGATCACCTGCTGCACCATTTGCCGGAATACCTACTTCTGACAGCATCACTGTCTAGTTTTGTGGTTTTGATATTGGGGTGGAGGAGAGCTCGGGGGGATGGTGCGCCTATTCGACCTTCTCCCGTTGAGAAGGGACCAGCGAGGGAGCCTGGTGGTATGCTATTGCTACTTTATATTCTTCCCATAACATGAAGGTATTTATCTAACGAGCGTATAATTATCCAGTCTGGATACCACTAGACTTCGAGTCTCCCACCCCACCGCCGTACCCAGACTGGAACATCAGCACGACAAAACCGCTCCCATACCGCCCCTTCCGCTATGGTCCAAAGTACCCACCACCTCTCCCTCTGCCCCCCAACCCCTTCCTCCCATATTAACCTCTATTAAAGATACAGCATAACGATGGGCCTCCGCAAAATGCCCTTCGAGGAATGGATTGAACTCGACAACCAATTCCCGGCCTACCACTCCATCAAGGTCTCCCGGATCCTCTCTCGTGGTGCGAGAGCCAGCACCACAAACCCAGTAGCCTACGACGCTGCCGTGGAACTCCTCGAGCACCTCGTCGACTACCTCCCCGCGCGCTATCCCTCCCTCTACACCCGCACGGGGGCCGGCATGCACAACGCTTACACTGGCGAAACTTTCGACATCACTGCAACACCCCTTCGCGAAGACCCCGTGCAGATGGCGGCTAGGATGGTGCAGGACGATCTCGTCATTATGATAGAGGGAAAGGACGGGCAGTACTATTTGCAGGCAGGGAGTATTCTCCTGGCGGGGTTTTGGCGGCTGGAGGATAAATTGGGGATGCCGTTGGATGAGATACACACTACTGGGGATGTGCCAGGGTATAGGGAGAAGTTGGCCAAGGGGATGAACAATTTTTTCGCGAGAGTTATGCCGGGAGGGCCGGTTATCAGGAATAATGTATGCTTTCCCTCTCTCAGAATGGAGGGGAAGGAGGGAAGAGGGGGGTGACTAATGCGGAATCGATAGTATTTCATGCAAGCAGACGACTGCCTTGCCTGGTCTCACAGCATCGGTTCTGAAGACGGTGGACAGATCGGGTGGTACACGAGTGAAGCCAACAAGGGTATTGAGCATTACCATTTCAGGTCCGAAAGGCAGACATTGAGGAGGTTACCGAAGAGTGGGGGGGTGGTGAGCATCCACTCCCGTTCTTTATTCTCACCTTCCTCTCCCTCTGTGCTGACTGGGGGATGGGGAATGACTAGGTATTCACGATACGTACATACTTCCTTCCTATTACTGAAATGGCCAAGGAACCGTACGCCCCTGGCCGATTGGCTTCCGCAATACGCAGCTGGGGTGACGACGTCGCGAAGTATAAAGGTCGGGAGCGCTGGCAGGGCGTACTCCTGGCCTACCTGGATAAGGAGCATGAACGGCAGATGGCCGAGGGACTAGAGCCTGAGAAGGAGGAATATGTATATCCTTACTAACCCCTCCCCTTTCTCTCCCTCCATACCGTATAATATAACTGCCCCATATCGTACTCCTGGTGAGCTTAATGAACACTCCCAAAACGCTTGTAAACCTGGGATATCAGCAGAGCAAGCGGATTTATCCAAGAACTGAGAGCATAGATCTGCCTGCGGTGTCCTAGTTGCTCAAATGTCTGATGCTTTTTGAGAGGTGGTGAGCCCCGCTGTCAAAGTCACTCTTTTTGGCTGTTTTGGTTGCATCGTCATGTGTGTTCAGATTCTTAATCTCGCGGGGGCTGTTCTGGGGCAAGCATAGAGTCGGTCGCAATTCCGAAATGACCAGGGACTTTTATGGCGGAAACTATCATGAAATCCGAGTGAAATCTGATGATCACAATTGGTGAAGAGCAAGGGTCGGGGGTGCTCGGTACCTCCTCCTGCTGCTCGGTGTTGCTCCCCTGCAAGCAGGCCCAGGGACCTGCAGTATCAGTATCACCAATATACTTTTACAGCTGTATTGTGATACTTGGATTTGTAATTTAGCACCTATCCAACTGATTGAAGGGGTTGTTATTGTGCCCTTGGGTGGGTTGGCGGTCGCGGTGGTGATGCACCCCAGTTACCTTTGCACCCAAGTACTCGTACAGTACTCGTACATAATCCCGTCCAGTTCAATTTAATTCGGGAACCCAATGTTTGTTTGTTCCTATTTATCCTTCTCCTCCCAACCAACCCTTTTATAATTTTACAAAAGGACAATGATAAAAAGAGAAAAAAAACTACTCAAAAAGCCCAATCCATGCTCGGCTCTTCAAACACTGCCACAGGAGGCTTGATAGTCCCTCCCGCACCACCACCAATCCCCGTAATCCCCAGCTTTATACTCGCCCCAGGCGGGGGTTCATCCACGACTGTTATGGAACTCCTCCTTCTGAAGTGATGCCGCGGACTGAATTGGATAAGTGGCTTGTGCGCGTCTTTGCTTGTCCTTAGGAATTCCCAGTTGCGCACTACAATAATCATTAGGCCGCTCACCATCTTTACCTGTGGGGAGGGGGGATTGGTACCTAAATCTAAAGCGAGTAGGTCACAGCCCATACGGTCGTATAGTCTGGCGGTGTGTAACAGAAACTGGAATTCCGCCCCCGGACTAATCTTTTCCACGCCGCGGAGGGTTTGCAGTGTTTTTTCGCGGATCTGGCGGTAGAGGATTACTAGTGCTGGATCGTCTGCCAGGAACAGTCTTGCTTCGATTTTAGTCAGGGTGGATGGGGAGTCAGTGCCTTGGGTTGTTAGGGATCGTAGCGGTGACTGTTATTCTCACTCGTTATTTTAAACTCGTGATGTAAGAAGAGGAGGAAGACATACGAGTAAGCACCGAACGGCCATATCCTTCCTTCTGAGCATCCAAAACGCCCACGTCGCCAGCCAGCGATTACCCTTTTCCACGGCGAGCGGTAGGATCCTGTCTTCCAGCAGCGCGCGAAGGACCGGACCATCGTCGCCTTCGTAGACTCTTGCTACGGCGATGGCGAGTTGCATGTCGTTCATGCGGTCGAAGCAAACGTTTACAGCATCTTTGAGACTATCTGCTAGTAGGAAGAATGCTGCGGCGTATTCTGTTCGCCTATTGTTAGACAGAGTGGTAAATGAATGCGAGAAGGGGGTGAGAGGGGGGTGGACCGAATCGATGCTTCCCCATGAGTGCATACGCATTTTTCGTGGCGGCGGTTTTCCACCGCGGATCCGAGAAGTTGTTTGCTAGGAAGCGCTGGGTGGAAGCTTGTTCTCGGTTCCAAGATGCCATGCGCCAGAGGCCTATTAGGACGTTCTTCTTTTTGAGGGCAAGGTAGTGTAGGGAGCAGTCTATGGGGTTTTTCTCAAAGGTGCTAGTGTAGTGGTTTCGACCTATGACTTCGAAGTGTTTGTGCTAGGAGTGGGTTGTTAGCTGCTGTTGTGGGGATTGGATAGTGTGTGTGGGGGGGGGGGGGGTACTATGGCTTCTGGGTCTCGCAGCCACATGAATATCCCGCTCTCACGGGCTTGTGGCCACATCATTTTTCCTTTGGCGTTGTTGTTCACTAGGTCGATTAAGATCTCTTGTGAAGCGCTATGGAAGGCCCAGACGAATTCGCGATAGGACATGTCTGCGGGTTCTCTGCGGAGGCCGTGCTGGCGGAAGGAGAGGAGGTATCTGGCGCCGTTCTCGTCGATTGAGCGACGATGCTCTTTGACCTGTGCTACACATTCTACGATGCCTGCCAAGTTGATTTGTTCTGTGCCCGTAAGGTGCGGAATATGTATCTTGGTCAGCAGGCTACAAAGCGACTTTGCTAGTGGCTCGTCAAAGTAGAGTAGTTCCTCTTCTTCCCGATAGCTGCTGAAGAAGCCGCCAGTGAGCTTGCTAGTTCTCTTTACGGTTGACAAGTCCTATTCCCGAGTCAGGGGCTGTGGTCCTGCATCCTAAGTAGCGAGTGAAGCTCACCTCTTCCCTAGCCAAAAACGTATCAATCGGTATCTCTAGAAAATTATCCAAGGGAATCTCCTCATGAAAGTTCTTCAATTCCTTATGCAACCTTACCAGAATCTCTTCTACCAGCCCAGACTTCCCAGCGAGAATACACTGCTGCAAGAACTGCGGATGATAAACCGGAACGGGGCCATTAAGATGAGATACTATCTCAAATATATCGTCCAACCGTGCTTTGAGCGAAGATAGCTGGAGTTTTTTGGAGAGATCGTCTAACTCTTCAACCTTCCTTGAATAGATGAAAAGTTGGTTTCCGGCGCCGATGACCAGGCTGCCGTTACTCAGCCATAGCGAATCACCGATCGGATGGGGAGTGATATCCCGAATATTGATCTGTCGGAAAGAAGCCCATGCTGGCCCAGCGCTCAAGTAATCGTATCGGAGCTGGCACATCAATAGTACTCGATGCGGGAACCCGACAGATAATATCGACTGTGAATCCGGAGTAGATGTCCAATCTAAGTCTTGTATTACATCCTGGCTTTCGAAGTGTTGCTGATATTCCAATTGCGCAGCCCTCGAATCCCAGATCGTCAATTCACTGCGCCCAGAATTGACAAGTGCTATCTTTCGTATTGAGTTCCCCTTCGCCAAAGAGGGGTTTTCGATACTAGTATCAACTGTCGAAGTCGCCAGCCAACGAAGGCCCGACTCGTCTGGGGATACTTTTGCGGTCCATGATTGTAAGAGGCCTGACTTGTCCACTGTTACGGCCACCTCTCGAGAGAAGGTGTCTAAGGTGCCTGATATTGTTGCATTCCAGCCCACAGGATCAACGGGCAGAATCATTAACAGATCCTCCTTCATATCCAGTGCAAACGTAGCAAACTCGCGAACCGTTGGCCGAATATCATTGATTCCATTCGCCATCTCACTAGGTTTCTGGGGTAGCGTGACGCCCCATGCTATTCCCTTCATTTCCGAACTCAACGCAACGACATGGTACTGTTTTAGCCCATCTTGTGCTTCGGGTAATAGTAATAAGCAAAGCATCTTCCCACCAATGACTTTGAAATCTAGCCGTTCAAGTTCTTTTGCTACGGATTGAGTCGAGTCCCATAATACCACATGGCCATCGTGTAATGTCATCACGTAGTTTCCTGCCAAACCATAAGCAGTTGACCGCCCGAGTCAGACTCAGACAACGTACCATTATCAAGGATTACAGCTCTATGCACACGACTAGCAGGTGATATGGAACTCTGCTTTGAAAGCGCAATATTATCCCCTTTCGATTGCGACCAGACCATAAGCTCATTCTTGTGAGTCGACGACAGCATGGATTTCCCATCCGCAGTCCGTACGAGCGTCTCAATGGGCCCGGAATGCCCAGCCAATACCCCCAAAAGGCTAGCTCTCCTCGGGCGGGGCGAAGGATCTAAGAATCGGTCTAATCTGGCTTCATACCAGAATACCCTTCCGTCGAACACATGCGCCAAAACCATTAAACCTTTCACTCGTCAGCCATTGCTTTCATGGCACCCCCGCGAGAAAGGCAGGGGAGACGAACCTACGCCCCCCGGAAAGCAATGAAACTGTACAAACGCCTCCTGTTCTCCCTTAGCCACAAACTCCATCCCAGAATTCTCAGCATGCATGACACTAAAGACATTAGTAGTCTTTCGAGCTCTGCACCCCACATTCTCCAATCCCCAAGCGCTCATCCTTCCCCGTCCGTCAAAAACCACACAGATCTCCGGACTTCGCTTCGCAACCTCAACAAGTCTCTGGAAAACTTTCTGCCCCCTCTCATCCTCACCCACAGAACAAACCGCACTCTCAACAGCATGCGTAAACACGCACCCGTCCACGATCATCACATATCGAGTATCAGACCTCCTCGCCATAGTCTTCTCATCACACAGGCTATCCGGTATGGACTCTCGGAGATCTATGACAGCCCATAACTGAAGAAGGTGTAAATCATGTGGATACACCGGCGCCCAGACCCGTAAGACCCCGTCCGCGGCGATGGTGTAAAGGACGTTATCGACCGACTGTTCCCGACTGAACGGTCTTCGCCAGTGAATCCTCGTAACAGCGCGTGGGTGCGGAAGGTATGAGAAGTCGAACTGGACGTCCCCGGTGCAAGTTGATGGGCGTCTCCATATCTTCACCAGGCGGTCTGATTCCCCGACTGAGGCGATGAGAGAGGCGTCGTAGCTGAATTCCCCGATGTGCACTTGGTTCGCGAGGAGTTTTTCCCAGATTTTTTTCGGGGGCGCGCGTCGTGTGCTCCAGAGTGTAAGGCTGGTACTGCCGACTAACAGCTCTTCCTCCGCCCCCCAGGATACCGTTGATGGCCCGGTGTTGGTGTTTCCCCCTATCTCTATTCGGCTTTGTAGAACCCACTACTCCATTCCGGTCAGCGGAGCTTATCTGGAGAGTCCATCGGATACAAACATTCAGGAACCGCTCCTCACCCCCCGTTGGCGCATAGACAAACACCCCCCCCTTCGCAACCGTAGCAATCTTCCCCGAAATCTCATCAACAGCTACCCCAAACACCTCCACATCGTGATAAATTGTTTGTATAAGCCGGTCCACACTACCAAGTAACACCAATGCGCATCCGGAAACGTACGCCTATCTCCCCTCCCCCACCGACATTATCAGCCACTCCGGAAGCGTGAAGATACCCTAGGGCAGGAGGGAAAGGAAATGGGAAATGGGAAGACAAACGATTATTCTTTTCCGCCCCCATTCAACCGTGCAAACAGCTTGTAAATTTGACTGAGGCTTTCCTGGGAGTAAAACTGAGCGCAAGGCCATATCATGGGGTGTACGTATCGGGGGGTGAAAGAGCTTCGAATCGAAGGACGGAGCTGCTACAGTATGGTAAGTCAATTAATAGTTGGTTTTATGGGAAGGAGGAAAAGGTTGCAACCCGCATGTGGCTGGCATCTCATGACCGGAAAAATAGGGGAATAGAATGCAAGGGAAATCATGGTATCATATCACGTGAGAACCTGTCAAACCGTTAGGCAAGGAGACGAGTATTGTACTCGAGTACAGGTGGAGTGCTTTTTATATATTTGTTTCTATGGTTTGTATGATAGCCACAGGGTTCACAAGGTCTCTCATTCAGAATCTCTATACAACAGGGTTTGGCGAGACGCGTGATATTCATGAGTGTAGGGGAATTAGGCAATACCGATACTTGTTGGGTTCGGAAAAAAATATTTTCCGTGAAGGGGAAATATGTCACGGAATATATCATTGACGAATGTTTTCAAGTGTTAAAGTTACCATATTAGGACCTAGACATAAGCTATCCTACTCAGTACACCGCATGAACATCGCAAAGCCCATACCGGTACTATACACCCCTAGTATAACAATTACACTTAATTCTGACAACCTTTATAACCGATCCATCATAAAAAGAAAAAGTACACTCCCATAATGCTTTTCACCCACCAAAACTCCCCAGAAACAATCAAGAGGAAAAAGAATAAACAAATAACTTCCTTCACTCCCCAAATCGTGACCTCCCAAGTTCCCTCGACCGTCGAACGGTAGACCTCAGAAGTGGGCTTGCAGGTGCTCCGTCGACAGTTCTCCCAAATAATCTACCACCTGGCGTTCCACCAGGTGTCCTGCCGAATAACCTACTCCTTGCGAGCACGGTGGTAGCAGATGTTCTCCAAGGAGTAGGCATTACTACAGTGGAACTTCTCGGGGGTTTTGGTGTTCCAAGAGGAGTACTCGACTGCCCTGCGCCAGGCAGGAGAGGTGAAACCCAATCCTCGCCAAATCCTCCTTCGATTGTATCATCTATGCCCGGTGGAATGAGTATTCTTGTCCTCTCTTGCTCTTCGAGTCTGGAATCGATATTATCTCGTGTCCGAATCCTCCACATCCTGAAGAATGCCTTGAATCGTTTCCTCTCGAATCTGCTAGCTGTCATGCGAAGCATGTTCAAGTGCCAGGATTTGGTCTCCCACAGGCTGAAATACTTAATCGCCGCCCGCACTGTTGCTTCTTCTGAGAAGAGTCTAGCTTGTTTTTCAAGTTCCATGTTTTGGATATGGTGGTCGGTCCAAATGGTGAGGTACTGTTTCATAATCCGGAGGTTACTGGCTTCTTCTGCCTGCAGGGCGAGTGATAAGATAACCCCCGCCCGGGTCCGCCATCGTTGAAAGATGTCAAGCGCAGTGTTTACCATCTGGTTAAGAGCGAAGCCTTGCGCAGAGTCATTCATTTCTTGGATTCTTTTGAATTTGTTTCCCCAAACCTCAAAAACCTTTGCTGCAAGATTCCTCTTTGTCTTCCGGGCAGTCGTGCGGTAGGCCACCCTTAATCTTTGTTTCCTGGACTCCCTGAATGCTCCCATCCATCTCCTTAGGGTTCTCCTGACAGTGAAATAGTAAACTGCATCATCCGCCCAATCGTCAAGCTGCACGTAAACATCGCTCTTAGCCCTCCATTTCACGAGTGTCCTGCTGGCAAGATTATTTCGGTATACCGCTTGTGCTTCGCCCTCCGAAAGTTGAGTAAGCCGTAATTTTCTTCGTAACATGCGCCAGGCATGGGCTGCGATCCTGCGATCCCGTCTGACAGCTATCTCATGGCATAGGTCCTCCCTCTTATAGCTCCGGAATCTTTTCACCCAGTGAGACAAAACGTCCGCCTTCAAGTCCCTCTCAACGTGCGCTCTGAACTCCCGAATCCTCATGTGCAAAACCCATTCATGGAGCGTGCCCACAACAATCCTTTCACCTACTCGTTCAACCATAACGTTGTGCCTTACTCCTAGCCTCCAATGGCGAAAGATGGGCCCAAGAAGACGAGTTTTTGACATCCTCTCAGCCTTGATTGACTGCCTCGCTCGTGTTCTCCAGGCGACAAAAAAGGTGTCCCCAATGCGATCCTTGACGAATTCAACCATGGCGCCCAGTAGAGGTGTAAAACGCGTCTCTCTACGCCATACCTCGAAAGCACTGCGAGCCAAAGACCATTCCCTGTGGTCTGCGGCGATATCTGCCTGGTCGAGACATTTAATGGTACGAAAAGACCAATGTTCAAAAACAACTTGCAGGGTTCGCCTCCTAAAGAAAGCTTCGGCCATTCTGTTCATGCGAACCTTCTCCTCTGTGCGATCCACCCATACAAAGAGTTTATCCAGCAGAAGCTTCTCATTACTCCGCCTCGTTCCCAGCACCCCGCAGAGCTTGAAGAACCAAGTCCAGTAAGCCCGATGCGCAAGATTCCTCTCGAAAACTTCCTGTGCTTGCGCTTCCATTTCCATTTTCCTGGCCAAGTTGCTTCTCCATTTCAAAAGCGCGCCAGATAGTTGGAAAAGTCGAATTTTCTTATTGCTTTCGACGACCACTTGCTTCCAAGCACCGAAATATTTCCTCACGAGGATTCGCTCCCTCACCTTCTGGGACCGCTGGATAATCGCCGCCGTTTTCTGAATCCATAGGCGGAACGCGCTAGCTAATAGCCTGGAATTATACCGCGCTTCAGCCCGGCGCTCGACGACAGCAAACCATCTTATTTCCTGCCAAATGTCAAAAGCCTGCCGCAAAAGGGTTCTACGATCATGGAGAAAAGCAATCTGCTCGAGCGACCGTCGACGTACCACACGTTGAATTGTCATCAGATGCCAATGATGGAAGTACTCCCGTAGGACGGTACGCATCCGGAGGTTATAGAGCGCATCCGCAGCATTCTCCGGTACCCGGGGAGGGTCTGGTATACTGGATGCCTCAAGTCCGTACGCCCCCGCTGCCAATTGCTCACTGCGACGCCTGACCTCTTCGCGACGAGCTTCTGCCGCGAGCTCTGCCGCTCTAACGGCACCATCACGGGGTGACGGACTCCCGACACGACTCCCCGATGAACGCCTCGAGGATCGAACCTCGATACCGGTTCTGCGCAGGGGAGACACAGCATGTTGCCTATCATGCTCATCCTCCGCGGCGTATCCTTCTTCCTCCGAGGCTGCATAGACTCCAGTAGCCCTATCTCTTCTCTGCTTTGCCTCCTCGTATCTTCGTCTCGTATAGTCTGATGTCGCCGCCGGTGTTTCCAAAAACCTCGTTTCCGAGATGTCAACTCCCTGGTTCTATCGATTTCGTTAGTAGATGATTACACAGAAACAGCGGGGCAGCATACATCAAGTAATTGCATGAACTTATCATAAAGTGTATTTCCCTCCGCTCCCTGTAATTGGAGTATAAATCTAAAGTACACGCTGTCCAGAGCAGGATTGATCTGCCTGGCAGCAAGGACGGTATCGTAAGCCCTCCATATTGCGCGGAATGACCTGTTCTCCGGAATAACGGACGCGAGCGAAACGATTTCATGGAGGATTTGCAGGTCTTTCAAGCGAAGACGCACATCAATCAGCCTTTCATCCGTCATCCATCAAAAAGCGCCAAAACTTACCGGCAGCAGTGTAGTGATATCTTTGACGTGATGCGACAGCATTACCAGTAATATCTTGCGGTGGTGGTGGGGGCATGGACGGAACGGCATGAGAAGCAGCGGACAACCCAAAAATCGGAATATTATCTTGTTAATGGCCAAGTGGAAGAATGGCCATCGGGGTGAGGGGAGAATATAGAAAGGCTGTTTTCGGAGAGCAGCGAGTGCTCATGGTGGTCCTTCCACCGGGTTTGGCTATTGTTTATTTTGATGTTGGCGGGAGGAGAGGAATCGGCACTTGGGGTTTGTGAGAAAGACCTCTCAATCGGAAAGACGCGTGCATCCATTGTTGTTGGTTGCCCGTTGCGACCGCAGTGGCTGGTAAAGGGCAAGCGCTACGCCTAAACAAGGAAAGAATGGTGGATTCCATTTCGAGTGATCAATTGTGATACCCCACCGCGAATGTGGCTAGAGATGAACGCACAAAACAAAATTTTGATCGATCAATGCGGAATTCGATCAAAAGCACAAGCAAAATCTACCCGAACAAACACAATGATATCGCCCTTCCGTTCATCAAATTTCAACTCTCACGACCTAGACGCTACCCCCATTCAACGATACCCTCTATCAGTGCCATGGCCGCTGGTGAATCTGAAAGACATTATTCACCACCTCCGCTCGGAAGAGTAAGTATGAGGGGCACGCGTGGGTTTCTGTAGCCGCGGCCCCGGGATTAGATTCGAGGGTTCCGCGTACCGGTAGTTGTGGGAACAGGGTCCATCGCAGAGTTTCTCGTGGACAAGAAAGAGTTATCATATGCAAAATCCGCTTTGAGGGGAGCTCCAGTATTTCCCGAATAGAGACTCATTGCGCAGAGCGTATTGTCAAAACCGACGTGGATTGTGAGTAGACCTAGATCGAGAAATCCCCGTAGTATTTACACCACCAAAGGAAACAAATAGCCCCGCTCGATCAGTCATCATGATGTCTGTTTAATGTGTTCTAAACAGCTCTTCCCATATTAAACATATAACACCCACAGATACTGTATGCTAGCTATTAACACTGCTTGTTCCCCGAGACCACGTACTCAATGGTCCGGGTGATCAAACGTCATCCTCAGACCAGAGGAGGAAATTTTAACACTCTTCAGATCACCCATTTTCTACCAACCCCCTCCTTGCCACCACCACAACCAATGTCAGAATTCACCCCACTCATGAAAACTTCCTCCTCTCCTTCTCCCAACACCTCAGCGGTTATCCCTCCAATCTTCTTAGACCTTGAATCTCAAGCCGCACACATCCGTACCCGCGAGGAGCAGGAAGAAGACTCCCTCCGAAGGAGTCGCCGACGGGCCGATGTCGACACTGCTATCGCGGCTGCAGCGGTTGGAGTTGGGGTACTGGTGATTGGCCTATTGGCGTTTTTCGGGGGTAAGGTGGGGGAATCTGATTGCTCGGCGTATTTTTGCTTACATATCAGCAGGAATGGCAGCGAAGAGGGGGCTGGCGGGGACTTGGCACCAGTCGGTGAAGTGCATGACTATTGGTAGCAAGGAGATGGATTAGAGTGGGTAATTGTGGAATGAGTACCCTGTGGTCCTCCTAGGGCGTTATGGATTATCGAGTGAGAGTCAGTGAACACCGTGTTATCGCGAATCAGATAAAGATCAAAACTACCGTAGTCACCAACAGGCATCTCGTAAGGCTTCGAGTCTAGCTTTCATTCATCGTGACGAACTCGCTACCCCCTTGACCTGAACAACAAAATCCATAGCCCTGGGAGGTGTGACTTTGCCATTATCGTGAAACGAGTAATAGTCACGACTGGTCCCTGCATTCAGCAGGGACAACGTATTGTCTGTCACTTGCCCTGAACGAGATGAAGGGTTCAGGGGTGTAGGGTCAAGCGAAGTCGGGCTCCAATTGGCTGGTTGGTTGGTTGCAGTCGTAGTCGCAAGTGCGGACCCTTATCTGATTGGCTGACAAAGTGCTGCGGTGGGGACATTTCTTGACGTGTTTCTATACCTTCCAAAGCCCATTTACTCACCGTCCACACAACAGACAACCTCCGACGATCCTTTCCATCTCCTCTTTGCCCTCACTACCCACAAGACATAGTGACGCTCCAGTTCTCGAAGAGGTTATAGTGGGAAGGGTGACTCTAGAACGTCCCACAAGACATTAGCTGTCATCTCCGAACGACGCTTCGCCCAAAAGCCGTGCCGTGCTGTCCATCTGATTATACGTGTCGCCAGTATTCGAATGTGGCCGACCAAATCGTGAGCAGAGGTGGAGGGGGGGGGTTGAGCGGTGCATGATATCATGGCTGCGAGAGTTAGACATGAGAGAGTGATAACCCTATTTCCACCTTCCCCCTGATATGAGTAAGTGACCATGCAGTTGAGGCTATGTTTTTCCGTGCAAGCCTACTTCACGTGGCACCTCCCTCTCAGTCTGACAGGACCCAGGAACCGATTGCTCATTTCCTGCCGGATTGTCACTGCCAATTGCGAGAGAGAGAGAGTGTGTGTACCCTATCTCCGTGCCGTCACGAATATCCCTGTAGATCGCGACATCAGACCAAGATAGGTTTAGTTTGTCGGGTTAACGAGATCCAACACGACCATATGACTCAGGCTATACCGTGTCAGGAAGGCACTAATCCTTCTCGAGGACTTTCGACTGAGAATTCGGAGATTAGGGGCTGGCGGAGATAGTGGATTTCACGAGATTATAGGGTAGTCAATTGTGAAAAGTTTCCCAGCACTGTAAGAGGCGAACCGCAAGAGATCATGGTATGATTGTTTTTAGGGCTGCTGTTGCAGATTACCTCCCGTAGGTCGTTTCCTGTCACGGGTACTAACCCAAGCCGCCCTGCAGGTGCTTACTTACAGAGGCCGAGCAGGGCTCCGCAAATAGTACTGAATTAAAAATGTCACTTTCATATCAAAAACTGTTCAAACTACATAAAACACCCTTCTGCTAGTGCGATTAGTGGTTCTCCGCGCCAGCGGACGCTTAAATGACATTTACTTCCCGATTAGCCGCGCGACAAGTACCACCAATAGAATGCTTCGGTGGTTAACAACTACGGTACACATATCAAGTCCGATACACAATCTCAGTTATACCACGATCGTAAATCACTTCAGTAAAGTATAGAGCAGTCACAAACCCCACCCAGCACAACCAAATGAGACCAAGGGCCAGGCGTTCCGTGGTCAACTAAGACCCCCAAAACGCCCCCCCACCAACCTCCCGTATCCCTGTCTATATACTCTGCATCGCTCGATTGAATCAATTCGTGATAACACGCCCCGCCTTCGGAACCCCGATCGAACCTTCCAAGGCGCACCGAGACTCGTGAGAAGGCGACTATCGCAGGCCACATTGAACCCATCGCCTTCCCGGAATCCCAACCGCCCACCTCCCCCTCCCCCTGTAGACCATCGCGAATCAACGTCGACACTCTTATGACTCTAACATCCCTCTCCAGAGAATCACGCCATATCCAAATACAAAACCAACCCAATAGCTTCACATCGAATACGATGCTCTCCCGCCTCCAGCGTTATGTATACCGTCGCGCCAGAAAAGTAGTCATAGAGAAAAAAGAAAAAACCAACGAACAGCGCCTTGGAAGACCCTTCCAAGCTCTGTCAGGCGCGCCCAGCACCGCACCGAACCGGATCGGCCAGCCCAATTCCCTCAAACACTTGCCTGCCAGGTTCAGGTATAATATCCAAAGATCCCGGTATGGGGTTGGGCGGCCGGCCGGGAGTCGGGAACGTCGTCTGATTCGGCAAAGTAGCGCCCTCGGTGCCTGAGCTGCAGAGGTCTATGAAGGATCGATAAGCTACATGCTAGGCGCGGCCTAGTCCCAGGGCGCCTGTCGGGTATACCCTGCTGCATATGCATACGATACGCTTGTACTGTACATCGGGAATCTAAGGTTCTAGATCGAGTGAGTAACTGTGATTGGATAATATTCCTTGGTTCGCCTTACTTTCTAGACTATTGCTCTTTGGGGGGCTTGGGCCCAACAACGAGACCAGTGTACGCCTTAAAAAGGGCGCCTTCTTAGGGATACCAATAGCAGTAGTCCGTCGGAGTCATACCTCGAACACGTGAGTGATGAACGCTTCTCAGCTTGTAGTCGAACTCGCTCGAGTTTGCCTTCCTTCCCCTGAAGATAAGAGCCGAGGGATCCCCACAAAACCTAGATCCGCACCAGGGGTGGAGGGGTGGAGGGAGGGGACCTTAACCAATTGCCTTCCATAGTTTTCTTAAAGTGTGGCAATCCAAAAGATCTTCACCCCCCCCCTTCCTTTGCTCGGTTACCCCTTCCTCCGGTCAGGCTTTTTTGCGGAGGATGGGGTTGGAGGGCGTTTCTTCCTGCTCGGGTGGCTTGCGCTGCTTGCGTACACACAGACACATACACACAGTGGCGAATCATCGCTGTGGCGTGCTGAGTGTGGGGCTGTCCTCGGGTTCAGGAAGTGTTTGTGCTGCGGGGTTGCGGTAGGCTTACCGCTTTTTTACGGCGATCATATCATAGTGGGGCGTTTCAATATAGATATCGTATCTGTGCTCGAGTACCGGTACTTGTACAAGTATATATCCGCAGGCGGGTGCGAGCCTAAAGGGAGTCGGATTCCGCTGTCGTGGCTGGGGGTAGGGTGTGTGTGTGCGTTCGCGGGCATTCTCATCGCGTTCATGTTCGAAACTGTCGTAATTCACCGGTACCGGTACCTCATGCTTTCCGGATCGAAGTCGCTCTATCTTTCCGATGGCAATGCGCCAAAAGATAGAAACAGCGACCGCAGCTTTAATCCGGCGACCCGGGTGCTATGTGTGTGTATGAGCGTTGCGTCGTCGTCGTCGTCGCGGTGGTGGAGATACCATAGCGGTTTACAGCGGCGAGACCATTTCTCTAGCGTTGCCAAGATCATACTTGTACAAAGAAATAAGCTTGCAGAGTAAATATAAAACGGTCAAGTTATGCAAAAAAACACTACAGTAACACCACAGCTAACCCAAACCCTCCACCAAGAGTTCAATACCGAGTGATACCCAATGTCCCATCTTCCGATAACTCACCCCATCCTCGGTCTCAACCCCAACTTGCCAACACACCCCCGACCCGAACCACCCCACACACCCGAGAAAAAAAAAAAAGGACACAACAAAACGAAAACGAAACGACCAGCACATTCCATATCATACCATCCATCCATTCCATTGTTGGGGGTTTAAAAAAAAAAAAAAAAAAAAAAAAAGGCACTGCCCCGAAAAACATAAACGTTAACCATCACCGCCCCATCCATCCCGCCGCCCTATTTCCGTAGCATTTCCGAATCACAACTATCACTCAGAGAAACCACGTAAAACATGGATAAAAACAGTATGATACCATACCCGTAAAAGGGATGGATTATGGATGGTGGTGGTGGGGGGGAATTTCAAATGATTATCTGATTCTGATAAAATATATATATAAAAAAAAAAGAAGAAGTGATTAGAAATCTACCGTTATTGCTATTCCGTTACTTTCCCTGATATTGCAGCTTTCTGTGGTAATATCCGTACAAGTACGATGTAGCGCAGGGGAGGGAGAATTCGGAAACCTGTTATGGAAGATTTACCGTGCGTACCGTTACCAGCCGTCCGAGCGCTTCTAGAACTCCTGCTAACTCCGGAATTCAAAAAAAAAAAAAAAAAGCTTCGGGTGGGTTTCCGGTGTACTCGTACAGTACAGTAACTAGTACTTCTGGTGCCGATGTTCCCCGATTGGGGGGGGGGGTGGGGAACTTTGTCGGTCGGTAGATGGATGACAACGCCGATAAAGTTCTAGGGGGGAAAACGGATATATCCCTTTTTTTGGGGGAAAAATAGAAAAATCAAGGATTTTTATTGTTATTCTACTTTTCACTCGTTCGTGATTCTGATCTTTCTTTGCGGTATCTCCCGCGTTGGTGGAGGAGCTCCTTGGTGGGGGTTTTCTTGAAACAACAAGAAATTGTCACGTTTATGTTGTGCGTTGTGTGTTGTGTTATGTGTGTCGCGTTGCATCGTGTGGATTCTTTAGGTGGTGGTGCCCGCATGTGGTATGCTAAAGACAAGGCGGGGCGGGCGGTGGGGTGGGAAATTTTATTTTTTTATTAGTGGTATCATACTGTATAGTACTCATTCCACCATTCCACCTGAAGATCATGCCAGCAGCCAGCTTGAGTGAGAAATCGTGAAGACTCCCATGATTATCCGGCCATGCCCGGTGCTCACGGCTGCCAGCCTACGGTAACCAACCACTAACCTTTTACAATATCATGACTTTTCCCAGTTCCTATGCTGTCAGCTCGATACAGCCAACGATCCCCCCACTTTCAAAGAATGCCTTAGTCCCCCCCCCCCATGACTCTCCGTTTTCCTCCATGAATCGTATTATATACGTGTTAGATTGGTGGATGGATGGATAAGATAGATGGGGAGGGGGAACCATGGTTTCCTGGGAAAAAAGTTTGTTTTCTCGTATCCTGTCAATTGCCACAAATGGTATGCACAAGCAAGCAGTGGCACGCGTTACAGACACTGAGAAGAGTAGAGCTGGGTAGGAACGTTTTTCTTATGCGGCGGAAGCCGCCTCAAGGAAGGGAGAGATAGTCTATCATAGCTAAAGTATTACCATTATAATATTGTGAGATGGAAATAATTTAGTAGTAGGGCAATATTTTTTTCTTCTTCTTTTCTTTTCTTAACTCGCAGAGTAGGATGGTCCATGCTATAAGTTCCGGATATGGTAGAATCTTGAGTGGGGGGGGGGGGGGGAAGACGAGGTTTTATAATACGATATGGCCACGAGCAGCGAGCAGAAGCGGAACGTGAAGTTCTCGAATCGATTGATTTGTCGGTCGTGATGGTATGGAGGTCATTAGACTACGCAATTGCATCTCCAGCGCGCGCACACTGCGGAAATTCATCGTTCTCGTGGACGATGAATGAATGAATGGACTGGCTGGCTGGCGGCCTAGCTGAGGCTCCGGGCGATAGGTATCATAGCTTAAGAGTCACAGAGATATAATAATTATGGTGTAATATATATCAAGCATGGGCGTATGGGTTATCGAAGGGCTCCTTCAGAGCTGTGGCTTGGCTCACGCCACCATGCCATGCCATGCCATGCCATCGGGACATTGCTGTCAGTGATTCACAAACGGGTTGCTCCTATGATAGCTCCACTCCGCGGTATGATACCGGTATAGTAGTCTACGGTAACTCCCGGAAGGGATGGATGGGGGGGGGAGGAACGTTACTCGAGCACAGTGCAGTATAGTCTAGGGTGTGCTCTGGTTGGCAAGTTCTTCTTCTCCACCATCTTATCATATCATACATAATATCGTACCTGTGCCAATGAGCTTAAAAGGCCAGAAGGGAAGAAAGAAAAAAAAAGATCAGATGGTTAATTTAAGCCTACTGTAATCTGCATGCATGTAGATCAAACCAAACGAGCACTCCCCCTTTTCAGCTGAAGAAGAATTACGAAGCGGCTTCGTTTCAAGTTCTCCAACGCCTACTGGATCGAGTTAAAAAGGGTTTTCCGGTATATATACCTCCCTCGCGGGGGGGGGGGGGGGTTTTTTTTCTGTGATACTGTATATCAAATAAATCGTTTTGTGGTACGGTAGGGGTACTACTGTACAGTACCCCAGTATGATACTACTACAGTGCAGGGGGTTGTATGGAGTACTATTTTTTATTGCATGCCTATCAAATTACCGGTAATGAAATCCCCCCCACGATAATGGGGTGGTTGCGGTTATCAAACATGCAAGCTCGAATACATGTGACGCCTAGAGCTGCACCTATCGCCGCTTTTTTACTTATTGCTATAGCATGCTACCACCACAAGGGAACTTGCGAACGGCGAGGTCATCCGTCCACCCATTGATGCGAGAAAATGAAAATAAAAGGATGACTGCGCGTAAAAGTGGGGCAAGCAGAGAGAGTAGAGTGCTCGAGTACAGTACTAGTACAGTACATTCTTGCGAACAGGCGCATCAATCTATACCACCACGGGTTATACCTTCATGGCGCGAAATGGGGTAACAAACCCGCGTGATACCAAAACGGATCCAAAAAAAGCCACCAAAAACCAAAAAAAAAAAAAGCCCAAAACCAAAAAAACTCTAAAAACTTAATCGTGTCGAAATCCGACACGTCCCCGATACGCGAGTGGGGCAAATCTGTGCATCTTACCCACCAACTGGGTTCCCCTTACCGGTACGATGCCGCCTGTGAACGGCGGGGGAGGGGGTTTAAGCTAACTTGTAGTTTTTACGCGCGTACGAGTACTTTTGTAACAGGGAAAGACCAGGAAGCGAACCCTACCGGAAGTGCAATATGTGAAACATAAAATGCGGGGGGGGGGTTGACAATGGCACTTTATCTTTTTTTTCAGCTGATGGACGGAAACTCCGGATTATATATTTTTTTCTTTTTTTCTTTCTTCTCTGGGTGTCTGCATTGTAGATTGCGGTTGGTTTTGCGATCGTGGTACTAAGAGCCATGCCGTAACGTTGGGTGAGTGTGGCGGAGCTGAGCTAAATTAATGCGAGCTTCAGGAACGGCCGGATGGATTTGACGGATCTGACAGGTTTCGAGGGTCGCTGCTGGTGCTGTGCTCTGGTATCATAATACGCAGAGTATCATACGGTACCCGACCAGGGGACCGGTTCGCGGTAACTAGGCACGGCTTTGGTGAGATCGATCGTGGAAGGCAGGGGTTTTTTAGGTGCACCGCGTGAAACCGCAAGATGGTGGAAGGGTCTCCCCGGGACGTTGGAGTTGCCTTTCCTAGCATGGTTCGTTGCATCCCCTTTTTTTTCCCTCCTCCAAAAAACTTTATTACGGGCCAAAGGCTGAAAAAAGTGGAATATTTTCGTTGCACTTGCTTTTTCCCCCTTAACCATAGGGGGAAATTCTTGACGTCCCCCTGTAGCCTCATTTTCCATTATTCAAGTTTTTACGGTCCTTATGTCATTGTTGCGCAGCAGAGCTTCAGCCCCCCCCGGTTAAACTTGCGTGCTACTTGTTTCAGACCCCCCCCCCCCCCACAATATCCAAATATCAGGAAATGTCCGATTTGATCATCATCCTATTTGTTTTTTTCGGGAATTGCTTACTTGGTTGGATCATCGTGAGTGCTCGGATGGGAGATGAAATGTGCCAGGACGTTGGAATTCCCCTTCTCGCTTGCGAGAGGGGGAAAGCGGCCCAAATCCAGCTCCCGGCTAGGTCAAGACGTACACAAGTGCCTTACTACCGGGGCTGCTCGGCGATCCCCTCAAAGGGATTGGGATGGTGAGTTACCTGATTGTGGGCGCGGGTTACGGCTATCTCCAAAGAGTTAGATCCTGCTTGCTGAGGAATGTTTTGTCCTCGCCGTATCGCACGCACTTTCAGAATCGCCCAGCCCAACATCCTAGCACCTTCATCCTCTACTCGAGTTCCTACACCACTATGCCTACTCGTACAGTGTTACTCGTATGCTGTGATTGCTTTTGCCTGTTTGGTACTGTGATCCGCGGTGATATCTAGTAGGCTACCGACAGTACTACCGTACATAAAATATCATAATTTCAATACCGCGCCCTGCCAAGTATGATACTCTAGATGATCTATTTTTTCCCCTCCACACTGCTTACCTATGGAATAGAGGGAATGGGAATGCCCATGCGCACTTCAGGGGAAACTGCCTACACATGCATGCATGCATACATAAATAAATACATACATACACGTGCACAGGACAGGCAAAATAAAACATGTCCACAGGCACATGGCGGGAAAAACAAGTTTTGAGAGTTTCAAGAGGTATGTGTGAGTAAGATCGGGTGGAACCGAGTTTCATGAGAAGAAGCGTGTGCGACGCCGACAACCATCGCCATATATTATATTACCGTATGCACGGTGATGATAGCGAATGGGCGAGCGAGCGCTTGCTATCCTCCAGCTTCCGGCCCGTTCTACGCTGCCTGAACTTTCCGCCGCCGAATGGCTACAGGCGATCGCATTACACCTCCGCGCCCACCCCGGGAAGTGGAAGGGACGGAAAGAGAAAGCGCTTCCCTGGATGTATGATATGTACGAGTACTGTAAGGGTAGATAGAACCTCACGGGGTGAGAATATGACATTTCCCAGCACGGCGTTGTTCGGAGACTCGGTGATTTCGGTCACATGACACCTGGACTTGGGGCGAACAAAAGGAAAGAACAGCGAGCGAGCCGGTCCAGGTGAGGAGAGGATCGATCGGCTTCGCCCATATGTTGAATCATTAAATGGCCGGTTTGCTACGGAGCACTGTACTCGAGTAGAGGGTCCCGATCGACCAGCTGCGGGAAGACAAGGCGGTAGGTATGGGTATGCGATTCATCATCATCGTCATCGTCATCGTCATGCTGTTCTTCAGCAGGTCGTTTGGTAAGGTCCAACCCTGCACAGAATAGAGCACATAGAGCATGGTATAACACCGCAATGCAAATCGTTACCGCATAAACTTACTTGTACAGTACTGTACCTCCAGCCCCATTACGTTGCCTTATCCCTATCCCTCCTATCCATTCAATCCCATTCAATACCATCCCATCCCATCCCATCCCATCCCATCCCATCCCATCCCATCCCTCCAGTCCATCCCAAGATTATGGTATCATACCCCCCCGAAACCCTTCCTTCGCCAAGAGCCAATCGTCTTTTCTCTATCAGGCAATAAGTACCTGAAGGTACGGCTGTAACTGCGCAAGTCTGCCACCATCTAGCCATCGAGGGGGGAAAAAAAACCCGCGTCATTTTCAGTTTCTCTACTCGTACCGGTACCGTACGCTAGACACATGGGAAGAAGGGTGCTCCACATTTCGTGCATCAACGTGGCGGAGGGGTGGCTGCCACGTTTTTCCCTCCTTTTTTTCCGTCCGCTTGATTCACTTTCCTGCACGAATAGGGAAGTGTTAAAAAGTGCAGAATCCGCAATAAGCAAGAAGATAAAAAAAAGGCGTCCAATCGCCCTCAGCCAAGCGGGCTGGGGTGGCATTATCTTTGAGGTAAGGTCCGCGGCTCCAAATTTCCGGACTGGTATCATACCCTATTGCTTCTTGGCGGAAAAAAAATTGCGGGGGTGTGGTGGCCTGCTTGATCTGCACGAGCCTTGGGAATAACTTTTTTTTTCCGCCTCTAACGATAGGAAGGGAGAGGGAGGAAGGGCTAAGGCGGACGATAACATGAGTACGAGTACGAGTAGGGCGAGGGATGAGTGAGGGGGCCCGAGAACTAGGGCAGACTGGGTGATGAATTTTTCGGGATGAGGGATGAGGCTTGGTAGCGATGGTAGCTGGCGATAAGAGAGGAAACAGCTGGAGAGAGCTCAGGACCCACGGGCCACGTCAAAGACCTTTTGTGAGTGAACGGGTGATTGGGTGGATGGACAGAGACAGTTGTCAATCAGTTTCTGTTCAGTTATGATTTACACTGCAACACGATGACCAGAATTCGCGCAGGGCAGGGTAGAACAGAGTATCGAAGCATCAGGATGGGTTCGTGATGCATCTCGGTGGCTTCCATGATCAACCGAGAAGCAGGGAGGGAAGAAGGGCAGCAAAGGATGAACCAGGTGCGATAATAAGGTCACCAATCAATAAATATAGAAACATTCTGACTACATTGTGGCAGTACAAGGATCACATCTCAAAAAACCGGTAATTCAAAACTTGACATGCGACATCTCACTTTTTTGCAAGAGCACAGGATCCACTTAAAAAATCTGCAGAATTAGAGTAAAACGGGCGATCTTAACTCAATCGGCCTACAGCCAAACACCAAAATATGGTACGGTACGCAACCTCCTTTTTCACACATGGGAGTCCAGAGCACGCACATTTCGGTGTTCCCTCCCACACACAAAGCAAGAGGGAGAGAAGGAATGAAAAAAATGAAAAAAAGAGGAAGGAGAATGGTCAAAAGTAATAATCATTATTATTACTCGAGCATATACGGTACTTGTACAGTACCATACATCCCCATCCGAACTATTGTCCCACCGATACTCGCGACCGAAAAACAGCAGCTCGTTATGATACGATCCGTCAAAGAATCCATTGTTGAAGAGTCCACCGGGTGAAAAAAAAGAAAGCCATCCCTTCCTTTGTGGAATGCGCAAAAGCACAATTACAGCCTACCGGTGGACCAGGCGCAGCCAGCCCCACCACGCAGACAAGCGAAAACAACCAACTACGGTAGAGAGGGGAAATGTCTGGTCAAATTCGGAGCCGACCGTCATACAGGGCCTGTACTAACCTCTTCTGGTATTGTTGGGATCAAGGTGGTTAGATTTGGTATGACATTGTTTCCTTTTCCTTTTTCCCTTTTTTTTTTCACGGTCGGGAAGATGCTAGGATTGGATAGACTGTAACTTAAGCGTGTTTTCGAACAGAAGGTGAGATCGGGAATCTGTGATTTCTCTTCGTTATCGTGCGTGCTATGCGACTACGGTACGTACCGCCCTTTGCTCTTCACACCTGATTCTCCATTCCTGAAAATCAATTGTGCGAACTCAGCCTATGATCTTTCTTTTTATGGCGTAGAATCGCTATCGATGATCTCGGCGATCAATTTACAACGTACGGTACAAACTTTCCTTCCATCCATAGTACTCGTACAAGTGAGGAAAAACAAGTAGGCGAGGATTGGCTGCCTTGGATTAGCCCCACTGGCCAGGGCACCGGGTCGATCTCCGAGGGGAACTACGCAACTTGTGGCAGCCGCACTTCCCCGAAAACAACTTGAGAGCACGGTACAGTATCGTACCCTTGAGATATCACAAACCTTAATATCACTCTCATATACCTATGCTCGTGTACAGTACCCAGTGGAACAGAACTGGGATGGTAAAAAGGAATTGGGGGGGAGGAAGAAAAAAAGAGGGAAATCCAGACCCGAATAGCACCTATCCATCGGCAAAAACCCTTCTGCAAATACCGGTAGGAGAAAAAAAAAGAAAAATTATACCCAGAGCCCTTCTAGAACTTTTGAAAAAGAAAGCAAAAGGGGGGAGATAGAGAAAGGGAGGAAGGAAAGAGGAAAAGTCTACGCCGCAAATCACACGCCTCGCTGCACGATTGTATTGGTCGGATAAGCTGCACCTGCATAACGTTATCGATAGAACTAAACTAAACTAAACTAAACTAAACTCCGTCCGTTGGCGTGGATGGGGGACTTCTAGAACTGCAGCCTCTGTTCCGTGGTACAGGATTTTTTTTCCACGTGTGGAATGAAGGCAGGGGGTGACGGGGGACACATTAGCGGCGGGAATAAAGTCCGAAAACACCGATCGCTTTTTTGATTTAACGGGAGAGAACACACTCTCAGAAGTGCTTCTTCCCCTCTCGGGTAGCAGCGACAAGGGTCCAATAATGCCCCACACACACAAACTTGAATGCCAGCTTCGGTACATCTGCATGAGTACCGTGCTAGGGTACGGAGGAGGAAGTTAGTGATGAGAAAGGACAAGGGGTGGCCGAGGGCATGTTCATAGCGCGGGAATCTGTAGATATTTTTCCTCGGCCACCCCTGTCCATCTCATCATTAACCTCCGTACCCTGGCTGGCACTTTAGCACAGCGTGGCAGCCATCCCGCTTGCTGACACTTGCTTGGCTCTCGCTTGGTCCGATTTTGGGAGGGGAGGGCCTCGGGCAGGTCTGGTGGACTAGTGTCCAAATGCCAACAGCTAACATAATCACATCTTGCTTGCTGGAAGGAAGGGGATTGCATTTAATTTTTTTCATGCGAGATACAGGTCCCTCAAGGATAACGATTTGTGTGCCATAACTGTCACCAGAACTTTTCCCATGCCCCCGCCCGAAAAAGAATTCTACTAAATTATCGCTGTCCTTGATATCCACCTGTACTCGTACGGGAACCCTCAGACAGGGAGGGGGGGACTATTTGATAGCATGTGGGTAATTGCAAGTAACGTGCGGGGGCAGATTAGATCCTTGTCCCCGTCGGGGAGGTGAGAGGGGTGGTGCATTTTGGGGAAGCTTTCCTCTCTCTCTCTCCCTCTCTCTCCCTTTCGCTCGCCGGTTAAGTTAGCGAGATGCAAAAGGCAAGATGGTTCGGACAACTTGTACCTGTATGATACTGTACGAGCACCTGTAGGCGCCGGAGTACCGTTTACTCGAGTACTGTGTGGCACGTTTTTTTTCTTCTTTCCCTTCGGTAAGGTTTACTTTTTCCCCCTCTTTGTTGCTTCTTTTTCTTCTTCTTTCTTCCGGTCATACCGGTATTCGGGGTTCGAGGTTTTGCCCACCCCGCGGCCGACGGTTCGATTCGCCGGGTCGGCCGATACAGTATCGTGAAATGTTTGAAAGCTCGGTCGGTGAAACCTGTCATTCACTTTATTTGCTGATCCATCCGTCTATCCCCGCGCATGTGTGTCCGCGTGAGATCTGACAAAGAAAAAAAAGCCTGTATGATAGAAGTGTCCACTAATTACAATATTATGCAAGTGTTATTATGCGTCGCACCCCCCCCCCTCCCATCCGGCACGTACCGGTAGTCAAGCAGGCGCAACATAACCTTTTTTTTTTCTTTTTCTTTTTCTTTTCTTCTACGATTATCGAGATCTTGGTTTAGTCTTTTTTATGCGAGGACCGGGTTGTACAGGTACAAGTGATGATAATTGAAAAGTGAGGTAAGGCAAGGAGATTGGGGGGGGGAGGGTTTAAATTTTTTTTTTTGTAACTATCATATCATACCTGGCTGAGCACGGCGTTTATTAATCCATAATTATGTATTCTGCGGGACCAAAACTTTATCGGGCGCCTGTGTAGGAGGAGGAATGATGGATAGATACGGTGGTAGGGTTTGTAGGCACGGTAAGCTCAGGTATAGTTTGTAGATTGTCGGAGGTTAACGCAGCTATGTACAGTACTAGTACCGTGCATTGCGCTATGCGAGGATCAGGGAGGAGCGGGGTCACGTTCCGGCCAGCTCTGGGTATCATACTGCACAGTACTTATGGCATGATGGTGTGGGCTGCATTTTTTTTTTTTTTTTTTTTTTTTACGTTGTAATATTTCATAGTACTCGCTTTTTCAGGCGGGAATTGACTTGCTCGTTCGTCATCGACGGCTTGAATCTCGGTAACCCCGAGCCCACCCCATCTATCCCCGCCCCGCCCCGTTGTCTTTGTTCAGCCGACGGGACAGATGGACGGTGGAATTGGCAACTCGTATGATAGGCGAACCGAAAAACCACACGGTGCTGTAACGCACTGGTACTGTGCTGTATTGTACTTTTTTTTTTTTCCTTTCCTTTTTTTTTTCGCCGGATACGCCCTGTCTCTCCGCTTGCCTGTCCGTCTGTCTACGTGATTTGTTGCTGTTGTAGAGTGTTATACTGATACTGTGCAAAGCACATGCTCCATCTTCCCCAACAATTGTGCAAAAGCAAGAAAACAAGGAGGAGGTAGGGGTGACTGAATAATTGAGATGGTTGATTGGTTGGTTGAGTTAAAAGTCTGTTCCGTGGAGCTGGGAGAATTGAATCCGTACCGCAGTAATTTAGGGTAGCGGCTGCATGCGATAATCGAGTATGTGACGATGCAGGCGCGATGGATGGGGGTGGAGATGGCAGTGGAGGGAGGGGAGGTCTGGGCGCGGCGCATAGGGGAGGGGGGTAGTGGCTTGTACTCGAGTACAGTACTGTGCCCGCGCATCGGAAGGGGGGGGGAGATGTACAAGTAGAGCTACGGTTAGCTATGATACCGCATGCGCAAGGAGGGGCATGGTGTGAGAAGGGTACTTTTCAGCGCGGAGCAAAAAGCTAAATGGAGGCCAACGTAAAAGTGGCATTATTGTTGTACCAATGGGGAAGGGGGGGGAAGGCGGGGATGTGTGTGTGATTCTTAGTGGGGACGGGCTCGGTGTAAAAAACCGAATTTTCACGCGCTGGGCCTCGGCTTGAGTCCTTGTGCTGAGTAAAATTTTTCTGTTCCTCGCTTTTTGTCCTTGGTTGCAACGACCTTGCGACCTATGTATGGATGGATTTGACATCGGGCTTTTTTTCTTTCTTTTTTTCTCCTTGCTGCGTACCAAGTGCTGGAGTACCGTACTGCCACACCCAGTTTGGGGGTGCAGGCGATTGGGGCAGAACAGATGGGTGGATGGAGGGAGAATGGACCGAAGGTTGAGAACCGGCAACAAATTGGTACCGGTACCGTGCTCGAGAATGTATGATGGGTATGATACGGTATTTTTTTTTCCCCCCCTTTCTTTCTTTCTAAAAATGGCCCCTAGTCTACTTACGCATCACACTCCGATCTCGCCCAAGTATGTTTGGCTTCACCACACGCGCTTTGAGCAGGTAAATTATCATACGGTAGTAATTAGAAAACAAGATTCTTTGTGATCGCTTTTCCGTAGGGCAAGGAAGGAGAGATTTTCATGATTGGTGGGTGGTGGGGATACCACCGAGGTTGCTCGCTTATTCATCATTCATCCAAATGTGCTGTGTGATGGTGTGAATCTCAGGAATTTCACTTTTGAACTTGGACGGTGTAAGTCTTGTGTGTGTGTACTCGAGTATCGGTACTGGTACTGGTATGATAGTCGTGCTCGAGTATGATACTGTACTGGTTTGGCGTCGGTCGGGTCCTTTGGTGAGAAGCCCTACCTGTCTTGCTGGTTGGCTGGTGCTGCATTTGTGGTGTGGTGGTGATAATGAGGCTGGGGCATGGGCCCCAGCAGTGCCGTACTGTGCGAGTACTCGTACAGTACCAGGACGGTAGTAGCCGCTGTGCGGATGTCGATTTTTCCCTCTTCCTTTTTCCTTTTTTTCCTTTTTTTCACTTTTTGATTTTCACATTTTTTTTTTTCCTTTCGACCCTCTCGCTTCCCCTATGACGCAGCCGCAGTCTCTTCTCTCTCCTTCCCTCCCCCACCCACACACACCACGCAAACCTCCACCAGCTTGCTTTCTGTCCGCATATAATATCCACGATGTGTAGCCATGTCTCCTCTAAGAATCAAAAACATAATTCCTTCCTTCATAGGAGACAAGACAGTCGGCACACCCGAAAAAAGTTACCGGTATTAAACCGCATCAGCTACACCCAGCTCGCCCCCTCAGCCCCCGACCAGGCGACGACGACGACTACGACGGTCTTCAACTGGCAAACGGACTACTGCGATCACCGAACTTCCACCAGTCCACGACAGCTTCGACAGCCGCAGATAGCACCTCGATAAAACCGTCCCAATCGCCATTGAAAAAAAAAAAGAAACCAAAAGGGAAACCGAACGGGAGAGCATTCGCAATCATCATTGCCCTTGCTTAGGTGGTCTCCGAGGCGCACTCACAGCTTGCTGTGTGCTGCTATAACTATAAACTTCTAGTAGGTTCCAGAACTCTCTCCAAAATCCAGAGAACACACGCAGCGCACACAAACGAGAAGAAGAACGCGAACACATCCTTTCCCAAGAGCTCTTTGCTGCTCCCCCTTGCCTGTTTCCCTAGTCCTCCATTCAATTGGAAATAGTAGCGTGTTTCCTGGAGTGCCTATTACTCATACCTGTCCCATCCATTGTTCCCCCCCCCACCCCTCCAATCCCGCAAACCATCCACCAACCCTTTCGCTGCTTTAGAGCTAACTCAAGGCCTACTGCATAGCGTCATCCCATTCTACTTCCGGAATTCCGAACCATTCCACGAGACTGAATTGTCATCTTATTGTGCACTCATAAAGGCCGTTCTTCCCTCCCGTGCCGAGCTTATTTCTTGTCCGACTTCACTACCATAACATCCACTACCGCTTTTACAAGTGAGATGCGAGCTCCATCGCCCCGTCAGTGCTCCTTCCATCCGACAACTCCATACTTCCTGAACACTCTTTCACACTACACTTCCTATAACTCCCCACCTTCCTCCCTCGCCGATTCCCATAAGAGAACGAAGCTTCAACCAGAGTTCGACAGCGGATTTATAAATTTCGAGCCCTCGGTAGACTACTCTCCCCCATACAACTCAGTCCCTCAACTCTCAACCCGAAACATTAGCCTGAACCCTCACATCAGCCTGCAAAGGGCCTCCGAACCTGCCTCACCTACTAATCCATCTACTCACTCGTCACCTTCCCCTTCTCGCTCGAGGGTGACTATCATGTCTACCGAACAGTCCTCACAAGACTTTCCGTTGTGCGGTGATGGGATGCATATCTCCGCGGATCACCATCAAAAGCAACAGGTTAATCGGAGATATGAATCCGCCAACTCCTTTGGGCACAGGGTTTCGCCTACTCCTAATTCGAGGTTTGGAAACGGGTTTCCCATGACTGTACCGCAGTCCGAGTCGCATGTTTCGGGGCCCGGGTTACACTACTATCCTGGCTTTCAATCCGACAACAATGACTTCTCGAAGCTTTCCACGCAGCAGCAGCACCGATACCTCCAAACCCTCCCACAGTTTAGGAACCAAGGTTTGAATATGGGCCAAATGACCCAAACACAACATCACGGTTCAGACGACGAAGATCCGCCAGCGCTCTCGCCTCATGGCCAGAGTCAATTTTCCGCCTCTTCGAGGCCTTCCCTATCGGATGTGGATTTACGTTCCCCTGCCACGCCCATCGCCTCTCCGGGCCCGAGCGATCTTGCTGAGGGATGCGGTGCTCCAGTGTCTGCAGTTCGTGAGGATACCTCTTATCTAGTTGAAGCATGGATGGAACATTACTTACGATCCGAATCAGACATCCACACTCCCACTCCTAGGCTTGCTCGAAGGGTTTCGGACGCAATGCAGGATGAACTCTTCAACCCCGGCATTGCACCTGGCACTTCGATTACCTCTCGGTCGAGGCAGGATTCAAATGGTGTGAATTCCAAGCTCCCGACATTTCTTCACCAAGCGCAAACCCAGCACTCCATTGCTCGCGCCACTCCCCCGACCACTCGCGACCACTCGCCATTTCGTGCCAACTCTCCGTTCCACCCCGCCATCAGAGCTAACCAGTTTCCCCTGCCCCAGTCACCTTCAAGAACCACTTCGCTGTTACCTGTGGGGTTTGGCACTGCTCGCGCTCGGCGGGAACAGGAGGCCGAGCGAGATGCCGAGCTTCTCTCTCAACAGATTCCACATGGCTTTGGTGGGAGCAACGAGGCTCCCAAGACCATCTCGCCCAAGGATGCTTACGTCGATTATTGCGATCCCGACGAGGAGGACGTCAAAGGCAACTTTTTCCCTCAGGATGATGCATACTCTCAGGATGGAAGTGTCCATAGCGGGAGCTATAAAAGCTCTATTCATGGCGGTGATGACGCTCAATCTGATCACAGTTTTGGAAAGACCGAGGAGAGCTTTGGTAGTATGGCTACTAGCAGAAGGGAGAGCGACGTGAGCATGAACTTCAGTCCTCAGCTTTATGCTGGTAATGGCAACCACCAATACCCGCAGCTTGGCTTTCCTTACACATACTCTCACATGAGCAGACACAGTGAGGAGGTTGGGTCCGATCCCGTTTCTCAGACTTCCGCTGTCGAGGAGGAGCCTAGTTACGATTACGATCCCGCCAGCTCACCAAGCTCGAAGCCGGCCGAGTCTAAGGCCAACAGAGGCGTTTACACTTGCACGGTTCCCGGCTGCACACAAAGATTCCCTACCACCACCAAGATGTCAAAGCACAGACGTGAAGCCCACAGACAGTCCACTCCGCTTTCGAGCATCAAATCCCACCACCCCGGCCCTCACAAGTGTACTCGGATCAACCCTACTACCAACAAGCCTTGCAACACTATCTTCTCCCGACCCTATGACTTGACGCGCCATGAAGATACCATTCATAATACAAACAGGCAGAAGGTCAGATGTGAGATCTGTAATGACGAAAAGACGTTCAGTAGGCAAGATGCCCTTACTCGCCATAAAAAGGTAAAGCACCACTCCGATCTACAATGATGCACCCATGCCCAAGCCCTGCGCCTAATGTGATGGTACAATTTGCTAATATATGATGGATTTTCTAGGTTAAGCATGGTATCGACAAATAGGACTTTCCAGAAAAAAACAATCGCTTCGCTTCCATCGATTAATGGTGACGATGATGAGTACTCCTTCTCGTTGAAGCACCTTCTCGAAAATCCTGTTGCAAGCGATCGGCAAATGGGACGATCGACAAAAGCACGCACATGTTGCTCGCCCCAGCTACGGTAGAAGGATGGAAGCAGCCATGGAAAAAAAAAAAATCACTTTGTTCCCGCCAAGACATGGCAGTACAATGCCGGATGACGTCACAACCATTGCTCACCGCGCCCTGCGGCCGGGTCCATTTTTGATCTTTTTTTATCCTTTTCTCATTTTTGTTTTTTTTCCTGGAACGAGGCTTTTCTTCTTCCTTATTCTCACACGAGAGCAAATATCCGCCGTCAATCATTTCTGGAAGTACTCTCCTTTCCCCGGAGCCTATTCCTTTCTCTTCCGCATTTATTATCCGATTCCATGTTTCCATTTTTGCGATAATTTTTGCTTTCTATTATCATTTTTTAGCCTTTCCTTTCTTCTTGATCTGGAAACCTGGGGATAATATTGGGCAGGTTTTATATGCTACAAGTTTATTACTGGTCGATTGGGGTTGCGGGTGCATAATTTTCGGTCGTGGCACGGTCAACACCTGTCTCGGTCTTTTTTTTATCATATCATAGCTGTTTTTTGTGACAACGTACTGGTTACTTGCGTTCACCCTATTATTTTTCTATTTCTTTTTTTTTTTTTTTTTTTTTTTTTTTTAGAAAGGCGAGCTGGGGTGTTTTTTTTTCTTCTTTCTTTCTACTGAGAGGAAATCATAAACATGGAAGGGATGGCGTTTTTTTTCGCAATTGCGCACTCCGCTTTGCTTTGGCTTTGACTTTTTCGCTTTTGTCTTTGGGGCTGTCTGGTGTTTATCGCTTTGTATATGCCATGTGCGAGTATGATCTGTGTCTATCTCTATGTATGCGCAAGTGTATTGCATGTTGTATGATTCTGTACGAGTATATGAGGTTGGCTTAGACTTTTGGGGGTTGGTAGAATTTTATTCACTACTACTGCTAAGTCACTGGTAGCAGGGTTGCGGTAATGTTATTATGATAATACTCTTATGACTATTTCACAATTTCTTATTTCGAAGCACTGGAAAGGGGAATGGGAATTTACACTGGACTATGAATCAAGTTGATGCTGGATACAAATTTGCTTTTTTAGAGTATGGGAAAAAGGAGAAATGACCGTCTGGCTTATTGTGACGCGCTCAGCGGTAATCCCTCAAGGTTGAGAATCGAACTCTGAATTCTTGATAAAGTTATTCCAGAAGGGAAAAAGGAAAACGGAAAAAGAAAATACCGTTACGGTCCCGTTAGAAATCCGATTAGGTACAGTACTGTACGAGTAGGCCGTGCATGCTACGCTAGGCCTTGTATCATACTCGAGTACTCATACAGTACTCAAGTAAGCATATCGAACCCTGCATCACGCACCGCAGATCCGTAGACGAGTCCAACAGAGCAAAGTGCGGTATGTACGATACTGTACGAGTAGATAGTCCTACTCGAGTAATCCACCTCGAAGCAAGAAGCGCCCTCCCAAGGAGACCCTAGAGGTATAGTAGGCTACCGGGGGGGGGGGGAAGGGGCGCACGCGAGAACTCGATGACAAAGTACGATACCGTACCACGATATCCACCCGTCACACCCACACAAGAACCCATAACGGTATATTATACACAAGTATTTAGTATAGTACGAGTACAGGTACCTACCCATTCATGACGAAATGGAAGGAAAAAAAAAAAAAGGAGCTGAATTGACCAAGTACAGTACAGTACCAAGTAACCGGTAACATCACCAATAAAGTTAAAAAAATTTTTAATCGCCGGATTCGGGTCGTTATTCCTCCCCCACCATCTCTATGATACTTTTTTTTTTTTTTTTTTTTTTTTTTTTTTTCTTCTCTTTCTCTTCTGGAGAGTGGCAGTGACGCACACACCGAGACCTTTGAAGGTTTTTAAAATCAAAGCTTACGACACAAGCTGTAATTATATACAGTACCGTTTTAACGTTTTTTTATTATTGTGATAATTAACTCCGATCGATCCACTTTTTTCCCGGGAAAAAATACCGTAGAATAGAATAGAATAATGACGATCGGGAAACATCATCGTCATGTTACTCGTACGAGTACAGTATTGCGCACCTTTTTTTTTTTTTTGCGGGAGTGAGCCGTTTGCCGGGTGTGGTATGTACATGCTCACTATCTCTGCGTTGGAGATGATTGCCACACTTTGTTTTGACTACTTATGATAACCTTGGGTTGCGCAGGGGGTCATGGGGGCTCACTCGTTTTATGAACAGGGGTAGTCTTTTCGGGTGGTCGGCTTTTTGTATCGTAGGCGTGGGAACTCATTTTGTTCTCCCCCGCCGTCGCGATTGCTGCGTTCGGAAGTGGGGGTGGGGTGGGGTGGTATATGATATGCTTTACTGGGGCTGTGGTCGGTTTTTGGAATTGTTGATGCGATATGCACAGTACGGTTGTTGGTATATGGGCAATTAGTATTGCGGTCTCTTTTTAACTACTGCTGCGGCGAAACCACTGGCGGGTTCGAGGGGGGGTGGTTCGCCAAGGCAGATTCTGGCCGGATTTCTCAGCATACAAGTCTACCTGGTTATGCGGGCGGAGTAAGATTTGGGAGGAATATGGTTTTTCTCTCTCTCCCCCTGCACTCTCGGAGCTTTTCGAAGGTGATAGCGGATTAATGCTGAAGCCGGCGGAGGGAGGTATATTCTGAATTAGGCCTTTTTTTTATTTCGTTTTTTCCCACCCTTTTCACCTTTATCTGCCCATAGTTGAGCCCCCAATTTAGATATCACAGGATGTTTTTATGGATTTCCCGAACCCGTAAGGCATTCAAAGGGGGGGGGGTTCGTAATAGGGAGCCACATAGCCTTCGTTGATTTTTATCACTGGCCCCCCTCTATGCCAGCATTGCCCTTGACTCTTGACTACTGGTATGGAATTTATAGTCAGGTGCCATGTTCACTGCGAAGGTATATTCTCCCGGCTGTGAAGTCGCTGAATGGGGGGGGTGGGTTTCTTTGGACTTGCTCAAATAGGCATATATATGTATCATTGGTTGATATCTGACTCGGAGAGTTGGTCTAGATTGGAAGCGTTATACTGTACCCGCCGTAGGGCGCTCGAGCATAGTCTGCGGTTTGTGAGGCCCAGCACTGCTTTTACCATCGGTATACGGGTCAACCTACACGCTCCAGCGGCCTGATTATTCCCTTCTCTCTTCTTTTCACTTCTGTTGCGTTCTATTGTGCCGGCAGGATTGGTAACATAACCCGGTTGAACGGCGATTACCCGCGTCTCGGGGCTGGTGGCGTATCAGCGGCGACCGCTCCTGGGAGTCCTGAAATATTAGAAAAGTCATCGCGATATCATCTGGTACGATGATTCACTTTCCATCAAGTCAAGGTATCCCCAGAGAATCATGCGCACCTCGTGTACGCGCTGTAGAGTGCGTACATCAGCATGCTATGCCCTCCATGGAGTTTTTTTTCCCCCGGGAATCATCATACCCAAATTACTATCACTCAGGCTTACCCGGTACGCCCTCCACACCCCAGCGAACAGTCGTCCATCGCCAAGCCGCGGGTGATTTTCCATAGCCAACACTGTTCAACACGTTACTGTGCTCACTCATTTGCCAATTCCTCCGCCAGCCGATAATTTGCTGCAGCCCTCACCAAATATTCGGCTCACGGAGGTATAATTTTCCCGCCAAAGACGCGTGAGTGTGGTGCTGGTGCGCCTCACACCACAGTCAGTAATCAACCTACCAACCTCGGAGACACCCCACATAATTGTCCGAGATATCGTCAGTTATTTGAGTCTCGTATAGCCAAACACAACAGCAGTCAATCTCCTCGCGAAAATTATTCACTGAGCCGATACTGTACACGTACTCTACGTACAGTACAGCCACATCTGCAGAACTCTCAACCCTCCCCGTACCTATTCTCTCGAAATTCACTATCTCCGGCAGTCCTGCAATCTCCGGACTCTGAGTCAAGAGCTCCTTGGAAGGACTAGTGTTTCCCGACACGGTATGCGATCGACCCACTGGACGTGTTTGATCTCGTTAATCGTTAATTGGTATGCAATCCTGTCAACCTGTCAAACCAAACCTATCGTGGGCTGATTAGATAATTTCTGCTGATAATCTGATAGTGGATTTCAAGAGATTATGATCCTAGACCTCAAGAACCGTATCCGTTAACAAGAGGGCAGGAAGAGCCCTTTGGATAACTATTTTGAGATATGCCTTCAGGGGTATAATTGTAAACTTTTACCGCAATTTGTTTTTCTGAATAATGAGAAAGAGAGGGTTAGCTGAGCGTTTCCAAGGGCTGAGGGTACAGTACCCGGATAGGTATGTGAACCCCCGAATGCGGCTGCACTTGACAAAAACGTCTTTCGCGGTCACTGACGTTACCATCAATTAGTAAACGCAGGGCCGAGGAGGATGTTTAGCTCGGCACCTATCGTTCCAATCAGTTTATGTAATTTGACACTGTTTAGAAATACCTACTATTAAGTGCTTCGATATCCATGGGGATTGCTGGAAACATGGTGATTGGTTGTCCAGTTCCAGACGGCTGTCGGCACGATCGACTGACGAATTTATAAGTTTTGCGAAGCTGTCTTGTTCGCTAAACAACATGCGATTCTAATGTAGGAAACAAACTTACCAGCGCAAACTGTCTCGGCAAAGCCAGGCAAATTGCTCCTCCCCTTCTTTCGATTCTGCTTTAACTACTTTTGCTCTGTCTAGTACCACTCTATGCGTGCAGGACATGCAGAATCTACCGGTTCTGCAGCATTCGCTGTTGGAAGGTTTGGCATCAATGCTAGACTAAATTACCTTCTTTCGCGACGTGAGCCGTGCCGGGGTAGGGATTTGTTTACTGGCACAGATCTCATTAGGGCTGCTGGTGAACAATCATACTTACCAATGGCAGTGGACGGGCTCCCCCGGCAAGCTCCCTCGACTTCATTCCAGGACGGCCGTGGGGCCTCACATTCCAAGGCATTTCTATCAATCCACGGTGGAGCCCTTCGTCCTCCCCGTCCTACAACCAAAAGAAAACCCCGGGCAGAACCCTCTCCGGGATTGGACGGACTGAACCGCTGCGAACATTGTTGGTGCCATTCCGCCGTGTGATGCTGTATCTATAGCCGGGTATGTTTGGTGGAGGTGGTGGCTTAGAGGCGTATTGGAGATCGTATCGCCTCTGGTGAGTGGCGGTCGAATTGGCTCTGTAGGTTCGTGGCCGGATGGGGGGAAGTGCTAGTACTTATAGACGAAATATAACCGTTCCTACTAACTTATGCCTCGAGTCTCCTTTTTCTGAATCCCTTGACGTGTAATGGTATTGGAGGGGACGTAATCATGTGCGTAGCAGGGAGGTTTGAAGTTCTCGGCACATGGTAGGCACCTGTAATCCAATGACGTTTGTGAGCGCAACTGCTATTTTATATCGCAAAAGTCCAGCTGTTTTGGTAGTGTATTTTTTTTCTTTTTTCTTTTTTCTTTTGAAATTGACTTATATATATATTACTAGCTTTTGACACTGGCCAGAAGGAAAAAAAAGCAGTCCCATACAAGTAAAATTGGTTGTTGTAATCTCATTCATAAGAGAGGGATCTGTTTATCTCACCGTCTATCCCCACGATGCCACACAAACCTGGCTCAGTCCAGATGGTGTGTTATGATACAAAACTGTCCCGTATGACACCATACATCTTGATGCTCGTACAATCCCGCCCGTGACTTCCGGGGCAGCTCCAACTTCGCGAGTGAGGAAGCATATATTTTTCTTTCTTTCCTTCTTTACTACCTATCGGAATTATATATACAGGACGGGGTCACACAATAAGGAGGAATTGGAAACTGGGGGAATGGAAATAAGGTTGTCGAACGTGGAAAGGGAAAAGTTGCAATGAATATGCACAAAAATCCCATACACACATCCACTCATCGGTCAATCTTTTTCAAACCTCCAACTTTTCCGATGTGATTCTCCTACGGTACTCGGGGGGGGCGAATGGGGTTTCTTTCTTTATGCGAAACGGTTAATGTAGGGATTGCTACCCGAGACCTGAATTGGACAGCCGAGGGGGGAAGAGAGAGAATGTGTGAATGGGACGTTTTGCCCCGCAGCGACTCTTTGGAGGTCTGGTGGGGGGGGGGACCGTCTTACGTATGGGAGCAGGCAGTCACAAGATATCACTCATGATGAAACATGGTGGTGGTGTTGAATTTCCTGTTATTGTCTTCCATTTGTCCTCAAACTATGGCTTTGTCTAAAGCGTTACTTTCCTATATCCGGTTATCTTATTTGGTTGTATCTGTTGTGGTGGTGAGACATCATCGGTTGGGTCTTGATTATTGAGCGGATATTTCGTATCGGCTTGGCTTCATTGCGACCTCCGAGATTGGAGGCGTATACATGACGAGTACCTATGATGCGCTATCAGCTGAAGGCGCACAACAGGTTACTTTCAGGTTTCTTTTCATGATGTATGAGGTCACTATTGTTCTCTATATATGTTCGGCCTTCTGGCCCTTTCATTTGGATAATAAGTAAGAAAGATACAGAGAGCAGAAGTCGTGCGAAGTCTTTACCGTTTTGCCTTCACATATTAGAGCACAATTTCAACAGGTGGTTGGCGATAGATAGTGGCCATGAGGCAATAGCACGTCTGCCTGTAGTTGTATCGTACTGGATGTGGGATAAGTAGTGCAAACGGCACTCTCGGCTGTAGCGACGAGGTTGTACTATCATAACTAATTGTTGATCCGTAACTCGAGTTAGGTTTTGTGGGGTTCTGTTTCGGCGGCGCCATTTTGCTTCGCTCTGGCCTCATCCCCTCCTTTTCTTTTTGGAAGTCTTGTTGGGTGGGGGTGGCATGTGGCCTTGTTGAGAGCTCAGGGAGCAGCGGTGAGGGTGGTGTGTTCGTGGGGATCGGGGTTCGGAGATGCTTATTTATATTTTGTTCACAATGCGCAGAAGAGTGGTGAGCATATTGCGCCTGAGGCGGATATTGCGGGGTTTTCGATGTCACGGGTTAGGTGTGGGGGATACCTCGTGCCATGTCCTACCACTCACTTATCTGTATGATAAGTTTCCCCCCATGAGCGACTGGCTGAGATGTTGAAAAGAATCATGAGATTTTGCGGGGCACAGTAAATGCAGTAGCAATACAGTGCATGACTTGCTCGGAACCAGAGCCCCTCCACGAGCACAGGGGAAGAAGAGGCTGCTCTGATCATAGGAAATACCATCGCCTACCTTGTGGGTCTGGTCTATGTGGAGTAGCCGGTGCTCCAGGCCCCGACCCCGACACCGCCATGCTGAACAGCTCCCAAATGACCTCCCGCTGGAGTAATCAGCACTGATTGGTTCTTCCTCCACACCACAGAACCATCATTGGACCACCACCCAACCGCCGCCGGTAAAAAAAAGAAAGAAGACGAAATCCCACCGTAAATGCAACCGCACTGCATGTAAGAAATACTATGTTCCGTGAATCGCCTAATTCCCATCTTTATTGTGGTTTATCGGTCTCTACTCGAGTCCCGATGTGCCCGAGTCCCCAAATTCTTCTATTGCCAAGTAAAGATCCAAGATCCCCGGCGAGGCTTGACCAGATCTGTCACGTGGTGAGTCCGTGCGCAAGCCAGTGGAAGCCGGGACCTTTATTGGGAAATCAGAAATGCACGTAGAGGGTCGCTGTTTGCACATAATAAACTTTATTTCGGGGGCTGGAGAAGAGGAAGGGTGGGAAGATGGGGGGGGGAAGGAGAGGGGGTTGGGGGAATTATAGAATATACAGATGTTCGAGTATATCTAATCCCTCATCCATCACAACGCTGCAGATATTCAAGTCTCGGGGGTTATCGCGCTGCACACCCACACACTCTCCCCATGCGGAAAACTGTTTGGACCAAAAGTTCCAAAATGTGTGTCCCAACCCGGAAATGTCGTCATTTCATCCTTGTCCCTCTGGCCTTTCTCACCCTCCACTCTTTTCCATCTCCAGCATTGTGCAACATGTTGTCCATGGCGCATTCGTCTACGGTAGCTCAGGTTTGATTTCTAACTTGATGGCCAATTCTCCTCCCCTCCTTCTTTTGCTTCCTCTAGGCTGGTTCAACCTTCTCACTTTCGACCGCCTCCATCACTTCCCCTAGTGCCCCTAATGCTTTCTTATTGCCAGGGCAGCGGCGGCTCTACTGCTGGGCGGGGGTACGTGGCGGGCCAGGCTGCTGAGAGGCAATTCACCCTGCGCGCGGTCGCGGTGGGTTTGCTTGTTGGGACGGTGGTGAATTTTTCCAATATGTACTTTGGATTGCAAAGTTTGCTTTCCTGTTTCTCTTGGAGCGATTATCGGTAGACGAGTGAGATTACTAACAAGTGGGTGGTTGCGCAGCGGGATGGGTATCCATGATGTCGATGCCTTCTTCACTGATTGGCTTCGCGATATTCAAGAGCTGCGCGAAGCACTTGGAGTTTCCGTTTACTCCTGTTGAGAATGGTACCTCTACCCTTTCCCCTTTCTCTCCCTTACTCTAATAACCAACCAACAATAAACAGTCCTTGTACAAACCGTAGCAGGAGCCGTGGGCTCAATGCCCCTCTCCGCGGGCTTCGTTGGTGTTGTTCCCGCTCTCGAAAAATTACTCAAACCCGAGGAAGGGGGTCCGCTAAGAATCGGTACACCACAATTGATGTTCTGGAGTATTGGCGTAGCGTTCTTTGGGGTTTTTTTCGCCGTGCCATTGCGAAGGCAGGTTATTATCAGAGAGAAATTGAAATTCCCAAGTGGGACTGCGACGGCATTGATGATTTCTGTTTTGCACGGGAGTGGAAAGGTGGCTGCTAGGGGAGGTAGTGGAGACGAGCGAGAGGGATTGGTTTCTGGCATGGATGAGGAAGAAGAGCGGGAGGGGGGTCGGGAAGTGCAGGAGGATGCAGGAAGGAAGGAGAGCTGGGGACAGAAAAATAGGTTATTGGTTTATTCTTTTGCACTTAGCGGGACTTGTGTTTGTCTCCCCTTCCTGGGCACTGTGGTTACAATGATTGGTTGGCTAATACATGATAGACATTCATCTCTTACTTTTTCCCCATTCTCCGGGACCTCCCGATCTTCGGCTCCGCCGCCGCAAGCACCTGGCTCTGGACACTAAACCCTAGCCCGGCATACGTAGGCCAGGGCATAATCATGGGGACGGGCACAACGTTGCACATGCTTCTCGGGGCGATAATCGGCTGGGGTGTACTCTCCCCGTTCGCAAGATATAAAGAATGGGCCCCTGGCCCAGTGAGTGACTGGACTACCGGCAGTCGTGGATGGCTTGTATGGGTTAGTTTGGGTATTATGTTGAGCGACAGCGTGATCTCCCTTGGTGGTTTGATCCTAGAACCAATTATCAAGTCTCTTTGGCGGCGGTGCAAGAAGGTGTCCAGGGGCAGGGAGGGGTACGAGAGACTTATGGACGGCGGTGGCGGGAGTGAGTATGAGGAAGGAGACGAGGCTTGGGGACTTTGCAGACGGAGAAGCGGGAGGTCGGGGGTGGGTGAACAAGGCGGTGAATCGCCTGGGGAGGATGCTCCGGATGAGCACCTCGTCCCAATGAAAACCGTAATAATAGGCCTCCTAGCATCTGGCCTGCTCTGCATAATCGCTGTAGAAGTCGTTTTCAGCATGGTTCCTCTCTACGCCACCGCAATAGCCTTCCTCCTGGCATTAATCCTTAGTGAAATGGGTGTCCGCGCACTCGGTATTCCCCCTCCCTCCCACCAAAAACCTCCCTAAGGCTAACCACTCCTCAGGCCAAACAGACCTAAACCCCGTCTCGGGCATCTCAAAACTCACCCAACTCTTCTTTGCCCTGATAACCCCACCCAGCCATCCCTCCTCAATAATCACCAACCTAGTGGCGGGCGCCATCTCAGAAGCTGGCGCCCAACAAGCCGGCGACATAATGCAAGACCTAAAAACCGGCCACCTCCTCAGCGCCTCCCCTCGGGCACAATTCCACGGCCAACTCATCGGCTCCGCATTCGGCGCCATCATTTCCGCTGGCGTGTATCGTCTATACACATCCGTGTACCCGGTCCCTGGCAAGCTATTCCAAATCCCCACGGCGTACGTGTGGATCGACTGCTCGAGACTGGTGTTCGGACAGGGACTGCCGGAGGGTGCAAGGGGGTTTGCGGTGGGCTTTGCGGTGTTGTTCGCGGTGATTACTGCATTGAGGGGGTGGGCCACGTTGGGGAAGGGGAGGTGGGCGGGGTACTTGCCCGGAGGAATTGCGGTGGCTGTGGGCATGTATAACGTTCCGAGTTTCACCCTGGCTAGGGCTTTTGGCGGGCTTGTGCAATGGTGGTTCGGTGGACGGGGGCAAGACGCAGAGGCTGGATTGGTGGTTTTTGCTTCGGGATTGGTCTTGGGTGAAGGGGTTGTCAGTATTGTGAACTTGGGCATGGCGAGTTTTGGGGTGCCGCATTTCTGATATGGGGTTTTTTTTGTACTGTACTGTACTGTACTTGACTGGAGACTAGATTGGTTGGGTTATCATTGTAGTTTCCTAGCCTTTATTTTCATTCCAGCTTTTCGGATAGTCTCGGCATTTCCAGAATCATACCTAATGACGCATAATCTCTATTACAAAATTGCCGGAACTGTATCACTACAACACATGCCATGCTACTTCCTACAAACAAGACACCACCTCGTATCATACCGTGGAAGCCCGTAATGCGCGAAGACTCACCCGCAAAACAGTAGGCAGGACACCCTTCCTCGCCGACGATGAATCATATCATATCATAAAACCGTAATATAATTACCCTATCAACCAACCAACATTCTCTCATTCAATCTATTCAACCCTTCGTTCCGTCCTGCTGCTTGCCTTCCTTCGTCCGTTCACCCGTTCGCCCACCCACCCGTACATCCATAATCATCACGATATCAAGGGAATGGGTGAAAAGAGGAAAAAGGAAAAAGGAAAAAAAAAAAGAAAGGAAGAGAGAGAACGCCCCACACCATCCAATGCAATCAATGAACGCGTATAACAAAGCACAGCAAGTAGCGAAATGTCCCGAATGGAAAGAAAAACAAAAAGGAAAACTAGCTACAGCGAATGTCTCCCCCCGCCGCAAACAGGAACAAAAAAGAAAGGGGAGAAAAAGAGAGAGAAGAGAAACCGCACCAGACAGACATTTGATTGCCATCAATCAAATAATGATATGCTATCATACATACGATAAATTAGCCCCCCCACCTATACCCGCCAAACAAGCAAAGAAGCGGAAAGGGGGGAAGGGGGAGAGAAAAGGAGAAAGGAAAAGAATCACGAAATGCAAACCTCAATCAACCTATCCGTCAATCCAGCACACCTCTTTTCAAACTCCTTGGTGCTTCTAAAACTCGTCGCGGTCCAAATTCCGCTCAGGCCCCACCGGGCAAGACGATACGCGAGAGTCTCCTTCGCCGCAGAGCCGCGATTCGCGAATCTGGAGTCCATACTAACAACGCACATGAGTGCGTTCGCCTCCTTCAGTAGCATGGGATTATGTGAGCTATTGAGCACCTCATCTAAATATTCCAGCAAATGATCATAGAGTAGTAGGAGCACCTCCGGACGGCGCTCCGCCATGCGGGTGAAGAGGGCAAGCGTGGCCTTCTGTATGCTCTCCTCGCATGAGCGAAAGTCGACGACGGCGAGGGCGCCGATGAGAAGGAGGTTCTTCTCTGACATGATGTCTATCATTGGCGTCAGTTTCGCGCACGTGTCCCAACCGCTGCCACCACTGCCACCGCTGCCGCTGTCCATGGTGGCGTCTTCATCTGCTAGGGCGATTCCGGTTATCCAGAGGACTTCTTTCATCTCTGATGTGCTGGTTGCGCGGGTTAGCACCATGGAGAGGTAGGGTGGTACGGGCATGTCCGTGCCCCACTGCGAGCTTTCTGGGGTGTTGGCTGAGATTACTTCTAGGAATGCGGTGAGCGTGCGCAGGGCTGAGGGCTTTGTGGATGGGTCTTGAAGCCCTTTGGTTAGTGTTGCGCAGACGGCAAAGTGGAAGCTTTCCGAGTTGAACTTGATGTTGTAGATGTCGTCGATCGCGGCGGTGGCTTCTTCGAGTTGGCTGCGCCCCTGCAGGAGCACCGAGACCATGCGGTTGTCCTTGAATTCGCCGGATGAGGCGATAGTCTTTAGGGTTGCTTCTAGGAGACTTGCGGAACAGGTGAAGACTAGCCCGTGGCCGACGCGGACGAGTGACATCGCTAGCCAGAACAGTTGGTAGAGGTAGCGGGAGGTCGGCTGAAGGTTCTCCATCATCTTAGTCAGACTCGTAACAATGCTGGTTAGCATTTCGTGATCTCCGCTTTCGGAGTATCTAGCTAGGGCTCCGCGCAAAGCCACGAGCACCTGGTAGAGTAGGTCGTCGTCGACGTCTTCCCGAGCGAGACATCCCATGACCGCAAATGCGCGAGATTGGATTGCTGGGTTGCTCTGGAAAGCGGTACTTGCCACGAGACTCATCCATCGGGCCCGCCATATGTTCGCCATATCGGTTGACGGTGCGGCGACAGACACAATCTCTAGTAGCAGGTTGGTGATTAACTCCATAGACGTAGCAGTAGTAGTCTCTGAGCCTCTTTGCTCTTGGATTGCTAAGGCATCCCTACTGGTCGGCCTATTCAAGCTAAATAGCAAGCAAAGCTTTGGCTCCGACAAGCTCGCTAGTATCCCCTTCAGCTGTGTCAATTTCGCATCCTCCAACGGGAACGAAACACATATCGAGTGAACCGTGTTAACCAGTAAGCTGTGTACCGTAGATCTCACGGGGATGGATCCGCAATTGACGACCATCGTGATGATGTGGAAGAGCTCGGGGAGATACATTTGCGCTTGAACTCTGCTATCAAAAGAGATGGCAAGGCAAAGTCTCAGCAACACGCAAATCTCGTTCCAAACTATGTTGTCCACCAGATGTCTCATCGGCCTTAGTGACGATCTGTTAAGAACCTTCCGGATCCTTGCGATAATCTTCCCTCGGATGGTCGGAGTTCCGAAACTCGATGCGATAGAGCCAATTGTCTCCGCTCCCTCCGATCCAAACCCAAAGTTCATTGCCGATTTAACCAATTCATCCAAGAACACATCCAATAGCCCCTCATCCTTGCTAATGATGCACCAGGCGTTCTGCTGGAAAGAAGTATAAAGCCTTGGTTCCCGCACCGTAATATCAATCATCTTCCTTGCGATGGCTGCCAGGCGTTCTTTGCCGCGCTCGGGATCCTCCCCGCCCATAAGCACCTGTGAATGAAGATTTGCCAACCATGGCGCCATATAAAGGATATTCAGCGGTCGCTGTTGAGGGTGTGACTTCTCCCAACCGACAAAGAATTCAGACAGGAAGTCAAATGTCAGCTGCGGCTCTGCTGCCGCCAACTTCTCACTCACACCCACAATTAGGATCACCGAGTCCGTCGGGATACTCAAGCCCTTCGCGCTGACGAATTGCCTATCCAGGTTGAACCGGAAAGCCTGGCACAGCGCGCAGAGGAGATTATATGCTGCCAGTCTTAGATACTGGTCATAACTAGCAATGTTCATTAAAGAGATGTTTAACAAGGTTCCGGGAACATCCTCTGGCCTTATTGTCCTCTCATTGAGTTTTGAAGGCCTGTTATCCTTGGAGTACTTCGACTTTGAGCTCTTGAGAGTTTGAACGATCTCATTCTTCTTTGGACTGGAGAAGAACATGGTGAGCTTCCCGTTGTCAGTCTTAATTCCGAAGGCATTCTCCTCATCGGTGTGGAAAGACGCGTTGGCTTCCTCCACATCATTCAATCTGAAGATATCGTTTATGGTAGCAGACATCTTCAACCCGGCGACAATTTCCTGCTTCTTTGTCGGTGTGATCTGGATATACTGAGCGCCAATTTTGAATACCACCTCTATTTTGCCCTTGGTCTTCGATAGCCGAGTGATATGATGATACATATATCGGGTATCACTTAGAAAGCTCATTGTTTCCTTCGGAAGGTGTAGAGAGCCAAGATTGAAATGCTGTTGTAACTCCACAACACTGCCCAACATAATAAAATCAATATTGTTCGGATTCCAGGCGTTGGTGTCATCGCGAACGGCATAACGTAATTGTCGGCGGAAGAACTTTCGAAAAGCAGTGTTCATGTTGTAAATGTACAACCTGCTATAGTTCTTGACCATTTCGGGAGGCATAAGGTTGTCAATCTTCTTGTAGAGCTCGTCTGGCATCTCGTTGTTCAGACTGTAGCAGGTAGCGTCAATGAGCACTGCGAAGGGTTTGTGCCACATCCTGCTCGCAATCTATACCATCGAATATCAGCACCAACCGGGAAAGAATAGTGAGTGGAATAACAAACAAACCTTCAAATAGCAGTATATCAGTAGATCAGGATCCACAGTTCCAATATTGATATTCCTCAGCACGAAGCAGATAACCGGTATGTTGTCTTTAGTCTCTCCACCATCGTAAACAATTCTAGCGGCAAGAATACTCTCCACACTTCTGCCAGAGTTCCTCAGCATGAAATGTTGATATCTGCTGTAAGCCGGTTGAATATTCCCCGTGAGTGTCGGTCTCCCTAAACTGATGTCTAACGGCGGGGCCCCTAATGTACTGATCAGGCCAGAGAATTTCGTAATGGACAACTGCAAGTTCGATGGCCCAGCATCCGCAGAAAAACTCTTCTCCCCATTCAACCTTGCTTTGTGTTTCTCTTGGAAAATGAGCTTCTGTCGTACAATCTCCCAATGGTCATACAAGAATCTATGAAGGGCAACACTACTGCCAAAATCGAAGGACTCCTGTGCAACAACCGGCTCCTGCTTCTTCGGCAGGCTAGAGATCTCACGGAGGAACGCCGTGACCACGCAGATATTTGCCGTAAGGAAGTCATTAAGTGGGATCATGTAGGGCTCTTTAGCCCCGAACAAGACATTGTTGGCGAGATTCTGCACAATCTTAGCGATCAACAGCAGTCCTCTCCGCATCTCCTTGTTTGGAATGTTATTGACGAGGCCTTCCGAGTCGGGTGCGACAATTGCCGGGCAAAAGAATCGAAGAAATATGAACGCGCCGACAGCGGTGAACTTTGCTTCTGGGAATCGTGACGTCACACAGGCGGTGATAGTATGGCAGATCCATCGGAAAGAATTTGGGGCGATGTTCCCGGATTTGCAGATCTCGTCGATAAACACCTTGGTGATGTATCGTAGTTGCAACTCATTCCGGTGTAGCTCTTCCGTCGAAGGAGTCCTTGTTGGGTCGAGTTCTAGGCCAAGCTTATCAGACGAAACAATCACTCGCTGGAGGACCTTCTGGAGAACGTTGCGCAAATATTCCGATCCCTTCCATTTGGCAAAGACGGAAAGCATTTTTGTCGCCACACAATTCCTTCGGAGAAGCTCCGATTCACTCTCTGTTGCAATGTTAGCTACAATCATGTTATACCACCCTCAGAAGTCACGGGGCGAAACTGACCCGTATTCGCAACCTCTTGCTCAATGAGCTCCTTCAGTAGGGTCAGCCCAAGACCTCGCGAATCAAAGATGTTAAGCAACGCAATGCTCATCTCGTCAACCTCACTGCTGGGACAACTGTCACACAAGGCCAAGGCAAACTGGAGGTCATTCACAAGTAGCTGAATTTCCCAATTAGCATTCCCTTTGCACTAATTGATCACAGAACTCACATCAATTAGCTTCTCGTACTTCTCGCCAATAGCTGAGTCACCTAAGGCCCCAAATTCGGTCCCTTGAGTTAAAATATTAGTGAGCACGTGCATGAAGGCAGTCCTTGTCTGCAAATCGTCATGGTAGCCAATCTCCAAACTAAACTTCAAGCCAACATCTACGTTCGCACTAAGCAAGTTACTCAATGCTTGGATTGCAAGGTCTTGGAAGCTGCTAGCATCGTCTTTAGCTAATGAGACAGTCTGCAATTCACGTCTTCTATCGCTTTCAAGCTGGCTAGAATCCAACAATGAAAGGAACAAGGTAAAATAGCTGCAGAACATCTGTGAACGAGCATCAACCACATCCGCGCTGTCATGCGCTGTCTCTGGAGGCTGTAATGGAAGGCGGTGAAGCAAATTTACAAGGGCTTTGAGACAAGCACGGTCGAGATCACGTTGTGGGCGTATAAGTTCGTCTTTGCGAGGATTGATTGGATAATTCGGCTCCTATTAAAAAAAACAAAAACAATGTTATTAGTGGCCGGAAAAATACCCTAGGGGAGCAGATGAAAGGCTTACCTTCGCGGGGCGGGGCATCCACTCGCTAAGGATCTGCAGCAGGTTATTCCGTACTCTGATATCCTGCCTGAGATTCACCAGTTCCTTTTTCCTAGCGACAAGCTCCACCAACTGACACATCCTAATTTTGACCCTCAACGTAGTGTAATCCTCCTTAAGCGTATTCAAGTATCTCGCGAGACTTAATGTCAGTGCTCCCAAGTCGACTGTAAGAAACATATCCTGAGCATCCTCCAATCTCTCCACAATGGTCTTCAGCAGACTACAGGCCTGCTCCGCAAACAACGTCCGACTAGGGCTCTCACTCTGAGCGTCTTTGAAACCAGGGTCAAACAAGATACTAAACTCCGTCTCTAAGCTTCTGAATAACTGAAGGTAGAGCCGGGGATTCAACTCAGTTCCGAGAACTTCCCTGATATTCTCCCGCACATTGACAAGCTTGCACACCAGTAACTGTAAGCACTGCTTCATAAATCGCTCCAACAGGCTCATTTGGTCACCATCACTGGCAAGGCGATCGATCCAACGCAAACCCGACGTCGTTGAGTCATCTGCACGGAGTTGCTGCGGCAAATCTGCAATGCAGCATCCCGCAATTGATGCTAAGAACCCTGAATAATTTCTCCACTCCGCAAATAGCCCATCATCAATTCCGCCAGCATTTGCTACACCAGGCGAAAGGATATGTTTTGAAAGTGTCCGCCATCTCGTGAAAACTGCTTCCCAGGCTGTGAGTATTCCTGGGCCAGGCATACTCATTCTTGTCAGTAGTTTTCTCAATCGCTTTTGGAATGCCACGGGGCCTGTGATTCTAAATGTCTGTAAAGATAATTCAGAGTACACAGGAAAGTTGCGCATGACTGTTAGATTACTCCTCGCCAGATCGTCAGGATTCTCTGTTAAACGCCCCTCTTCGCAAAGAAGGGCAATGGCATGTGTTGTGATAGAGCATATATCGAGATCACTAGAGCATAGCAAAACCAAGAATGACACCTCAAGCGATACGTTGGCGATGGTGCGTTCGGGAATATCTGTGATACCCTCTGTGATGTCCTTTTCCAAAAATTCAGCCTTTATTGGTGAAGATACTTGTGTACCAGAAGCGAAAGTCACCTTTCTGGAAGAAATGATGCTGACTCTGGTTTCCAGATACCCGTGAACCAGCTCCAACACGCTCTTCAATGCTGGATCTTGGAAATCAAAATCAAGTAGCTTCTTTGATAAGGTAGCTACAATCGCAGATCTAGACACCCATCTTCGCTTAGCCTCGTCAAATCCAAGTGGTAATTCGGGGAAACTAACGTCGCTTTCCAGAAGAAGTTTAGCACACTAATCGCCCCTTGGCCCAGTCGCATGTCTGTAGTCATCTGAAAGGCTTCTGGACTCAAGAGCCTTCTTGCAAATACCACTGCGGAATGCCTAACAAATTCGTCATCATCGTATATAAGTCTTAGAAGACTGCTGATCATCCTATCTCCTAATCTATCCCATTCTTCGGCACCCGCATCCAAATTCTCGTACATCAACAATGGACGGATCTTAAGGAGCTCTAACAACTGATATAGTAATTCAGATGATCCAATGCTATCGGTTGACAGATTCTTATGCCGAGTCTGCGAATTTAGAGTACCACCGGCCAAAGAAGATCCATTTGTACTGCTAGTATTGGCATGTCGAGTAGAAGCGATGTTCTAGTTGGTTGTCAGACCGCAACGCATAGCAAGTGAGAGCAAGGATAACGTACAACAACGAGTTCCCGGACTTCAGGCGCAATCGCATAATATAACGCATCGAAATCTTCCGCATTACTCTAGAGAAGCCAGACTGGAATTAACGACTGCAACCGAAACTCGCCACCAACATATTTTTTATCCATGGAATCCCATACCTGCGAGGCCAACACGGCCACTCCAGCGAAGACCGTGATCTTGAACGTGATTGGCGAATTTTTATCCAGACACCTTGGTAACAGGTTCCCGACAACGCTATCTACACCTAATCTTGCTGAGCTCACAAATGCCTTTATCATGATATCCCTATCAACACTAAGATCTTCGCCAAATTGTTGCCGTCGGAATATTTCCTCAGTCACCTCATTCTGCACGTCCAAGGCAAAGCTCAGAAGAGCGCCATCCGGCTCGGCTGGAAAGAGGCTACCGGCACGGCACATAATGATAAGACATGATGCAGCAATGTCTGAGTTCTTTGGAAGCCGCAGGGAACGCCGGAGATCATTTAAGAACGCAACCTTTTTGGACAGACTTCCCCGCTGCTCACTCCGGATATCCAGAGTCCAAAAGACGTCCGGTAAAAGAAGTATGAGAGCTGTTTGAAGGGGCCAGATGATAGCCCGTCGCTTGGCACCGTCCGCAAGTGATGCGGCGATGTCGAATAAGATATCTACACCCTTTTCCAGCCGCCCATTATTCATATGTAAGTCAACAAAGTCTTTCGGATGAGCTTCGATCCACCGATGAATGGTCTCTGGTAATAATGACGCGAGCATGTTTTGTGCAGGCTTCCGCAATGGAAGGAAACTGCCGCTAATCTCCTTAATAATAAGAGACAACTTCTCCTGGTTGATCCACATGTGAGCAATGAATTGGAGACCGCTAGCATCACTATCATCAGAGGCGGTCGTTCGTAAGAACTTCAATCTTTGAGACATGGTGTGGAACACCAAGGGCCAATTTGAAGCGCTAAGATACTCGATCACTTTGAACGACGCACGTTCAAGATCGCTGGCCTTCTTTGGAAGCCCGTCAAGACTACGCTCCTCTGATTGAGAGCTATTATTACTCTCCTTTCTCCCCACAGATGAGCCATGCCCATCTTCCACTAGCGGGGCTGCCGTTAGTCGTAAAAGCAATTCCAGAACATATTTAGCTTGTATCTCGTCAAGCGGCGGCGGCTCCCTTTCCCTTCTCCGTGTCTTTCTCGTTGAAATTCCTGGTTTCCGTAAGGGCTCTCCGACTGGAGCCTTCTCCCCCATCATCCCCCGGTGTGCAGAGTCGATAGAGTCCCAATGAGCGCCAGTGCAGTCGGCGAGAACTTCAACCAAGTAAGTCTGAGTGAGGAGCACGAAAGGCCTACCCCTGGGAGCAAGATCACTAAAACCCTACACCACAAAAGACACCCATCTCAGTACACCCCACAACTGTTGAGGATATGGGGAGAACTTAATTAAACCAGACATACCCGTGAAATAGACTCTAGATGCTTGGCGATGCTGTCAACAACAATGTCAATCTGCGCCCTTGCCAATTCAATCAGCGAGCCCCGAGCCAAGGCAATGACTTCATCGCGTCTAACATCGCTCAAGTCATCTCCGGTCCGAAAGGGAAGCTGCGCAGCAAATGGTCAGTTGAATAACTCTCCCAAACGAACCTGGTGTGCGGTCCGCAGTAGAAGGCAGAAGATAAAAATATACCCTCGCTGAGAGCCTCTCCAACAAAGTCTGCACCAGCCTCCTGTCCCCATCCATGGGACACTGCAAGTTGAAAATTTGGGGGATATGTGAGGTTGGTTGTTCGTCGTAGTGTACGATAGTCTGGTGGAGGCGATTGGTATTGGTTGCGGTTGTGATCGTAGCTCAGTACCCAAGAGGATGAGCGGCGGTTCACGAGCGGCAGATATCCAGTGGGCTACTAGTGGGAGAGAAATAGTGCGCCAGAGCTCATGTATTGTACCCTATTGTTTCGTCTGAGAGAGTCTCTGGGGCTAAGAGTTGGGGAAGATAGGTTCGGTGGGTGGTCGGAAGGATGTGTTCAAGAAAACGCAACTTAATGAATGGCAGTGGGCTAATTGAGAGTAATGATAATTTAAATTGACGAGAGAGCCGCGTTTGGTTGCAGCCAGTAACCAGCAAAAAGTCAGGGGACGGCGTGAGGGCGTGAGGATTGGCGTTGGGCAGTTTAAGTGAGGGAAAAAGAGTGGTAAGGTGTGGGTGGGTGTATGGGTCTGACTGTTTGTACGGTAGTGAGGGAAAGAGGGAGCGTAAGTAGCGGTAGTGTGTCGTTACTTTACTAGAATGGAGGATATAGGGAGGGGGTGAGAGTATGGGGGAGCAGCAGCAAGCCCGTTGCTGGAAAGAAAATGGAGAAGGCGAAATCCGCCGATGTCCTGAACACTCAATTCTGTACTGCACAAGTACAGTACCTGTCTGGCACCTTTCTGCTTTTTTCTATCATATCTCGCTCTCTCTCTTTTTTTTTTTGCTACCCTACTGTGTCTCTCCCTATTCTTTCCCTTGCCCTTGCTTCAGCTTTCTCGATTACAAGTACAAAGTGGAGCGTATAATACAGACTAGTATGATATAGCAAAATTTTCGCCTATCTTCACCCACTCAGTCCTCATTCCAGCTCCGCCCACCCCAAGCTGCCCTTCTCTCTGGCCTTTTGCCCCAGATCGGGATTAAAAGGTCTGAACGCTGCGATATGATATGCCATGCTATTTGCCGAGCCGCTTCATGGAGCAGGTCCGATGGCGCACTTTCCTTCCATCCCCAACTTAGGCATACATTATATCTAGAACTTCTGCGGATCGATGACTAGAC